AGTCGGTGAACGTTCATGATGAAAAACAGCACGAAACAGAAGGACACAGAGGTGAGAAATACATACAGGACAAGGCGCTGATGACATAGGAAAGAGCCCGTTGTAGAGGAAATAAAGTTTACAAGAATGGACAGTTGGGCTAGTCGGTAAACGTTCATAATAAAAAAACAGCGTGAAACAGAAGGACACAAAGGAGAGAAATACATACAGGACAAGGCACTGATGACATAGGACAGAGCCCGTTGTAGAAGAAATAAAGTTTACAAGAATGGACAGTTGGGCTAGTCGGTGAACGGTCATGATGAAAAGCAGCGCGAAACTGAAGGACACAGAGGTGAGAAATACATACAGGACAAGGCGCTGATGACATAGGAAAGAGCCCGTTGTAGAGGAAATAAAGTTTACAAGAATGGACAGTTGGGCTAGTCGGTAAACGTTCATAATAAAAAACAGCGTGAAACAGAAGGACACAAAGGAGAGAAATACATACAGGACAAGGCACTGATGACATAGGACAGAGCCCGTTGTAGAAGAAATAAAGTTTACAAGAATGGACAGTTGGGATGGTCGGTGAACGTTCATAATAAAAAACAGCGTGAAACAGAAGGACACAAAGGAGGGAAATACATACAGGACAAGGCGCTGATGTCATAGGAAAGAGCCCGTTGTAGAGGAAATAAAGTTTACAAGAATGGACAGTTGGGCTAGTCGGTAAACGTTCATAATAAAAAACAGCGTGAAACAGAATGACACAAAGGAGAGAAATACATACAGGACAAGGCGCTGATGACATAGGAAAGAGCCCGTTGTAGAAGAAATAAAGTTTACAAGAATGGACAGTTGGGCTAGTCGGTAAACGTTCATGATGAAAAACAGCACGAAACAGAAGGACACAAAGGAGAGAAATACATACAGGACAAGGCGCTGATGTCATAGGAAAGAGCCCGTTGTAGAGGAAATAAAGTTTACAAGAATGGACAGTTGGGCTAGTCGGTAAACGTTCATAATAAAAAACAGCGTGAAACAGAAGGACACAAAGGAGAGAAATACATACAGGACAAGACGCTGATGTCATAGGAAAGAGCCCGTTGTAGAAGAAATAAAGTTTACAAGAATGGACAGTTGGGCTAGTCGGTAAACGTTCATGATGAAAAACAGCACGAAACAGAAGGACACAAAGGAGAGAAATACATACAGGACAAGGCACTGATGACATAGGACAGAGCCCGTTGTAGAAGAAATAAAGTTTACAAGAATGGACAGTTGGGCTAGTCGGTAAACGTTCATGATGAAAAACAGCACGAAACAGAAGGACACAAAGGAGAGAAATACATACAGGACAAGGCGCTGATGTCATAGGAAAGAGCCCGTTGTAGAGGAAATAAAGCTTACAAGAATGGACAGTTGGGCTAGTCGGTAAACGTTCATAATAAAAACAGCGTGAAACAGAAGGACACAAAGGAGAGAAATACATACAGGACAAGGCACTGATGACATAGGACAGAGCCCGTTGTAGAAGAAATAAAGTTTACAAGAATGGACAGTTGGGCTAGTCGGTAAACGTTCATGATGAAAAACAGCACGAAACAGAAGGACACAGAGGTGAGAAATACATACAGGACAAAGCGCTGATGACATAGGAAAGAGCCCGTTGTAGAGGAAATAAAGTTTACAAGAATGGACAGTTGGGCTAGTCGGTAAACGTTCATAATAAAAAACAGCGTGAAACAGAAGGACACAAAGGAGAGAAATACATACAGGACAAGGCACTGATGACATAGGACAGAGCCCGTTGTAGAAGAAATAAAGTTTACAAGAATGGACAGTTGGGATAGTCGGTAAACGTTCATAATAAAAAACAGCGTGAAACATAAGGACACAAAGGAGAGAAATACATACAGGACAAGGCGCTGATGTCATAGGAAAGAGCCCGTTGTAGAAGAAATAAAGTTTACAAGAATGGACAGTTGGGCTAGTCGGTAAACGTTCATGATGAAAAACAGCACGAAACAGAAGGACACAAAGGAGAGAAATACATACAGGACAAGGCGCTGATGTCATAGGAAAGAGCCCGTTGTAGAGGAAATAAAGCTTACAAGAATGGACAGTTGGGCTAGTCGGTAAACGTTCATAATAAAAACAGCGTGAAACAGAAGGACACAAAGGAGAGAAATACATACAGGACAAGGCACTGATGACATAGGACAGAGCCCGTTGTAGAAGAAATAAAGTTTACAAGAATGGACAGTTGGGCTAGTCGGTAAACGTTCATGATGAAAAACAGCACGAAACAGAAGGACACAGAGGTGAGAAATACATACAGGACAAAGCGCTGATGACATAGGAAAGAGCCCGTTGTAGAAGAAATAAAGTTTACAAGAATGGACAGTTGGGCTAGTCGGTAAACGTTCATAATAAAAAACAGCGTGAAACAGAAGGACACAAAGGAGAGAAATACATACAGGACAAGGCACTGATGACATAGGACAGAGCCCGTTGTAGAGGAAATAAAGTTTACAAGAATGGACAGTTGGGCTAGTCGGTAAACGTTCATAATAAAAAACAGCGTGAAACAGAAGGACACAAAGGAGAGAAATACATACAGGACAAGGCGCTGATGTCATAGGAAAGAGCCCGTTGTAGAAGAAATAAAGTTTACAAGAATGGACAGTTGGGCTAGTCGGTAAACGTTCATGATGAAAAACAGCACGAAACAGAAGGACACAAAGGAGAGAAATACATACAGGACAAGGCACTGATGACATAGGACAGAGCCCGTTGTAGAAGAAATAAAGTTTACAAGAATGGACAGTTGGGATGGTCGGTGAACGTTCATAATAAAAAACAGCGTGAAACAGAAGGACACAAAGGAGAGAAATACATACAGGACAAGGCGCTGATGTCATAGGAAAGAGCCCGTTGTAGAGGAAATAAAGTTTACAAGAATGGACAGTTGGGCTAGTCGGTAAACGTTCATAATAAAAAACAGCGTGAAACAGAAGGACACAAAGGAGAGAAATACATACAGGACAAGGCGCTGATGTCATAGGAAAGAGCCCGTTGTAGAAGAAATAAAGTTTACAAGAATGGACAGTTGGGCTAGTCGGTAAACGTTCATGATGAAAAACAGCACGAAACAGAAGGACACAAAGGAGAGAAATACATACAGGACAAGGCACTGATGACATAGGACAGAGCCCGTTGTAGAAGAAATAAAGTTTACAAGAATGGACAGTTGGGCTAGTCGGTAAACGTTCATGATGAAAAACAGCACGAAACAGAAGGACACAAAGGAGAGAAATACATACAGGACAAGGCGCTGATGTCATAGGAAAGAGCCCGTTGTAGAGGAAATAAAGTTTACAAGAATGGACAGTTGGGCTAGTCGGTAAACGTTCATAATAAAAAACAGCGTGAAACAGAAGGACACAAAGGAGAGAAATACATACAGGACAAGGCACTGATGACATAGGACAGAGCCCGTTGTAGAAGAAATAAAGTTTACAAGAATGGACAGTTGGGCTAGTCGGTAAACGTTCATGATGAAAAACAGCACGAAACAGAAGGACACAAAGGAGAGAAATACATACAGGACAAGGCGCTGATGTCATAGGAAAGAGCCCGTTGTAGAGGAACTAAAGCTTACAAGAATGGACAGTTGGGCTAGTCGGTAAACGTTCATAATAAAAACAGCGTGAAACAGAAGGACACAAAGGAGAGAAATACATACAGGACAAGGCACTGATGACATAGGACAGAGCCCGTTGTAGAAGAAATAAAGTTTACAAGAATGGACAGTTGGGCTAGTCGGTAAACGTTCATGATGAAAAACAGCACGAAACAGAAGGACACAGAGGTGAGAAATACATACAGGACAAAGCGCTGATGACATAGGAAAGAGCCCGTTGTAGAGGAAATAAAGTTTACAAGAATGGACAGTTGGGCTAGTCGGTAAACGTTCATAATAAAAAACAGCGTGAAACAGAAGGACACAAAGGAGAGAAATACATACAGGACAAGGCACGGATGACATAGGACAGAGCCCGTTGTAGAAGAAATAAAGTTTACAAGAATGGACAGTTGGGATAGTCGGTGAACGTTCATAATAAAAAACAGCGTGAAACAGAAGGACACAAAGGAGAGAAATACATACAGGACAAGGCGCTGATGACATAGGGAAGAGCCCGTTGTAGAGGAAATAAAGCTTACAAGAATGGAAAGTTGGGCTAGTCGGTAAACGTTCATGATGAAAAACAGCACGAAACAGAAGGACACAGAGGTGAGAAATACATACAGGACAAGGCGCTGATGACATAGGAAAGAGCCTGTTGTAGAGGAAATAAAGTTTACAAGAATGGACAGTTGGGTAAGCCGGTAAACGTTCATGATGAAAAACAGCGCTGAACACAAGGACAGAGAGGAGAGAAATGCATACATACAGGACCAGCGCCTTGTCCTCTATGTATTTCTCTTCTCTGCGTCCTTTTGTGTTCGCCTGTTTTTCATCAAGAAATTGTTGAGTCGTTTGTGACTTTACCGTCTTCGGGTTGTAGAAAGATTCTTCTATTTCTGGCTCAGCTGAGGCCTGACTGACCCCGAGTTATTGGACACGCGTGCTGCTCCAACGTTAAGCATGGACTCGGGTTCGGATGGGGTGGACGCGAGGGGCCCCGTCAGGGGCGTGACGATGACGCGAATTTAAATGTATTGAGCACTTGACTTCGATGAACTTCGCTTTGGCGCTTTTTGCCCGCGCTTGATGATGGCTGGATTATACTGGGGCTGAGAATATCGGCTCATGCTGAACTGGTTTGTGCATGATGAGGCTCAGTCAGATATAAACTCTGAAAACTTAAGGAACAAAGGTCGGGGCCCAGTATGTTCACGGTTCTCGTGCCACTAGCTGGTATGCGTCGGTTGTCGATTTTACGTTGCGGCTTATTTTCTCCAAGACTGTACGCATTAAAGGCGTATAAATAAATCGATCTCAAGCTACTTACCGGATATTTGGAAGTCACCAGGGCTCTGTACACGAATCATAGCATCGAGGCAGAGTTGAAGGACATCGTCAAATCTCTGGAAAAATAATACACGCATTTGTATATTCTACTAATGTTTCCATCCAGGTGTTAGAAACTTAGGGCTGATTAAACCCAAGACGTGAGTTTAGTATAACTTCTTATTTTAATAGAAACTTAAAGAATACATGCTTGCGATTACAAAGAACGGCGTCGTGAGACGGCTGTGCGCCTAGCTTGAAGTCGCGGAGAGGAATGCCGCTTCTTTATTTTATGAGAAGTGGCGGGCGGCGCCGAATTCCCATCCTGAGCTCCTCGCTCGCGTTACACGCAGGAGATCTCTCGTCCCGCGGGGAACAGCCGGGCCATCGAGTAAGCCCTCTCTGAAAATCTGTCTGGTTCGCTTCCGGAGCTCATGCTAGCACACGTAGAAGTCCAGCTGAGAAATAAACCCTAAGATATGTTTTAGGAGTCATTTCGTGCTAAACGTGATATTTGGAATTAGAGGCGTGATGACTGGCATAGTTTTTATACAACGATAATTATGAGAGGAGAAAACCGGGCCAGTAATAACGCTGTGCGAATAATTTGAAAATTTCCCAGCTATGCGCTGGAACACGGATCACATTTTGAAGCAGGATGGGACAATATAAGCTGTGTGGATGTGAACCTTTATGTTTTTCCTAATGGTTTCAAGTGGCGTCTTTTTTACATTTTTATCTGAAACCCGCTAAATCTATGCAGCTGAAATAGAACACGTGTTATTTATGGACGGTTTCATTTGAAATCGAACACGCTTGTCGGGGTGGGTCTTTTGATTTTTTTTTTAAATATATGTAATTGCCCCATTTCTGGAAAAAACAAAACTGCTTTCCGAAATTTTTTAAAAAAATATTTCGCTTCACAAAAAATTATTGAGTGGAGCAGGGTGAAAATCTGTTTTTTACTCCGTGATTTTTCTACCCACTTCTGTACGCTGGTATGAATACGGGAAGCATACAAAACTCACAGTAATTTTTTGTGCTCTTGTATGTTATTTGGACTATTTTTTAGTTTAAAGGAAAATACTTTTGTAGTTTTGTTTATTGAGGTAAAAAATGCCAAACATCGTCTCTTTGACAATCCGGTGACATTTTCAGAGCCTTGTACCCCATGAGTTATTACATTTGCCACTTACTAAATACTATGCGGGTGTAGCCCTGTACATGGGCTATCGACGGGCATAAATTTTGTTTATTTTATTTTCACAGAATTGTTTATAAAAAATTTGAAATATCGTCGAAAATGAAATTAACCGATATTTTTGAACTCACTTTATCAAAAAAGGCCATTTTTTATTTCGTTCAATTTTTTTATTATTGCTGCCGATCATATGAACTTTCAATTGGCTTGATGCGATTTCCCACTTTTTTGTTGTATCTTCTCTAGAACTGATCGAAATACTCCCACGAGACAATGCGGTGACAAATTCAGAGCCTTGAAACTCATGAGTTATTATATTTGTCGCTTACCAAATACCATGGGGGTGTAGCCCTACACATGAAATATCGAAGGGTATAAGTTTAGTTTATATTATTTTCATTAAATTTTTTATATAAAATTTGAAATGTCGTCGAAAATGGAATTAATCGATATTCTGAACCCACTTTATCCAAAAATGACATTTAATATTTCGTTCAATTTTTTTATTATTGCGGCCGATCATATGAAATTTAAATTTGCTTGATGCGATTTCCCCCTTTTCTAGTTGTATCTTCTGTAGAAGTGATCGAAATCGCTCCCACGTTGTCAGAACAGCCAAACGCAGTTTCCGGAGGTCGCCTTCGCTGCAAAGACTATACTGCTAATTTGTGTGTTCAAATGCAGCGGTTTAATTCATTTTGATTGAGACCACTCGTGCTTGGCTACAATGTATTTTATTAATTTTTAATGATGGCAATTGACATTCCTTAGTGTGATATTTAGCGGTGCAGCGGATGTTCCATTATCCGATGTTTAAAGCCAGGGCACAAAGGGCGGAGAAAACGGAACGAGCTCTTCATGTAGTCAGACCGGGGTCATATATCTGGTAGTGCTATACACAGCTTGTAAGGCACGTACAGCACGCCCGGCCCTTCGCGCTATAGGCCCATCTTCGTTACACCCGGGAAGCATCCGGCACGGGTGCCAATCTATGATGTGTCTTGTCGCGTGCGATCAAATAACCATGTAATCGCCTGTTCTTTATTGTCAGCGTGTATGTCAAAAATATGTAATATCACATGCCTCTCTTTAAGAAGAAAAAGCAGTTTGCAGAAAAAAAATGAGGAAAACGGACTGAGTTTACTTGAAGTGAAGACAATTTTTTACAGAACACAAACACCAATTGGCGATAAATAGTCACTTTTATTAATTACCGCTAATATATTTAGGATGCACTTGTAAAATAATATGTTGTTGTGCTTTAAATAGTCCAGTTCGCGAGCAACGCAATATTGGAACTTTTTGACAACGGCATTGGCTTGCCTGTGGAGACGATCGAGCGCGGGGGCGAGCTGAACTTTGTTCCGCAGCGGTCGGATGCACCCGAGAAGTTCAACAGCGAGGTAAGTCGAGACGAACAGAACGAAAACTGGAGCCAAAGCGAGAACCTGAGACGGTGGCCCTTCTGTTTGAATGAGTGTGTGCAGTTAAAAATAAGTGTTGGGTTTTGTTCAAGACTGCTCGATATCTCTGATGCCAAGACGCAAGGATCCCCACATGCACAGAAGGCAGCGAAAGCAGTCACTTAATGTCTCTGTAGACTTTTAGTTTCTCCACTTTGTCGCACCGAGCTTAATGCAAAACTTGTACAGGTATATGACCCCGGTCTGGCTACATGAAGAGCTCGTTCCGTTTTCTCCGCCCTTTGTGCCCTGGCTTTAAACATCGGATAATGGAACATCCGCTGCACCGCTAAATATCAGACAAAGGAATGTCAATTGCCATCATTAAAAATTAATAAACTACAATGTAGCCAAGCACGAGTGTTCTCAATCAATGAATTTAACCGCTGCATTTGAACACACAAATAAGCAGTATAGTCTTTGCAGCGAAGCCGACCTGCGGAAACTGCGTTTGGCCGTTCAGAGAAAGTGGGAGCGATTTCGATCACTTCTTGAGAAGATACAACTAGAAAAGGGGGAAATCGCATCAAGCCAATTGAAAGTTCATATGATCAGCAGCAATAATAATAAAAAAATTGAACGAAATAATAATTGGCCTTTTTGGATAAAGTGGGTTGAAAATATCAATTAATATCATTTTCGACGATATTTCAAATTTTATATAAAAAATTCAGTGAGAATAAACTAAACTAAACTTATGCCCGTCGATATTTCATGTATAGGGCTACACCCGCATAGTATTTGGTAAGCGACAAATATAATAGCTCATGAGTTACAAGGCTCTGAAGTTGTCACCACATTGTCACGTGGGAGCGATTTCGATCACTTCTAGAGAAGATACAACAAAAAAAGGGGGAAATCGCATCAAGCCAATTGAAAGTTTATATGATCGGCAGCAATAATAAAAAAACTGAACGAAATAAAAAATGGCCTTTTTTGATAAAGTGAGTTCAAAATATCGGTTAATTTCATTTTCGACGATATTTCAAATTTGATATAAACAATTCAGTGAAAATAAAATAAACAAAACTTATGCCCGTCCATAGCCCATGTATAAGGCTACACCCGCATAGTATTTAATAAGTGACAAATATAATAATTTATTAGTTACAAGGCCCTGAAGATGTCACCGGATTGTCAAAGAGACGATGTTTGGCATTTTTTACCTCAATAAACAAAACTACAAAAGTATTTTTCTTTGAACTAAAAAGTAGTACAAATAACATAAAAGAGCAAAAAAAATTACTGTGAGTTTTGTATGCTTCCCGTATTCATACCAGCGTACAAAACTGGGTAGAAAAATCACGGAGTAAAAAACAGATTTTCACCCGGCTCCACTCAATAATTTTTTGTGAAGCGAAATATTTTTAAAAAAGTTTGGGAAAGTGGTTTTTTTCTTTCCAGAAATGGGGCAATTACATACATTTAAAAAAATCGAAAGACCCACCCCGACAAGCGTGTTCGATTTCAAATGAAACCGCCCTTATAGCTATACTATTCGCAGTTCAGAAGAGCCGACTGCAATTGACGCATTTGGTTAGATTTTCAACAGGGATCTTTATTCCCCATGATTTCACTGAGCATGCCATACGAACAGGCAGATGACGCAGTGGAAAGGTTCTGAGTAAGGCAACAGGTGGTTGGAACATATCTTACGTAGTTTTTATTTATTTATTTTCAAATTAGAACTTAAGACAAACAATGTTTTTTTTTCTTTTGATAATTATCAGAATAAGGATTTAAATAATGTTACCTCCTTTGAAGCCAAGCGCTCCTGAGCCATGTGCCTTGTGAAATCTTTGACGCATTCACCACTCTTCTTGCTCGAGAATTGGAAAGGAAGTAGTTTGAAGATACTCGGCATGCTTGCTGCGTAGGATGGCATAAACCGTTACACAGGGGAACTGTTTACTAATGTTGTTGCCAAAATTAACGTATAATATCTAAAAAAAAAAGAATCTTGAAAGTGAACATTTTGGTAGACATCCACCTAGTTAAGAATGATACAAATGTAAAGGAGTAAGGCTCTAACGACAAATAATGAAGATCCCGACATTTCGAGGCCAGCTCGGCCCCTTGATCACGGGTTTTTGCCCTCGTGTCTTGTGTCCATCCTTGACCGCTATCTCTTTTTTTTTTTTCAAAGGACAGCCCCCTAAAGAAAAGGCGCAAGGCCTTGTCTTCAGGAACCCTTGCGGTAACTTCACCGCATCATACTTTGGGAAAACTAAGAACTTCCCGGAACGCCTACGACAGCATCAATATGATGTCAAAAATAATTATGTGCAGGGTAACGCGCTGGCAAACCACGTTGCGAAAAAGGGCCACATTATCCCATTCAACAACATCACTATTCTTGACATGGAGGGAAACTGGCGAAGACGCATTTAATCAAAGTCTTGGCACTTTCAAAACCCCAAAGACCACATCAACCACGGTCAGCTGGGACACTTGCAACCGCCTACGTGTCTGGTTTACGTTGCGAATGGTCGCTTTAAAAGGGTACAGAAACGAAAATGAAAGTATACGGAAACCTTCCTGAAATGGGTGAAACATGACCCATGATATCGGTACATTACAATAGCACGTTAGTATTTTGAGCGAATGGCTATATTTTTTTGTTTCAAGCGTCCGATTCTAGCAAGTGCTTCGAAATCGGCCGTCGAAATCGGCGCGCGATGCGTCCTGGGAACTTCGTCGCAACCGTGACGTCAGGCTCTTCAGCACAGCCAAAGGTTGGCGACTCATCCTTACAAACAAACCGGAGCGCCCCTGGGGGGCGCCACCGGCGCCACGCCTGCTCGACGGAGCGAGGGCTAGAAGCTCGCCGTCGCCCATAAACAAACCACTGAAATGCGATGTTGTCGGCGTAGGTGTGAGTGCCTGTGCTCTTTTTCGAGTTGGAATTGTTGATTTTGCGATTTCCTGGCCAATGTCTGGCTATCTGAGCGGCCTCAGCGAAATTACCGAGGCTCGTTACACCGCGAAACGTCGCGTGAATAATGTGACATGCAGCGATTCATTCCGAGTGGACGCCGCAGAATAAACGCTGACGCCTGATAAGCATGATGAGATTCCGCTCGCAAATTTCAGTCGTGACGTCGCTCGGGCTGCAAAAGCGTGAACCGTAGCTGAGATGGTCGATGTTAAAACTGAAAATCGCAAGCAGAATCGGACCAAGTGAATTCGACATAACAAGTCGGTGATGGCCAATGATAACAATGATCAACATCTCCTTGTATCTACTGTTTACACCGAGCCTGTTTAACCCGACGAACCTTCAAACTTAAAAGCCTCTTTAGGCCTGAACGTACTTCTTATCGCAATTACCGGGCAAACGTTTGGCTTACTGGCCCTTTTCGTCAGAAATAGCAGACGACAAGCAGAAACCTTTGAAAAAGCAGACGAAAGTTCGAACGATCAGGCGGCCGTTTGAACTCGAAGGCGCATTGAACGTAGTCCGCAGGTGGTCCGTACAACTTGACGGTTTTCCCGCGTTCATGTTGGAACAAAACAAACAAATCTGATGACCACAAGTATCTGTGAAGTCAAACCAAAGTGCTTCCCGCCCAAGTGTTTCATGGGCCCTTTAAAGGGGTAAAACGAAATTCCAGCACTCATTTTCTAGCTTCAATGTGTCGCATGTTGCACCATAAAGTCAAAAACATCAGTCTTTCGTTGCAAGGCTCCAGAAAACGTAATTTAAAGCTAATGAAACCATCCTTCAATGTGCACCTGGTGGATGTCTGTGAAGCTTAGTTCGAAAATGATCTAGCAATATTGGGAATCTTGCTGCGTAGACATGACGTAGCAGGAACCGTTGCGTAGCCGCACTAAGCGCCGGAGCAGCGCCGCTCTTTGGAAGTACGTTCAGCTGTTGTAAGTTACCTCGAAATGAACGCGATTGCGAAGCCTCTGCCCGTGCGCTTCGCCCGTTTGCGAAGGAAGCCAACGCGATGCCATGATGAACTCGTTGAGGATTGTCGCCGAATTGTTTCTGTGACTTCGCTGTGCAGTTCGAAGCTGTTCTGCGCTTTTTAACGTCGAAATGCCGCCGCGCTTCTGCATGGCTGAGAACTGTGGTAACGATTTAGTCAACAGCGATGCCGTGCAACAAGTTTCCGAACGACGAGAACTTCATGCCCTGTGGATCCGGCTCGCACGTCCGTTGTTTCCGACGTGGGTTCCGTTGTCTGCTGCTCGCTTTCCGAAATGAATACAAAGGGTGCGGCGCCGGCGTCCTCATCCTCACTTGTGTTGTTTAAGCTTATGTTCCCAAGGAAATCCCACACGAACACGACGCGCGCGACTGACCTCGCACCTGAAACGGTCGTCACCCCACGGGTACTTCGAACGACTCGGTTGTAACGCATTGACGCTTTTGACGCCACCACAAAGCTGACAACGCCACCAACGGCAAAGCTCATAACCACGCCAGCCCTGCTACGTCGCGAATGCGGAAAATCCTTTTTTTTTTTTTTTTGTTTGCGCCGGATATCCTGTGACGCATCACGCTCTCCGTTCGCTTCTCTTCGAGCGCGTGTTCGAGCGCGCCGTTTGGAGCGAAAAATATCGCCAGTCGTTTAAAATACAAAAGTGTGAATATCATTTACGATTATTATCCGTCATGCTTGACTCATTTCTGAACGAAATTTGTATATTTCGATTTTTGTTTCTTTACCCATTTAAAAGAACTGATATTTGCAATCGCATCTGTAGAGATCAAGGAGCTGATCAATTAAAACGAATTTCGACTTTAACTAAATAATTTTAATTATATCTGTTGTACACTAAAAAACCGCAAAAATAAAAAAAAAAAAAAAAAATTGTATTTTAATTTTGTGTGTGTGTGTGTGCGGGGATGATACAGGTGTGCGGAAGTAAACAAAAATCGAATAATGGCCGAGCTTCCGTGGGGAGTACGTTATGCTTCCGGTCTGCCGTCGTTTTTGCTTGTTTTTGAGGACCCTCAGTGAGTAGCGCATACATTAAATGGCCCATGATGCGTATTTTGTGCTGGGACAAATGAATTTAGATTCGGATTTTACTAACATCATATAGTTTAGTGGGCCATAAGAAGGAAGCTAGAGAGTCAATATCCTGATTTTTGGTATGAAAATTTGAAAGGACAGCGGGCTATTTTGTACCTCCTTCCCTTCGAAAGCTGTCTGGGATACATCCGCGGTACCCAAGGCGCGTCACCCGGCCCAAACGCACGTCACACCCGACAACGGACCTCACTTAATCTCTTAACCCCTACGCTGACAGTGCGGTGGAAGCTATACGCTTGCCGGACCAATCAGCCGCCTTCCTTTCATCACGTGCCCTCATTCTCTGCGGGTGGGTATGCGCGAGGGAGCGTGATTACGTGGCAAAAGTATGGCTGGTCCAAGGAGCACCTTGCTTCCACCGCACTGTCAGCTTTGGGGTGAACGGGGTGGGGAACACAACTTTTGTCCGAGTTTTGAGCGGAGGGATAATCTTCTAGGAGGATAATGGTGGTGTCCGGGTACACAAACGAGGGTCTGAGCAAGAGGGAAGTCCTTTTTGTCTTCTTGAACTGTTTAATACAATGCGCGATTTGAGAAGGAAAAAGTTGAAAAATCGTTCCGTAAGCCCTTTAAAACTCTCACAGCCAAGCACTAACTGCTTTAAAGGGCAACTCCGCTTAATTTCAAAAATTTTGAGATAGTGGCCGATTTTGCTTTTTGGAGCACTCCAAAACAACCCCCAATCCTTTGTTTCGCGAAAAATAAAATATTTTTCGTGTAATTTTACTCTAGCCATGATCACAAACCGAAACCGAAACGGTGGCAAAGCCGGACAACATTGTATATTTGGCATCACTAAGCATGTACACCCACGTGATATACAAGGGGAAGAAGGAGCTCCCCTCTTATCAGGATCCTCCTTTGTGCCTCCTGGATTAGCACAGGCGTCGCTATTCTCCTCCCAGAAGATTATAGAAGATTAACTTGTCACTCAAAATTCTTACAAAAGCAGCTTCCCTCTCCTCCTTTTACTTGGTGTTCAAAAGTATGGGATGTAACACAAGCCGCGCTCAACGAGGCGATCGGCTTATCAGTAGTATCAATAGTCGAGCGCCGGGCCGGCCGAGCGCGTCACTCACGTCTTTCAGGGCGCTGGCGCCACCCGTGCTGTCCCCCAAAAAAAAAAACCAAATTGAAAAAAAAAAAAAATCTGCACATGCTTGATGACGTCGCGGACGTCCCGGGAGAAGGAATTTGGAGGAAGCGGAAATGCAGCCGGGCAGTGTTGTCTGGCCCGCACGTCTCATCCAAAACCAGCGGATTCGTGCTTGTCAAACTTTGACAGCGATTTTAATGAACTTCTAGGCGGAATTCCGTCGTAATATTTGCCATGGGGGTTTTGTAGATGATAACAAAGAGAACTGTATAGTTTTGCACTACTGGAAAAGAAGCGGAGTAGCCCTTTAAACGGACCATGAAATGATTTTAAAATCGAATTTCATCCACCGCACGTCGTAAAAGGTGTGAAAAGAAACACAAAAACACAAATATAGGGAGCCAAAAAAAATTATTTGCTATAGAACTTTTAAAAGAAAACTGGACTCTTTTGCGCCTTCTTTCCTTCGAAAGCTCTCTACCTTTTCACTACGATGCATCCGCGGAAACGGAGCACGTCAGCCGAATCCACGTCGCCTATTGGGTAAGGGCCTACCTCACCAGCACCGCGATCGTAAACAATAAATAGCCGGCGAATGTTTCCTAAAAGTTTTGTGAAAGAATATTCAGATCCACATTTTGTAGCATAATTAGAGATGTGTGGCGAAAATTGCCGAATTTGATAATCCTGAGAGCCAAGCGCCATCTATCAAGTGGTAAACGAAGCAACTACTGCGCGTGCGCAGCAGGGCAGGGCCGACTTCAGTTACTTGGGTCGCTTGGGTCGCGACGACCGACGAACGTTTATTTCCTTTGATTTCCTTCCTCTCAAAACTCTGACTGACTGAACGTTTATTTTTCTACGTGTTCTTCTCGCGCGTGCCGACTTCAAGCAGCAAGAAAAAAAAAGTACTTAAAACAGACCACGACGAACAAGGACGCTGGATCCACAAACACCCGAGAAAAGCGACAACGGCCACGAATCCACCAACTCCGACGAAGCGAGCTGCTCAGAATATAGGCCTAGCAGGTACTCCGACTCGGCGCAGCTTTGCTTCGTCGCAAGACCGTCTGCCTACGACCGGCTGGCGTGCTGAATGGAATATGCCCGCGCTACCCTTGTGGACCCTTCCCGTATTTAGTTTGATCGCTGACCTCAATTTTAGATTAAGAGGTGAGGTCAATCTCTTCCCCTTGTTTTCCGAGGCAGTGTTGACGAACACTCGTCGAAAAGGGACTCTCGTCGATTCTATCTTCTTGTTTTGTGTGATATAGAGCTGAATAAACGCCGTATGGATTACCTCCGTAACACGGTATGTACACTTTGTTATTGGTATGTCATTTTTATCCTGACAGACTGCACGTCACTGTCGAGCTATAACGGTTCGTGGGAGGTATACGTGCAATGCCGGTCCAACCTTTCTTTGCCGAGTGTCGCGTCAGTATCGAGTTGCAATCGTAAAAGATCGGTCCCGAAGCGCTTACCAACAGCGCGAATACAGCACTTCCATCAAACGCGCGCGTCCGCTCCGAGCGTGAACAGGTATTTACGTGGCTCTTGCTGACACTCGTAGTTCAAACGTATCTTTTTTAACGTCGGCTCGCTCCTGCATTTCCGAGGCCGCGAAAAACGCCGCGGCAATTTGTTTCCATCTACGTCGCTTTGCAAACGACTAACACGGGCCGCCTTTTACCAACAATGACAGTTGGGTTGACTTTTGGAGTCTTCACCGGAAGACTCGCTGCACTTCCCAACAGGCATACCGGCGTATGGGACTAGTCCCATGCTGTCGCTGTAGAGCAACATCTCTAATTGAATTTCGCTCAGCTGCGATGCGGCGATGGGAGGCGCCGATTCAGAAAATACGTCGGTGACATCAGCGCAGTAAAACCTACCGGCGCACCCCAACTCGCCTCCGCTAACGCTCCCATTCTCCTACTGCCGAGAGAACTTCCGGTTCCGGAAACAGCTTACGTCACGGCTTGTTTTGCGGTCAGTTAGAGAGAAAGAAAAAGTCGATATTTCATTAATTTTTTGTATAGAAGTTAATAAACTGAGACGAAAACGGATTCCTGTTCGGCATTCAGTGATGATTGACGGTTTAGTGTAAAAGTTATCTGGAAAAAGTAAAACGGTCATTTTATGGTCCCTTTAAGAGGTATTCACACGAGGGAGAAATCCCAGGGATTTCTCCCCGGCACGCGCGCATCAGGAGATGAAAACGCGAGGCTTTTGCACATCGCAAAGCCTGACGTTTTCGTCGTGGGATGCGCGTGCCTCCTGATATTTAGTTACAGGGGATGGACATCTTTTCCTGTTCGCTTGGGGTAACAGAAAGAGCACTTGTTTCTCAAGGAAATGACAAATCTACCGAAGGTATCGTGGGAGCACCTTCAGGACTACCTTTTTGGCTAGCTTGGTCCGTACACCTGAGAACTACATAAAAGCTAGAAATTCCTAAATGTGGGCAACTAGTTCGTGAACGCTCCGGCCCCCCCCCCCCCCCCCCCCCCCTCGGCGCAGAATATTCGCACCGAGCTTTTCCTCAGGGGTGTCTGCGTTTTGATCTTAACAAACAATCTTTCAAAAGCGTCTTTTTTTCTTTTTTTTTACGCTTCTTTTTATTCTTCCCACCGAGTAAGACTGAGGGAGACCAGACGGGTTTTTAAGCCCTTTGCGACTTCTTAGGACCGGATGCGATGCAGCGGAGCTGGTACTAAGAGATCGCAAGAGGCTCAAAAACCGGTCTGGTCTTTCTCGGTCTTACTCGGTCGCAAGAGTGTGAACGGGCCTTAATGCACAATTTTCTAGTGTTTTCACTTGTTTGCTTCTTGTATTCAAGGTTTCTTTCCCAGACCTTCGTGCACAGTGCATTTGTACGTGCCGTAAAGGCCCGTTCACACTCTTGCAACTGAGTACGACCGAGAGAGACCAGACCGGTTTTTAAGCCTTTGCGACTTCTTAGGACCAGCTCCGCTGCATCGCATCCGGTCCTAAGAAGTCGCAAAAGGCTTAAAAACCGGTCTGGTCTCTCTCAGTCTTACTCGGTGGCAAGAGTGTGAACGGCGCTTAACGGTCAATCGTTGTACGGAGATGGTCGGTCGACGTGCCGCACGCCGCGGCACCTGCGCTGCATTCTCGCGTTTGTCACGTTGCCCCATCTGTCGACAGCACGTCGAAGCAAGATAGCACCGTCTACCCACAGAGTTATTATAATGTACGCTAGAGGTTCAAGTGGCGCTAGTGTGCTGACGCAAATTGAAGCAGACAGCAACCAGTCGAAAATTGACTTCCGGTAATGCATTTCTATGGGAAAAAGTGAGTGCATTTCCTCCCTGCGCTCGATCATAAGAGCAAATATCCTAAATGATTCGTACGTACTAGGTAGTTTGGAACATTTCTCAGTCAGGCCGACGAAAGAATTGGTCAGTTACGGCGTTTTTCTCTTGAATTTATCGCACTAAAAACGGTGCTAAAACGGCTTCGTACGTGTATTTATGTACACTGTCGGACACTGTTAGCGCGAAGGCGGCGTCGGCGATTTCCAGCATGGGGGATATACATGTCAAACGAACGAAGGACATCTGGAAAATCAAGAGCGACGGCAAGAACTACGCAGCAACACCGGATCAGTAACTCGCAGAGCATGTACGATCAAAATAAATTGAAGGCCACGTAATCTATTCCGATTTTAAATAAGTGAGTACCGCTTTATTCTTGCTGTCCTGAGCGAAGCTGCGTGTTCTACGTTCAAAATATCACCCGTGCGCTAGACATCTTTGAGAACAAGTGCGCGATAAAAGCTGCCCGGCAGAGAAAGCAATACGGAGAGACACCTTTCATATCCCACGGACTTTATTCTCTACGTTGAAGGTTTTTATCCGCTCATGCACGACGGGATCATTTTCATATGGTGACAGGACTGGCATATTATCAATATACAAGCGTCGCCGGAATGCTGGCGAGCCTTGAACACACTCTATATTCGTTTCGATCGTAATTTTGCTTTGAATCGTCGCTTGTTTTTACACACCTGCTGCAGAACACACGTTTGGGACTGAAATGCAGCGAAGTTAAACATCACTCACTGATGAAGAAAAATGCGCTAACTAAAGCAATTACACTTTTACAATGTTAATTAAGACACATACTATTCGGTACGACCGAAATAACAAAAGTGTTCCATGTTATTTTCCTGCGAAGAGACGAAATGCACGCGCGTTTTCCCATAGGAATGCACAGGAGCACCACAAAAGTAGACTGGTTGCTGTCTGCTTCAATTTGCGTCACGGAAGTCGCATAGACACTAGCGCCAGTTGAACCTCTAGCGTACATTATAATAACTCTATGCGTCTACCAATGCCGTCGCCCTGGTATCACCCAGGTCCTGCCGCGTCGGTGCGTCCGTCGTCTCGCGATAATCGGAGGAACTTCACTTGTGACATTTTGTTCCGGCAGGTGCGCATCGGCAAATGAAAGAAAACGACACTGGAGTATTTCTAGAGCGTATAGCCCTCACCAAATTGCTCGCTAGTGAGCCGAAGGTCGTCGCGCACACTTACCCAAAGACTAGGTAACTATAGGAGAACCGGAAATATTTTTTCCCCGGCTGTCTTGGTGGTTGGAAGTGGCGCGCACACCCTTTATATGCATCATTATGCAGATTCTTGAAACGAGACATAATAATTAGGTTCTCCACGCGCCGATCTGATATCTTTTTATAGGCCAATAGTTGGCGGGCTTGTAAATATTAAAGAAAACTCACACAACAAGATCAATTTCCATCCATCCAGATTCCCAAAAAAGTCTTTGCAGCATTTCACCAGTGGGTGGTCGGGACACTCGTGAGCGTTCAAGTCTATCGAGTAGACCAGCGCTGCCGTTGCGTCCATCGCGCACGTGTCGAACATTCTGGAAAGGCGACGCGGTTGAGATTATTTCTGAAACAATTGAAAAACGCAGGTAGTGTAGAGTACCGAGCATCTTGCTCTCGGTCCTCAACCAATGAGATTTCAGCATTAGCCGATAAGAACGTAGAAGAACCAATCACGAAGCAGGAAGCGTAAATCATGTCTTGCGTTTATCATGGTCTCAGTTACCGTGCACCGGCGAGTCAGAGCAAGTAACCAAAGGTCTATTTTGTCTTCTGCAACTGGTGAGAAAAATTACAGGAGGACGCTTAAGCTTCGCCTTTAAGAGTGGAACGCGATGGCTGAACAGGTAAACCTCCGCTCGTTCCGAAGCCGGCAGGCGTGTCTGCGTGGCCTAGTCGGTTACATGTCTGACCGTAACCGAAGGTGCGAATCCCGCCTGTACCTAAAATTCTTCAATTTTGTTTTCTGTAAGGCAATTTAATTACTTTATTAAATGATCTCATTTGAGATATGCGGCGACCTTCAATTCGCATGACATGTCATGTTTTAATTATTTTTATTCCACGCGTGACGTCACGTTTTAAGTGAGCGTCATGTGCTGTTTGAAATTACCGCTCGACGTCATCTTGCTGTGACGTCATGAACCTATCGACCAGTCAAGATTTTCCAATCCCACCGAGGCCGGCGTTTTTGCGACATGAACTCCTTAAGGCTCTCACTTCAAAAGGTACCGATACAATGGTTAATGTGTACGCAATAGTGTGCTCTAGACGTCTACGTAGATATAATTCTGTGTTCATCACTATTTTACCTGCAGCGTGTGGGTTCGCGCACTGCGAAGTGATGTACGAAAGCAATCTAGAACATGCGAACGCATATGCCATATTTCTTGGGGGTCATCTGATTATGACATGAGGACCCGGGCTTGTTTGTGGGCCTTCTGATATATATGCAGGGCGTTTTCTTTGAGCTTTACAGGTTTCTTTTAACAAAAGTCGTGGAAGTTACACTAACTCCGTCCGTGCAACGGAGTTATAAACTGCCGAGACGGCGTAGTTAGGAAGCTAATCGTCACGATTATTGTCAAATAATTAACTAAGAGTTCTTAATTGACTTTTTAAGTAGTGAAAATAAACATATAGCTTCAAATACAAACTTGGTGAGCGTTATAGAAAACCAATAAATCGGTCAATTTTATAAAGACTGAGCACGGTAGTGCGGTAAAGTTACACCTCTTGGAACTGCTGCAAAAGCTGGCGGTGCGGAAACACTGATGATAAGAGACGAAAGAACTCCACGGTGGTTTCCACGCCACCAGCCTATCGCACCGCTCGTAGTCTCGCTAAACTTTACTGATTTTGTGATTTTCGATGACGCTCAGCAAGTTTGTAATTGAAAACTTTTGCTTATTTTTACGACCTACGAAGCGGAGTAAAAAAAAATTTAGTCAATTATTTGATTTATCTTAACGAATGACCATCTATATGATGTCCCTCTGACTGCAAAACGTCACCTGCAGAGACTACGATAACTTTTACGGCAATTTTAACCAAATATGTGAGGCAAAGAAACAAAAAAAGAACAACAAAAAACAACAACCTGCATTTCTCTATATATAATAAAAAAAATATGCAGGGTTTAGAGAAGCGGTGGCTGGAATCTAGTATTCATCTAATTTATGTGGCATTTATTAAAAACATATATTGCTTTCCTTTTATTTCTAGGCACGAAGCATGTTCATCAAAAAACCGGGCAACAGGACTTACTCGGCAACTGCCACAGCACCCTTCCCTTCGAGCAGAAGTCTCGTGGAGAGTTTGTCGGACGCAGCGACAACAATCGGAACCATCTACAAAAAGAGAAGACAACGAGGCTCACTGTGGATCACCGCTGCAAAATAAAATGAGGGATTTTATTTACTTTATTTATTTACAATACTGTGAACCTTACGGTCAACACAGGAGAGAAAAATAAGTTGTACCAGCCAAGCAAAATGCATTCACACCCAAGTGAGCACTTATGCACATGCAGTGGTGCGTCACACCCTGCACATCTGAAGATGTATTCCGCACACATACATTATTCAGTTAAAAATTCGCGCAATGATAATTCAAATGACTTGAGATTAGAGCAGCTGACGACTTCGTTTGGCAGAGCGTTCCACTCTACTATTGTCCTACAAAAGAAAGAATACTTAAATACATCATTTTTGTATTGATACGGAGCAATCGCCCTGACGTTGCTAGTCCTTTGGGAACGAGACGTTGAAGGCCGCAAGTAAAGCTGCGGATCTAGCTTTGTCATTCCAGTCGTTATGGAAAAGAGTTCTTTTAACCTTGATATTTTCCGTCGCTTTGCCAGCGAGTCAAGCTGCGCCTCTTGTCTCATTGAAGAAACAGATTCTGTACGTTTATATCTGGAGAAGATAAATCGAAGAGCCAGATTTTGTATTCTTTCAATTTGTGATTCGTGGCATTTTCTATACGGGTCCCATACAGTGCATGCATATTCTAACAATGGGCGAACATAACACATGTACGCAAGTTGTCGAACATCACTATTGGCATGCCTAAGTTGTCTTCTGAGGAATAATAACTTTTTGTAGGCCTTTGAGCAAACGTAATCTACATGGCTGTTCCATCGCATGGTAGAACTAAAAATAACACCTAAATATTTAAATTCGTCCACCTTTCGCAGTTGCACGCCACCTATGTTATAGGAATATTCTAAAATGTTTCGTTTGTTTGTAATGCTGCAGAATACTGTTTTATCAAAGTTAATTACCATACCCCACCTTTCACACCACAAGCAAAGTTTTTCTAGAGAGGCATTAAGCAAGTCTTGGTCTTCGACTGTACGCACTTTTGAAAACAACATGCAGTCATCCGCAAATAGCTTTACCTGGACAGCTGGCGGCATATCATCTGCAATATCATTTATATACAGTAAAAACAAAAGTGGACCTAATACCGACCCTTGTGGCACACCTGAAAACACTGCAAGGCGGGTAGAGCATGCATCATTGCAGTAGACATACTGTGTTCTGTTAGTTAGGTAAGACCGTACGTCGGCTAAGCTGCTTATCGGCTATGCGGGTAGAAAACGAGGGAGAGGAGGAAATGAGAACGCGAACGCCGAACGACGGACGCCGGCGCTTGACGTTCAAATGCGTTCGATCTGTACGTAGAGACAAAGGCAGATAGCTTTGCGTCTACGCTCCAACCAGAACTTGCTCCAATCAATCCAATCGAGAACTTGGCGCTCTTGCGTTCCGTGCGCTCTCACGTCCTCCTCTCCCTTAATTTTAACCCACTTGCCATTTTGTTTTTTGTTCCCGATGGGATGCCGCAAATTTGGCAGTATGCAACGAAAACCTCACTATATGGTGGTTCTACGAAACGCCTTTACCCCTCTGTGTGTCATGTTAATGAACAGCGTCAGACACTTTCGCCATTCCTTTACACGCATGCGCTTAAGTATTGACGTCGTTTTTAGTCTTGGTGAAACGCCGAAACAAGGCGACTGGCTACGACAATGATAATGCTCAGTAAGTATGCGATCGGGGACGTATTTCGGTTGCATACATAGAAGTTTATTCCTATCTTTTTTTTTCAGAGTCGCCCGGGCGGCAGCAATAGATCGGGGCCTTGATGGCCACCAACTGATCGACTCTTAGATCGGCTGCTCGTTCTAAGTAGGAATAAAGAGCAGTATGCGCAATATTAAAGCACGAAATGATGCTCCTTTGTTTCGCCGACTATCTCTAAGACAGACAGTCCCTTTATGACGAAAAAAAAAGAAAAGAACTTCACCAAATTTGAAAGAAGAGAAAAAAAAAAGAAAAAAAAAAGCAACAACTGGTTTTGCATATAGAAAGACATACGGCGAAAGTTCACCAACATGGCGTCCTGCGAGATTTTGGGCCGGAAGTACGTCACATGAAACCGCCCCATACCGACTGGGACAGATATGTTCATGATTTGGGGAAAGTAGCCAATTTACAAGAGGTATACGCACACAAATAAATTAACTTTCATTTGGTTTTTATGCTCGGAATGGAAGTCAATTTATTCTCGTTAACACATTTAGAAGGAAAAAACAACAACAAAAAAACACATACACAAAGAAAAACACTGCACTTTTAAGAACACTTTTTGTATTTTCTTAACGTCGTCCCATCGCACTATGGGCGGAATAAGTGTTGCCTGGGGCTGGTGCGCTTGGAGACGATACTTGGACAACTCGGATACCGCGTTTGCTCTGCCTACTACTTCACAACAGTGGACCCTACCAACGAAGAAGCTGTGGCCCTCCGCCTTCTCATTATTCATCTGTTCCTACCGTAATGTATTCGGTCGTTCCCGGCTGCGGCTCCCGTCCACCGCCGCAACGTCGACAGAGAATCTCTTCTCTCCTCCATTTTCACAAGTGTCCCTTCTATCGGCGATTAACCCCTCCACTCCTTCCCCCAATTAATGATTTCATGCGCGTCAGCATCTCCCCGTTTGCAAGCCTTCTCTTTCTCTCTCTTTATTTCTCCCTTTCAAGGAGGATTCCCCAGCCAGTTACGCACCCAGAACTCGGTATTCGCATAGCGGAAACACAATCGAACACTGGCTCCAGTCATTATATATACTGAGAAGGCCTTTAATCGATTTTTTTTCCCCGCGGCTTTGGAGCCTTTCTAGCTCACCCTGATGACAGTGGCAGCGCAGGCCTGTGTAAGGTTTTTGCTCTGGCAACATTTTCTAGGGATAGAAAATTACTGGAAACGCATTGAAAAGCCCTGTGGCACTATGGCAGCCAATTATTCTTATACTCCCTTAAAACATATTTGTCTAATTTATATCAAAATTTAAAAATTGAAAGCTCGCTATAACGTCGGGTGTTTAAAGTTTAAAGTTTGTTTCGGAATGCATAATTAAAATGTCTTGACTTCTTAACGAGTGTCCTCAAACTCAAGAGCTTAAAAGCCTATATAATCGACAAATAAGAACTGACCTCGAGCTCCGTATAACTACCATATTCTAGAAAGAAAGATTTATTTTCCATCGTCAAAGTTCTTCCGTTTTTATCGCGAGGAGTAATGACGGTGTAAGAAGAGGTTGTATGGTGATATGAAATATATATCTTCTATTGGTTACGAACTGCTTTCAATCGGTTCGTTGTAAAGGCTGGCGAAATCATCGTTTTTGCAGCCTTCCACTCTTCATCCGAGGTATTCAACAATGCCTTGTCCCACAAGGGGTTTCCCATTAGGTTGGGCTCCTGAAACAAACACAGAACCACCCACAAAATTACAAAAAATACGTGTTTACATTATTTTGACATCTTCCGTTTTCTTTTTCTATATGTTGCGTGTAAACACTTCATATGAGAGATGAAACATTAAGTCTTTATCCAAAATGCAGCTGATATTAATAGCATTGTAAAGATAAGATAGTTGGTAGTGCTTACTATTCTGTCAGTAAAAGACTTAAAATCTTTTACATAGATGTCTCGGAGGAGCAGTGGATCTCCAACTACCAGAGCGGGCACAAAACCTTGGTATGAGCTGTAAGAAAGTGCCAAACGTTATTCGTGACAATTGTTTGTCCGAGATCAACGACACTCTCTTAAAAATAAATTATTCCGATGATTGGTTTATTGCGTTTGATTATTAATTTGGTTTGTATTATCCTAAAATCTTAAGTTTTAAATATAAACTTTAAATTAGAGACTGATATTGATATACCAGACATATTAAGGAAACAAATATGAATACATGTCAGTCTCACTTTCAGTGGAAAACTAATTAGATAGGTATTTTGCGAAGTTTTACAGTGGTGCAACGTTAAATGAGAAACGCTATCTTGCGTAATGAAAAATTACATAAATTTATTTTCCAAGTGAAGCGTTCTGAAAATTAAAGTGACAAGCGGTTCAAATTTTAAAACATGGCCGTGAGGATATCAGCGTGAATATAGAATAAAGAACATGTCATCCTGTCCCTTGTTAAATCAATTACTCGGCCACTTGAAATCAGCTACAAGATATCAAAGTGTTTACAAATCGCTTACTAAAATGTCTCTGTTCTATTCTTGACAGGGCGACAAGGTGAAAAAGTACTGAAGACTAAGTATATAAATAATGCGTAAATTTATAAGTAAAAAAAAAAAAAAAAAACTCATCCGTGAAAGCATAACGATGAGTTATCTATTTTATATAACTTGCGCGATTCACGGAGTTTCTTCGACATGAATATCGTTCGCGCAGGGACAATGGCTGTCTGTGGTTAAATAAAACAACGTGACTAGCCAACATGTAGAGTTGGAGTCCAGTAAAGGGACACTGACAGGGTATTTATGCTCGCCGAGGTTTTTAGTTGTACCTGACATATGAGAGACCAACTACCCAGAACAGAATTTGCGGCTCGAAATTCGGTTTCTTTCCGCCCGAAAACCGCCGATCGAGAACTGGCCGGTTCGAGTCTTGCTCACTCTCTTTTCCGTGGTCACGGGCCGTTTTCTAAGGTTTCGACGAGACCACCAAACTTAATCAAAGTCGTTGGTCACTGAAGGCACACACTCAATATTAAAAATAGAAAAAAAAAATGAAACCCTTTTTTTTTTGCTTTAAAAAAGCGGCAAATGCGTTGATTGAAAAAAAAAAAAAAAGAAAAAGGTTTCACAGACAATCGGAAGCATTCTGTGCGTTCACTGCATAATTTTCAACATGGCGTCGTTTCGCGTTTTGTGGGACTCGCGGGTGGCAGCGGACGACGGGGGTGGGACTTTTATTTCAGAACGTTTCGTTCACGGTACCGGCGAATTCTGTCTTCCTTTGAAAGATAACTTTTGGACCAAACAAAAGAATTGCTATTCATCTCGTACGACACGCCCGACCATCCAGCCAATCGCACGAAGACGTCGCCGAGCCGTCGTCCCTTCTCGTGGCTGAAGACATCGCTCGCTCAAACGTCAAACACGAAGTGCGTACTGCGAGTTGAATACACACGCGTACGGTTTCTTTACGAGGTGCGAATATGTTCAATGCGTGGTGCTGCTCGACTTCGGGCCGAGAGTGCATGTACTGGAGGGAAATCGGAAAAATCGGCAGCAAGCTTTCCGACATATAGTCTATCGGCTGCATTCCTACGAAGTTCCTTCAGTAGCTCAGTGGAAAAACGTCCGCTTCACACGCAGTGGGCACGGGTTCGATCCCTAGCATGGGCGTACCGTTTTACATTTTGCGATGTTTACGTTTCTTTATTTTACAATCATCGCTGAAAAAAACAAAAAACAAAAAAACAATTATTGTGGACGATAAGTCGCTGAACTAAATAATATGTGATTCCATTTTTGACGGCTTTGCCGCACAATGCCACTTTCAGATGCAGGACACGCGAGGCAGCTCTTCACGCAACAGCTTGGGAGTATTCTTTTCGGAGCCGATCACGGGACTTCACCGCGGACACCTCGCAACCAATTGGCACCACTTAAATGTACAAAAGAACTCATCTTGAAGTACAGAACAGCGAGCGGAACAAACAGAACTGCAAAGGAATCACACGGCGAACGGATCCTGCGACGCATTTTGCCTGCACCGCTCGGAAAAAAAAAAAAAAAAAATCGCATGGTCGGGTGTAGCCACTTGACTTTCGCCACTCTATCCTTTCCACATCTCCGTGCGGTGCGGGGGTTTGTGTTTCGAGCAGTTGCTTTTTTTTTTGTCTTTATTAAAAAAAATACGTGACTCTGTAGCAAAATATTAATTGGGTAGTAATCCGACATCATATAAAATCGTCTGGCAAAAAATTAAAAAAAATTTTTTCGGGGTTTTCAGTGTCCCTTTAAAGTGACATGAATCTTAGCCTATTTTTTTCAATGTGCACAAAGCATGTAAGTCACACAACCCTACCCTGCCACACACACAAAAAAAAGCAAAGAAAAAAAAAACGTACTTGTTGTTTATGCACCGCTCTATATAAACTCCGCTTATTTGTAGTGGAGTGGCTTGGCTGCCCGGAAGAACACCGTATGACACCGTAACGTCTCCCTGTTGTCATTTCTGTTGCGTATATTCCGCTGTGTGACACCGTCTTGTAAATCATAGTTTATTCACGTTGTGTGCTTTTAAAGCTTGAAGTGAAAAATTTTTAAACATCATCACTCCCTTCATCATAGCTCTCTAGAGGTAAAAATGTAAGAACGAACCCGTATAGGCGGCCATGTCGACGATAGTTTTTCTTTACGACTTCATGCATCGGCTGTGAAAGAAAGAAAGAAAGAAAGGTGAAAAAACAAAGAAGGCATATGTTTCGGTGAAGATCCATTATCGTTTGCACAGATAACTGGGCATTCTTTTTTCGAAAGGCGGCTGTCCATAGGTGAATAACATTTTATTGCGTCGAAAAAACAGTTATTGTAAGATAATAACCAATTGCATCTTGGCAACCTCAAAACTGAGAAGTGTATTTCCTTACTCAGACGTATCTATTACCGCAAGGTTGAAATTGTTACTAGTAATAAAATATAAGTATAATTACTTAACTGATTTTATAGTGTCACAAGGACTCGCTTAAAAAAAGTTTAGTTTCCCATCAAGTTGAATATCAAAACTAAAACTGGGTTTCTAAGTTTAGATTCCGGAGAAAGTATGTGCACTTTCTCCGGAATCTTATTTCAAATTTATTAAGATCACAACTAGGCTATCAGTATGCTTTATACCTTGGTAAAAGTATCGTATACCAGCTTCACGTAGTCGGTAAAAGACAGATATGGAATCCCTTTTCCACGCCAGAAACTGAAGTTTCTTCTTATTACCCTGAAAAGAAACACCAACCAAGAGCTTGAAAGCATACACGCATCACACACTTCGGCACCCGATGCAACCAAATATGACTTCCTCAATCGATCTAAACAGTGTCAATGCGCAATCAAATGCCCCAAAATGAAATGTACAGAGTGAATATATAATTTCATGCGAGACGATGTATCCAGAGAACAGGCGCTGCCAGAAACTGATTGCTAGTTAAAGAGTTGCTAGAAGCGATCACTCGTATTACGATACATGATAATTATTTTCATCGGAAAAGGAGTGATGGAATGTTTGTAGCTTAGCTTTGCTGAAGTAATAATAACGCGTTCGTAGATTTGAAGGACGCCTAGATTTCGAAGGAGGCCCTCCGAACGCAGTTCAACGCACTTAGCGTATCGCACGCCTCGTCATAGCAGACTTTCAGAACAAGCAAATTAGGAGAGGAACAACAAATTCTAGATAGTAACAACTTAAGAAATTAAAAAAAAGGGATATATTTGAAAGAAACAACAACAATGACAACGCCCTACACAGAAACACGCACACATACACACACACACACACACACATATATATATATATATATATATATATATATATTTATATATATATATATATATATATATATATATATATATATTTATATATATATACAACACGGGCACTTCACAGCATCGTACTTGGTCCTCGAGGAGGATATAAACGAACATATGCAGATGAATGAACCGTACTTAATCCAATGAATCAAAGAATTAAAGTTTTCAGGAACCCGCCGAAAGCCAAAGTAACGGCGGAGCCAGAATTTGAACTCTGGGCCTCCCAATGTCCGGTCGGGTGTGCTAACCTCTACACCACTTCACTTTCTTTTTTTCTTTATTTCTCTACAATACTCCACCTTGACTTTCTGGCGTTTCCTATCTGTCTTAATAACGCACAAGACACGAAATTTACCGAATCGGAGGTGTTCTGGAAACACACGCCGCCGCGTGGAACGCGGTTCGACGCTTGGTGTCACGTGGCACGTGCTCGTTTATGCTCCAGAGATCCTCCCACTGTTCTGTCTCGTCCCGTGTATATATTGTATAATATATCTATATAATTGTATAATTTTATAGATTGTAGAACGATAGAAGGCACGCGAGGCATTTTACGGCTTTCTGAAAAACCGCACAAAATCGACGGGTTTTTAAGTTTCGGTTTTCTATCGGAGCGCATCTCGTCCCCGGCGGCACCGCGCCCCGTGGAGAAATAGTGCAACCACCCTCTGCAGCGTCGCGCGATGACAGCGCAGCAGATGTTGGTTGCACTATTTCTCCACGGGGCGCGGTGCTGCGTGGCTGAGATGCGCTCCGATAGCAAGCCGAAACTTAAAAACCCGTCGATTTTGTGCGGTTGTTCAGAAAGCCGTAAAATGCTTCGCGTGCCTTCTGTCGTTCTGAAATTTGTTGATTTAGTGCTTTTCGATAAGGCTGTGCACTTTTCTAATTTAAACCATGCCCTTAAACACAATATTAAAAAAGTTAATTACGCAAAATACTTAACAACTTAATTATCCCGGACTTTAGTAATTTTCCTAATTGGGCCCCTAGCCCAGGACCAAAACGCAGCAAGCCTTTTTTCGTTGCGATAAATAGTTTTTGCAGGAGCGATTTGGCCTGCGTTCTTTGAAACACCCTGTATATATGCACGTGAGGCAGAGTAGTTTGACAACAATGGACCGGGAAAATGTAGTAACTCAAAGATCCGTACTTTCAGAGTTGCTATATTAGGAAGTTTATTTATGTATTACGACAGTTTTGCCGAAAGGCTTGGCTTACTTTAGGAATATATCGTGCCGATAGGGTTTTTGATACGACTTAATCTGGAGTTTCACGGGTCATACTGTGGTTAAACTATTTTCATCAGAATACGCTCGCGTGTATTCTGATGAAGTATGGCGCTTGACATACTCTAATTTGTTTTGTATATCCTTGGGTTTACACCTGCTTGGTGTAGTTCAAGCACTTATAGTCAGAAAACACGTTTGGCGTCAATATATTTCCCACGAAGTACTTTAAGACACGTAATTAGGTGATCTACGTATCTCGTGAAGGCCAGAGCTATACAGCTCGGTAACTTTTTAAATAGACTTCTTGCAAAATCGAAACGATCCTAGCGGAGTACTGCCGTGCAAAGCATTCCGTCACGACTTAATACAGTCCTTGCATTTACGAATATCAGGCTTTCGTTTAATTTATCATACTGTTTGTGTTGCCTACAAATACGCATAATATTCTGGGCACGTTTTTGTGCTCAGCGTTCCCGACGTGCCAGAGTATGTGTACATGAATAGTAAGGACTACGAAGGCAGGTGGAAGAAGTATATACTGGGCCGGTCATCCTGTTCCATCCTCTTCTCAATGGGATTCTTAAATTGTCCGTGAGCCGGGAGGGTCATTCTGCGCTCTGGAGTGGAACCAGGCCACCACGAAGGTATGGGATGCGGCCGGCCTTACTCGTAGTCCTCGCTAAGCCTAGGCCGGTCCTTACGGCCGCTGGAGATTCGTGTTTCAACGGGGCTCTCACGAAGATGAATGAGTGCATCGCAAGCGAGCGCAGACTTTTTTTTTTTAACGCAATAGCGTTCTTTAGCTACTTTACGCGGTTTTCGCGATACGGAATCTGGCCTCGAATGCGCCTGCGCATACGCAGGCGCCGCGCGAATGCGGAGCGGCAGTACGCACTCCTTCATATTCGCCACCTCATCGAGGTGCCTGAACTCCTGGACGTCGTCCTCGACGTTGTTCTAAAGATCGTTTTTGAGGTCGTCGTAGGAGTCATCCTAGACGTCGTCTTTGGCGGCGTTCTCTAGGACGTCGTTCTTGACGTCGTCCTAGCAAGCAGGTAAACCCGCGCCGCGCATACACGGAGCGCGAGCACGCAACGATTCACATTTGCGCTAACGGGTACGAAGCAATTATCGGTTTGAGTAGGGCTATGTTGATACATAGTCAATGATGGTGGTGAAACAGCTTGAACATGAAACGATTACGCAGAGACAAGACAAGGCACACACATAAGATACTGCAATGATAGTGGGGAAACAGCGCCACATTGATAGATTAAACCCATGTCTTCGACTTTGATGCATTGATATGTAGAACCGTTCTTCGAGAGCCATGTTGTTGTAAAAAAAAAAAAAAAAAAAGCTCCCCAAAACTCCGCACATGCATTTGATAGAAGGCTTGTCGAATTATGAGGCGCTGGAGAAAACCAGCCTTCTGCACCAAGTCCTTATTTCGAACTCTTTTTGTTCACGTTCCGCCCATTGGAAAACATACTGGAAAGGCATCAGCGCGCACCTCGTATCGTTGCGCCGCAGTGTTCTTCCGCAGAATAAAGGCCGCCTGCTTTCATCGCCGTCACCATGGCAGCGAACACCGATTTGCCCAACGCCGTCTGCTAGCCAAAGTCTAATAGCTTCTTTAATGAGCAGCCGCACACTCTAAGAAATGCCTGCGCGTCTACTTACCCGCAGAAGACTTGAAAAGCAAATCTCTGGGATTTACGAAATCAGCTCAGCGAATGATGAGGCGGAACATCTGTTTAACCCTCTAAATGAAGTATGCGCTGTGGCATTACGCAATGCAAGCATGACGCTTTGGATTGCGTAATGCCAGAGTGCAAACATCAATTTTAGGTCTAAACGGATGTTCCGCCGCATCATTCGCTGAGCTGATTTCCTAAATCTCCATGATTGACTCTTCGAGTGTTTTGAGGGTAAGCAAACGTGCAGGCATTTCTTAGAGTGCAGACTGTAGCCGGCGAAGTGCCGTGAACGCAGGCCGTGGGCTAACACTGCTCCCCAAGGGTACACGTGCCGTCCGAAAAAGTTCAATCGACGTTCGCTGCCATGGTGACGGCGATGAAAGCAGGCGGCCTTTATGCTGTGGAAGAACACTGCGGCCCAGCGATATGAGGTGCGCGCTGATTTTCAATAGGGGAACGCGAACAAAAAGAGTTCGAAATAAGGACTTAAAGGAGCAATGCAACAATTTTTGTACTTTGCACAAATACCGCGTAAAACGGATCCCTAACGTTAATGACCTATGAAACACGCGTTCGTTTTTCACCTCACGCAATAAAAGTCCCAGAAAAAAATTTAAGAAAAACGAGCAGCATTCACCCCCTCAACTCGCAGCCAGAACAAGCGGCCACGTGATCTGGAGCCGCCAATGTTGATCATAGCCACGCGCTGGGGTTGGCAAAGCGCAGAACACGCGCTGAGTTCCAGACATTGTTATGGCTCGGCTATTGTCGTCGTTGCAGCGATTGGACACGGGTTACAACCCGAATGCTCCTCGAGATAGCAATTGTCACGAGCCCAAGTCGAGTGCCCACGCAATGCTTGGGTCCAATCTATGAGCCGCATTCAAATATCGTCACTTGGGTGTACTGCGATCCCCGAGTTACGTCATCAAATTTCGCGAAGGAGAGATTGAATGAAAATGATCGCTTTTGTCCTTGAAATTACACCGCAACAAAGGAGTTTCTTGGCCAGTGGCGTTGCGTGTGAGTATCCTTGAGTCCCAGGTGTGCCAGTAAGCTCGTGTAGAGAGAAAAACATTCCAATTGAATATCGTTGCACAGCTCCTTTAACGCAGAAGGCCGGTTTTCCCTAGCGCCTCATAATTTTGCCAGCCTTTCACGAAAGGCGTATTTTTTTAGGGGCGAAGCTCCTTAGGGTCTAGCCTTGTCCGTCCGTCCGTCCGTCCGTCCGTCCGTCCGTCCGTCCGTCCGTCCGTCCGTCCGTGCTCACAAAAAAGAAAAAAAATGTTTGCGCAGTCGACAGGATTCGAACCTGTGCGGGGAGACCCCAATGGATTTCTAGTCCATCGGCTTAAGCACTCGGCCATGAGTGCGGGACGAGTAAGGGGCTCTGAGTTGTGGTAGTAACTCAAGAGCTGGGGTTTCTGTCATGGATGAAACGATGCATGTAGCCGGTCAACGTCTACACAGGAGAGGGCGCAGCGGTCAAATGCTATATAATCGCGTTAAACTCTGCATACATTGGCTCAACGTTTATCGACGAGAGGGTGCTGCGGTCCAATGCGTATATAACCACGTTCCATACCACACATTCTCTTTCTGACATGGACCGTTGACTTAAGCGGTGGAGATGCGTTCCCACGGCTTCTAGCGGATCCAAGCTGATCCGCTAGAAGAACCACTGGCTCTGCATTTCACCGACCATAAAGCAGTAATAACGAAGTCGAAACGCAACCTGGAACTCAGCACTACCTATGAGCAATAAAAAAAAAATCAGCACCATCAGCACTACCTATGAACAATAAAATCAGTATCATCAGCACCACCAGAGCTTCGCCCCAATCAACATCATTCACCACGTGGAGATGCGGTAATTTTTTTTTACCATCCCGCGCCTTGTTTTTTCTTCCGTAACATGGGTCTAAAGTACCTAACTGCCGAAACAGCTTGGACATTTAATGATTACACAGATACAGAAGACTAAAAGAATACATAGAGACGACGCAATCACTCAATTTTGAAGTGGCGCGCTGCAGTCGCGCTGACGGCAATGACTGCGCGTAAACCATTCATAAAATAAAGCGTTTGCTCAAAATTGGCGTCGTTGTATTCATAGTCAGCTGCGTCGTGAGTCTCATGACAAATACTATCGAAATTTATAGACAACCCAAAATAGCGGCTTCTGCAGCCCATTTCTTTTCATGCTGTGCTGCAATGCAATACTTCGTTAACGGGGCAGTCGAAATCAAAATCATTCCACTCCTCTCCAAAGCCAGAGGCTCCATAATGCAACGCGAGCGGTGTTGCATGCAGGGATTTTCGGAAGGTGTCTATTTGATGTTGGGCAAAAGCGTCGCGTCATACGCCCGCTGCGCCTTCTGTTAGTGCGCTATGATTGGGCACGTGGTGTCGTGAGATCACGTGAAAAGCTGTGGTTTCGTCATTCAGGAACAATCTGAATCTACTCAAGATCGCCGTCTTGCGCAGGCTTCCGAGAGACATACTTAGTCCAGCTCCTCCCTTTCGTCTCACTCGTGGGGCAAATCAAAACCGTCGGGACTCTCACGGTCTGTCGATCTCGCTGCGGCGCTCGGTAAATCTCGTTAATTAAGGTTAGATATGCGTAATTGTATTTAGGAATTTCATGATTTGGGCTAGTTGTTTTGGCCGTTTTTCGTTACATTCTTGCCTAACGCTCTTCGCATGAACCCTAGTCCTTCAGAAAAACATTCTGCGTTAAAGAATTTTCGGAAAACACAATGATGCTGCCCGCACTTCAGGCGCTACTTCTGAATCCCTGGCACGTCGAACAAATGACCTGCTAGTTGCCCGTCGTATACCCACTTTAGAAAGGAGTAGTCTAGAAAAGGTGACGAAAACCGACTCACCAAAATATTAGAAGAATCGATAGAATCCCCAAAGCCAACGTTGCTCGGAGCATGTTGTTGACCCGACGTCCGCGCAACTGTATGTTGTGCGGACGGTAGTCGCGTATCTCTTGTGACCTCAATAAAAGAAAAAAAGTACAATGCGTAACAAAAAAGATTAAGGACTGTGTCCCTACCTGCCCGGCACTCTCGTGTGTCTTTGACAAACTTTATATAAGGTTCCGTCAGCAGATGGAGAGGAGTCCTGAGTGTGCGAATGGAGCTGGCAAGACGGCGGCATTTTTTATTGTTGTTTCTATGTTTGTTGAAGATGCCCACAGCTGTAAGCCAGACTTTGTACGATACTCGTTACAAGTAATCGAAGTGCTTGTAATCGATTACTTTTTGTAGTAATTTTGTAATTGTCCGATTACATTTATTAGAAAGTAACTGCAAGAGTAATCTGATATTACTTTGAAAGCACAAAAATAAGCTGTAACTGTTAATATTTTTCCCTCCACTTTTTAATGGCGACCTTTGTTTGTCTAAGTTTCCTACCAAGAAATCGTCGATCCGAGTCTCCGGCAGAAAAAAAGTGCGCCAAAATTGGCGGATTAAAAAGATAAGAAGTGTACAATTTTGTGATTTTAATTCAATATTGAACGGAACAAAAAACCCGTTTTCAGAACGGCAGGAAAAAAGATTCCTGACTTTAAAATCTGTAGTAATCGAAAAAGTAGCGGTTATTTTTTCAAGTAACGCCCAATTACTTTTCAGTGCGCAAACGAGCTAGTGAAGATTAGACATAACACAACCCCGAGTGCGATTAAGCGAAAGATGACCACACACACACAGACAAACTCACACACACACACGCACACGCGCGCGCACACACACACACAAACACACACAAACACGCACACGCACACAGACAAAAGTGTTTTGTGTGTGTGTCGTATTTTGTTTATCTGCGCTCTTGGGGTTGCGTTGTCTAGGAGGTATCGGGTCAACGTAACGTCCAAATGAGAATGCTATTGACAAGGGAAACTTTCGACAATAGCGAGAGACAGTCGGAACGTGGCTAACACCATCCGCGTTCGTTTTGATAGCTGTGAAGTCGATCTCCAGCCCGGAGAGACGAAGTTTGGATCCAAGGTAAGGGGGCTGCAGGCCAAAGGACATAGGAACTCATCTTCATTCGTTCCGGCCGGGGGCGCTGTTCATAGATGCGCCATCGTCTGTCTACGGTGTTGGTGGGCGAGCCTGGGTTTTTTGTTTCTCCTTACACTCTTCTCATCCGCTCGCCAAGTGGTCCTGTTGAAAAATGGTCAGGAACACGACGATACAGAGACAGTGCGTCTCACGCGCAAAGCAACACTCGCCAGACCCAATATTTATTTGGCGTAATACTTCTCTCAACCACTTTCTCAGCTTAGCTTAGGTAATGGTTTGGCGGACCGTAAGGAGCTTGATACGTGGGTGCGTCTACCGTCCCTTTATGCATTTTCATGCCTTGGCAAAAGCCTTGGCGTAAGTGTTGTTTTCAAAAATTACTTTTAGTTCAGTAGGTGAACCCCTTTTTTAAATAATCAAATGGGTTAAAAAAAAAAAGCGCAACACAGAAATGCGGTAACTGGGTGTCAAAATACGTGGATGAGGTTCCCGTGGCCTCCTGGCTCTCGTAACGTGGTAAAACTGGACATTAGTTAGACGACCGGATTCTAAAACAAACCTACGCAGCTAATTCTGACTTTGTAGAATACTTGCAAGATCGTAGTAATCGTTTTCTACAATGGTGCTTAGCACATTTTGGGCTCAGTGCTTTGGTGCTTAGCTGAAAAAAGATATCACTTTAAGAGAATCATAAAGGAGACGACCCGCGTCACCAGCACCGGCAACTGCCTCAGCGTGTGCTCTCAGCAAACTTTGTCGCGGATATATTTATTTCTTATATGTTCAGCTACTTGAACTTCCAAGGCGGTACTGAGGTCTTCAATGCTTTTTTTTGCAGCTTTGTTTAACTCTGCTGGTTGAAGGGTTGACGGATGGAGCCTCTGACGATGCGGGATGTTTCGTTGTATGAAAGCTCTAATAAAAATAGGCTTGTGTCTGTGTCTTTCTTTTCCTTTGTCTCGGTATGACCCAGGCACGTAGCCAGGATTTTGTTTCGGGGGGGGGGGGGGGGGGGCGCCTATGACAAAATGTTGTATAGAGGGGGAGGGGGAGAGGAGGACCCAGCACAATAAACAATTTCGTGAGGGGGGGGGGGCGGGCCCCATGACCCCCCCCCCCCTCTCTCTCTGGCTACGTGCCTTGTACTGTGGCCACATACCATCTCAACTACATATTAACCCTTACTTCAAACACATCTGGATGGGTTGAGATAAGACGAGTAAATGAGACGGGATTGGTATGTGGTGTTTGGCGCGCGAGACGCGCTTCCCTTGTACAATCCTTTACTATGCAACATCTCTAGGCCGCTGCAAGAGGAGAAACGTAAATAAGTGCAGGTGCCCCTGCGTACACGGCAGAGACGACGACGCATAGAAGAACAGTGCTGCCGGCCGGTGTAGATTAAGACGTGTCTCGGTGCCCTTCGGCCTGCCGCCTCTCAGCCTTAGATCCAGTACCTCACTATTCGGTCAGGGAACCCCTTTCACAGCTATCAAGACAAACATGTATGCGATTAATTAATTTGCGTCTGTCGCTCGGTATCGCAAATTGTTTCTCTTGTCAAGGACATTCGAGTGTTTTTTTTTTGTTTTTTTTTAAATACGTTTATTCGATTCCTCTTGGCTTACAGTTCGTTGTTCGCGTTTTCGTCATGCCAGCAGAATGCCAGCAGAATGCTAGCTTTGTCGGCACGCTCGGGACTGCCTGCGCCTATTGACAGTTACTTATTGCGTGAGCCAAGGACACCCAAGAGCGCCGCGCAGATAGGGATGAAGCCATTTTTATCGTTGTTGTTGCACAACTCGATTTTTCTTCGTTGAGCCCATGATAGCGACAAGCTCTGCCGTCTGGGTCACTTTGTCGTGGCGCGTCAGGGGTGAAAAATAGATTAGTTCGGACATCGACTCGACCATGCTGCAAGCCACGCTGGCTTTGGTGTTTCTATTGATTTTTCTAACTTTCTGGTAAGTCAGTTTCTCAGACTCTTTCTGCACTGCTCGCTTCTATAAAAAGTGTATTACTCAGTAACTTAGAAGGACTCTTTCGATGTGCAAGAGACTCTGAAGTAACGCCTGAATCACGGATAGCATCATTTGTCATTTGAAATGTATTTTTGATAACTTTATCTGTTAGGAAACTTTATCGGGAATAAATTGAAACTAAACGTATCGCCCAACCAAGAGATAGAGCTTGGTCAGCAGCGCTTCTAAAAAAAGAAAGAAAGACATTAAGCAAAATACGTTTTCGGTGAATGTCATTATTTATGAGTGCACAGGCGAGTGACCGGAAATTATGTTCACTCCAAATTGTGTCAGAATAAACTGAAGTTCAAAGTGTGTCAGAATAAATGTGCTTGGAGCACTACGCATTTCGATGGTAAGCGACATTTTTGCTTTACCGAGTAAAGGCAGCTGAAATATCTGACCATACTGTTATCAGGCGCGTCCCCCCCCCCCCCCCCCCCCCAAAAAAAAAAAAATATATATATATATCAGCTATACTTTTTTTGGGGGGGGACATGGATTTATTTTACATAAATATTATTTAATTTACTTTTACTTTTTCAACTTTCATATTTCTTGCCATGAAGGTCCACAAAACAATAAAGCTAAAGCTCCTAATTTTTTTCTTTCTTATTCGCTTGTTTTTCTACAGTCCGCTATAGTCCCGCACAGCTTTAGAAACGCACGAGGTGGCGATTCCCGAGAATAATATTATCACTTCACAGCCGATGAGGTTGCGACAACAGCCGATAAGAACAGCGAAGAACGAATCGCGAAGCAAAGAACACTACGATAATAAGTCGCGCCCCATGGGTTTCAGTGACTATGGGAGAAGGCGTGTGATGTGCGTGGTAGTGTGTTCGGGTGACATCCCCTGAAACCTCATTAGATCTACGTGGGTGTTGATCTGAATCCTGCAGGGCTACTGGTACCTAAGCACCTATTCCTCGATGAAAAATATGATTATAGGTGATGAAGTGCGAGCGATTACTTCTCGCAGCTTCGCGAAGTACAATTATTTTTGAAGCAGAGATTTTTCTTCCCTGAATGCGAGTGTAATTTTTTTTTCTACGGTATGTAATTCCATGCTAAGGTCATTCATCGCCGCTCTAGGTGCCTACGGTTGTAATTCAATTATCCTTGTTATCTCATTAGTGGTGTCTTTTTTTTTTCAGGGTAATAAGAAGAACCTATAGGTTCTGGAATGGAAAAGGAATTCCATATCTGTCTTTTACCGACTACGTGAAGTTGGTATACGATAATTTCACGAAGGTAAAGGTGTACTTTTGAGTTGATTGTAAATCGTAATATACTTTATGAGTTTAGGATAGACTGCGTTTTCCCGCGGTTTGGATATGAGGTGGCCAGGCATATTTTAATATCTTTCTATGAAAAAGCTTTCTATACTACAAGATGAATATGCAAGTGCCAACAATATCCTTTTCCGCTAAATGAAAAGGTCCAGAATAATTGTAACTTAAGTGTAATCAATGATCAGACATTTCCAAGCCTTATATTTTGTGAGTCTCGCTAGCACCCATGAACGGTTGCTGCGTGCCCTTGTTATCAGTTTTGCTTACCATTTGCCGTGGTGCATAAATTACCCCTTGAATTTAAACGTGACACGTTCTTTCGCTAGTTGCTCAGGATTTTTTTTTAATCATGATAAGTGAAGTCTGAGAAGCATGGCCGCGAAGCTCGACGGTGATTGGTTAACAGGGGGCGTCACGTGACCAGAGGAATGGGCGAGAAGGAGCTCGACCACCTGAGCGCACTGGGGGAGAGAGCTCGAGAGTATGGAGGGCTCTAAAAGATCGCCAGGTTTATCAGCGCGATTAGAGGTAGTGTCGCTTCATCCTAGGAACAACTACCAAGTGAGCACATGGTACGCGTTACACTAACTGATGAAGGGCGCCATGAACGTAGGTGTCTGGTTGAACAGGCTAGAGGAGCCGGTAGACGATCTGCTGAAAAAATGTATGGCTAATGGCTACGCAATTGTGCTGCATACAGGAAACTCAGAGAATCGTTAAGCGTTTGTGATGCTCTAACATTTCACGTCTACAACACTATTGCCCAGTAATTTGCCATACATTTTTAAGTCTAACATCGTCATCTTTTTTGTATGATGATGCTGTAAGAAAAATCACTGATAAATGTCTGTATTACCACAGTTGCTTTCTGGTAATGCACGTCTTCGCGTCGCAATACGTTAGCATTGAAATGAAGCAAAACACTGATTGAGCTTCAAAATAAGGCGTATAGAGACTCGTAAGCTTTGCCTCATTGATTCTTATCATTTAAATGAATAGGCAGTATTGAGAGTGGTTCTATAGCCATAGCTCGGAAGTCTTAGAGGACACCATGATTAAACGGGATAGCATGCATGGCTTATCACATCCATCGTGATTTTTTTATTTAGATTTTGACCTCTACTTTGAATGAAAATTTCAAAGAACATAATTTGCATATATGTTGTCCGGAATGTACTTTAAAGGACCAAATTATATGTTTATTCGTTAAGGTTTAGCAGCACTAGAATTAAACTTTAATATAGAACTGTCTTTGTGACACTTCAAAAATTAGTGGAATCATTATGCTTATTTTTTAATAGGCTCGGCCCTTTCAACTTTAAGGTAACTGATAGGTCCGAGGAGCAATTCTCAATTTTGAAGTGGCCAAAACGCCATGAATGTTGGTTTACTATCACTATTTCTTCGCCACCATAAAACATTCTGCACTTACAAATGTGTGCCTATCGAAAAAAGAAGGCCGTGTTAGCTGGCTAAAATGGGATGTATTTTATTTCTAGTAAATATATTTTTTTTTGTTACAGCCCTTGCATGAGGTGAACCTGGAAAACTATCGTCGACGTGGCCGTCTTTATGGGTTTGTCCCTACAATTTCACTTTCCGAACAAACTAAGGAAGTCAAAATTCATGATAAAGGCCAGCAGGACCTGAACTCGATAATCAAAAATACCTAGTTTATATAGATGTACGGGCAGCAGAAGGTGTAAGACATGAGTCAATCCTAATTGAAAGTCGTGACACAAATGCATTAGGCTTGCATAAGGTGATCGGCCGAGCAGTTAAGCCAATCCAGTACTAATGGGTGGGGCCTGGAGCGGGGCGTGGCGAGTGTAGCTCCACCTAAATTGTGTGTTCCGGCGTAAATACTGCAAATATTTTTTAAGGGTTGATTTTTGACATGAAATATGGCTGGCACATTAGGATGTGTGTTTGTGTGTGTATGTGTGTGTGTGTGTTTGTGTTCGGTGTTACTTTAAATTGACACCCAATACACATGTATGCAGTTGATACAATTTTATTTAACCGAGGGGGACACCAATTAAAAAAAATGAGTCACTAAACTTTGGAAGACCAATTAAAACCCTTTCTTGTTTCCGAGAATAAGACGTTTACTTTGTTTTTCATATAAATACATGTTATTCGCCGTAAAAATATCGAACAAAGGCATTTCGGTAAGCGATTTGTAAATAATTTGACATCTTATATTTCATGTGAAAGAGGGATATGTTATTTTTCTTATATCTACGCTGATCTTTCCACGGTCTCGTTCTTAAATGGGTACGCTTTGGAATTTTTATTGTTTAAAACGCTTTACTTATTCGAAAAATGATTTATGTATATTGCCGCGCGCAAGGCTGAGAAAGCAACGCTCGGTCACGGTCCTCCAGAAAGTTCCCGTTTATTCATGTACCGCACGTAACTTCTATCATTTATCCCTGCTTTTGTTTTCTAGAAAGTGCGTGTTCATTCTCGCCCCGATCACGCGACGCTCGAACCGCTTTCGCCGAATCTTCGAGATAGCGGCGCACTCTAGATAAGAGGCCGCCCGCGACCTTGTCGAGTCAGTCTCGCCCTAGCGCTCGATTCTGCTGACACGCCGACTTCGACGCCCGCGACGCTCTGCTTTCTTCTGTTTCCTTCTTTATTTTTTTGGCACAAGTTCGCCACATTAAACGTTTATTTCTTTCTGTTTATTTCCTGTTTTTGTTTGGTCACCACCCGTGACATTTGGTGGAGGTGCGGGGTACCGCATGCCCCTGCCGCGTACCCCTCCGAGGGCCCACAGTGCAAGTCCGACGCCTAGCCCACGAAGAGCCGACGAAAGCACTTCCGAGATCCGGTTCAGTCGTCGCACCCAAGGTCTACACCCGGAATTCGGACCTCTACCGCCCAAGACTAAGCAGCCAACGAGGCCAACGATGGACAGCCAGTCGTCCCAGAACCCGTCCACCGGCGGCGTCGTATACCTGCCCGTCGCACCCAAAACTCCGACGCCTTTCCACGGAGACACCCACGAGGACATCGAGGACTGGCTGCAACATTATGAACGTGTGGCCCGACATAACGGGTGGTCAGCTGAGCACTGCTTGCAGAACCTTTACTTCTCGCTGGAAGGTACTGCAAGGTACTGGCTGGAGAACCACGAGGCTTTTTTAACCTCGTGGGAGGTGTGCAAGCAAGAGCTAGTGAAGACGTTTACCAGCCAGCACCGACGCGAGAGGGCCGAAGACATCCTTCGAACAAGGACCCAAGGTCTGAATGAAAGCATCACCAGCTTCGTTGAGGATGTTCTTCGCCTGAGCGCCCGCGCCGATCCTCAGGCTACAGAGGAGAAGAAGCTGCGACACCTGATGAGGGGTGTCAAAAGCGAGATATTCGGAGGTCTCATTCGCAATCCTCCGACAACTGTCGACGGGTTCGTCACGGAGGCGACGAATATGGAGCGTGCGCTACTAGCACGCGCCAGACACTACGAGCGGCACCCTGGCGTGACTACTCTGGCGACATCCGGATACGACCTTGGTACCGACCTCCCAGGCATCCGTGACATCATCCGTGAAGTCGTCCGGGAAGAAATCCGCAAGATGCTCCCCGCTACGGATCGCTCGTCCTCCCTGTCGCTCGCCGAGGTCGTCCGAGAGGAAGTCCACCGAGCCTTCCAACCTCAGATTCCGATCAAAACGACGACGCCAGAGGAGCCTACTTTGAGCTACGCCGCCATGGCCCGAAGATCGCCGCAAGCTAACCGCCAGACCACGGCGCCACCCCGACGAGACCCTCCGATGCCACAGTATCCTCGACGCCAGGAAGGACAAGTCCACGACATTCGCCCGGAGCAACCCTCGTCGAGGAAGACCGACGTGTGGCGAACGGCCGACCGACGCCCGCTCTGCTACCACTGCGGGGAAGCCGACCATGTGTACCGCCAATGCCCATACCGACGACTCGGGCTGCGCGGATTCCACCCAAACGACCCGCGCCCCCGGTGTGGTGAACGCCCTCGGGAGATCGACGAGTACCTGCGACGACCCCAGTCCCCCGAGCCTGCGTCCCGCCGAGAGTTCCGGTCGCCATCGCCACGACGTCCAGCTTCGCCGATGCACCGACCCCGACGTGAAAGCCTGTCGCCCCTCGCTCCTCGCCGGGGTAACTAGGCGCGGCAACCCCTGGAGGTGGAGTTGCCGAAGACGACCGACGTAAAGAGCCTCCAAGAACGCCGGAGCGCTCCCACTCTCCCGACGCCACGCATCGCTACGACGCCCCTGCAACGGTGTCCAACAACCTAAACGTCGTCATCGACGGTCACGACGCATCGGCACTCGTGGACACCGGAGCAGACTACTCAGTCTTGAGTGGGAGGCTCTCCCGCCGTCTTCGAAAAGTCATGACGCCGTGGGAAGGACCCCAAATACGAACCGCCGGAGGACATCTCATCACACCAGTCGGGAGATGCACTGCTCGCGTCGAGATCCACGGTGAAACGTGCCCTGTCAAGTTCGTCGTTCTGCAAGACTGTTCGAGGGACGTTATCCTCGGAATGGACTTTCTCTGCGAGTATGGCGCCGTCATCGACCTCGGAACAAACCGGCTGACGCTACGAAAACCTGCTCCACCAGCGGAGGAACCCGAAGCGACGTCACCCACGGTCCGAGTCCTCGCAAACCACGTAAACCTACCACCGCGGTCGAGTGTTTTCGTACTTGTCGGGATCGATGAAGCTTCCTGTGGCGAAGTTCTTCTCGAGGGAAGCCTCCAATTGCTCCTGGGAAGAGGCATATGCGTCGCAAGGGGCGTAGCTGAACTTCAGGATGGGCGGACTGTGGCCCTCGTGACGAACTTCCGAAACGAAACGCAACACCTCACGAAAGGTGCAGCCGTGGGCCACGTCGAGAAACTCCGAAACTCCGCCGAAATCACTGCGATCACTGACGAATCCTCGCCGCCCCAGCAAGACAGTACGTCGCCAGCGCAGCTCGACATTGACCCTAAGCTTCCGTACCCTGAACGGCGTCAGCTGGTTAACCTCCTCGCCGAATACCGCGACTGCTTTGCGACGTCGTCGAAGGTGCGCCAGACCGCGGTTGCCAAGCACCGCATCGTTACTGAGGACGACGCGCGCCCTGTGCATCGATCGCCGTACAGAGTCTCCGCTAAGGAAAGGGAGGTGATCCATCAGCAAGTTCAAGAGATGATGAATGACGACATAATCCAACCTTCAAGCAGTCCATGGGCCTCTCCAGTCGTGCTGGTTAAGAAGAAGGACGGAACTCTTCGGTTCTGCGTGGACTACCGGCAGCTCAACACGGTTACGAAGAAAGACGTCTACCCACTCCCCCGCATCGACGACACTCTAGACCGGCTGCGCCACTCTCGATACTTTTCATCGATGGACCTGAAGAGCGGCTACTGGCAAATCGAGGTCGACGAACGGGACCGAGAGAAGACAGCCTTCGTCACGCCGGATGGACTGTACGAGTTCAAGGTGATGCCCTTCGGACTATGCACAGCGCCAGCAACTTTCCAGCGTGTCATGGACACCGTACTGGCAGGGCTGAAGTGGCAGAGTTGTCTCGTCTACCTTGACGACGTCGTAGTATTTTCAGCTGACTTCGACGAGCACTTGAGACGACTCCGAGCTGTTCTTCAAGCCATTCAGACCGCCGGACTCACACTCAAGCCGTCAAAGTGCCGGTTCGCCTATGACGAACTGAAGTTCCTTGGCCACGTGGTTAGTAACGAAGGCGTCCGCCCAGACCCCGAGAAGACTCGCGCCGTCGCGGCATTTCCAGCGCCGACAGATAAGAAGGCCGTGCGAAGATTCCTTGGACTTTGTGCCTATTATCGACGCTTCGTTCGGGATTTCGCAAGGATTTCCGCACCACTTACGAATCTCACGAAGGACGCCAAGAAGTTCGAATGGGCCGAGGAGCAACATCAGGCATTCGACGAACTGAAACGACGACTCCAGTCCAGACTCCTCCTGTGCTTGGACATTTCGACCAGGATGCGGAAACAGAAATTCACACGGACGCAAGTAACGCGGGACTGGGCGCAGTACTAGTCCAAGTGCAAGAAGGCATCGAGCGAGTCATCGCCTACGCAAGTCGGACATTGTCCAAGGCGGAGAAAAATTACTCCACAACTGAGAAAGAATGCCTTGCGGTCGTCTGGGCAATAACGAAGTTTCGTCCGTACTTGTACGGCAGCCCGTTCCGTGTAGTCACGGACCACCACTCGCTCTGCTGGCTTGCGAAGCTGAAGGACCCGTCAGGACGCCTCGCTCGATGGAGTCTTCGACTACAAGAGTTCAACATGACAGTGGTCTATAAGTCAGGCCGCAAGCACAGCGACGCCGACTGCCTGTCCAGAGCCCCCGTCGAAACCCCTTCCGGCTGCAGCGACGACAATGACGACGAGTGCTTTCTAGGAGCAGTGAACACCGACGATATGGCACGACGTCAACGGGACGATCCTGAGCTGCGCGCATTAATCGAGCACCTGGAAGGGGGCAGGAGTACCGTGCCACGTGTCTTCTCACGAGTACTGCCGACCTTCGCCATCCGACAAGGTGTACTCTACAAAGAGAACTTCGGCAACAACAACACACCTTGGTTGCTGGTAATCCCGAGTGACCTTCGAGAGGAGATCTTCCAAGCCTGCCACGACGACCCGACATCCGGACACCTTGGTTACAGCCGGACACTGGCCCGTATTCGTGAAAAGTATTACTGGCCGAAGCTCCCCAAGACCGTCCACCTATACACACGATCATGCCACGAGTGCCAGCGACGCAAGAAACCGCCGACGAGGCCGGCCGGACTTCTGCAGCCCATTTCTCCTCCAACTACACCCTTCCAGCAGATCGGAATGGATCTACTTGGTCCTTTTCCGCCTTCGACGTTGGGGAACCGCTGGATCATCGTCACCACAGATTATCTCACGCGGTACGCCGAAACGAAAGCTCTTCCTTCAGGGACTGCTGTGGAAGTCGCCAAGTTTTTCATCGAGTCCATCGTCCTCCGGCACGGCGCTCCCGAGGTTCTCATTACAGATCGCGGATCTTCGTTCATGGCCCAGCTGACGCAAGAGATCCTTCGTCTCAGTGGCACCGACCATCGTCGAACCACTGCATACCACCCGCAGACCAACGGACTGACCGAGCGACTCAACAAGACAATCGCCGATATGATCTCTATGTACGTCGACGTAGAGCACAAGACGTGGGACGAGGTGCTGCCCTACGTCACGTTCGCCTACAATACGGCGGTTCAAGAGACCACTGGATTCACCCCTTTCCAGCTGGTACATGGTCGGAAGGTAACGACCATGCTGGACGCCATGCTGCCGCATGAGCCATCTGACAACGAGAGCGACGACGCCCAGGCGATTGCTCAACGCGCCGAAGAAGTTCGCCAGCTCGCCCGACTCCTGATTCAAGACCAGCAACGCGTCGACGCCGGCCGCTACAACCTTCGTCGTAGGGACGTCCACTTCCAGCCCGGAGATAGGGTGTGGGTATGGACGCCCATCCGTCGCCGCGGCCTCAGTGAGAAACTGCTGAAACGGTACTTTGGACCATACAAGGTACTTCGTCGCCTCGGCGAGCTGAACTACGAGGTGATGCCCGACGGAACACGAACATCGTCACGCCGCCCACCACGACCTGAGGTCGTCCACGTCGTGCGCCTGAAGCCGTACTACGCTCGATAGGACTGTGGACCTTTTGTCCTCCAAAAGACTCTTTAGTTTATCGTTCTTTTTTATTTTGATTTGTTTTACACTGCATCGGGGCGATGCACTTTTAAAGGGGGGAGTAATGCCGCGCGCAAGGCTGAGAAAGCAACGCTCGGTCACGGTCCTCCAGAAAGTTCCCGTTTATTCATATACCGCACGTAACTTCTATCATTTATCCCTGCTTTTGTTTTCTAGAAAGTGCGTGTTCATTCTCGCCCCGATCACGCGACGCTCGAACCGCTTTCGCCGAATCTTCGAGATAGCGGCGCACTCTAGATAAGAGGCCGCCCGCGACCTTGTCGAGTCAGTCTCGCCCTAGCGCTCGATTCTGCTGACACGCCGACTTCGACGCCCGCGACGCTCTGCTTTCTTCTGTTTCCTTCTTTATTTTTTTGGCACAAGTTCGCCACATTAAACGTTTATTTCTTTCTGTTTATTTCCTGTTTTTGTTTGGTCACCACCCGTGACAATATTTCACAACACGCTGGACGGCGAGACACTTTTAACATTGCACCACTGAAAAACTTAGCAAAAAACCTGTCTCACAAATTGATCTCGAGGATTAATATAGAATGCATTCTCATTTTTCTCGCCGAAAAAAAAAATAATAATAATAATCTTTACTTTATGTGTCCACAAACAGCGCAGGGCCTTTTGTGTGGTACACAGCAAATTATGGTTAAATCAATATGCACCAGTGTCGCGTTGAACAGTTCCACTTTAGACATGAATGTTTAGATGTTTACAGGACATAAACATGATTAAAGATGAAATGAAATAAACTTTACATTTGAAAAATAAGTTTTTAACAGAATTTGTTAGGCTCGGAAGGGCAGTTATCATAAGTAAATTAGGTCTTCCTTATTTACAGGTCCTACGAAGGGTTTGTGCCCGCACTCGTAGTTGGGGATCCACTGCTCCTGCGAGACATCTACGTGAAGGATTTCAAATGCTTCTCGGACAGAATAGTAAGAACTGCCCAGCTATATTTTCTTTAGACTATTCTTAGGCCCGCCTCAGACGGGGCAACTTTTCAGCAATTTTGAAGTTGCTGGCGGGTTGTTCCCTAGCTTTCCCTAGATCGACGTGAATTGCTGAGATCGGGTCCGGCTCGAACAAGCGAGCAACTCGGAACAATTCGAAGACGTTTGAAGCGGCTGGAGCCAATCAGGGACGCGATATATTCACGTGACACCCCTGTGGTGGTGATGATGACAGCCAAAGACTTAGTTCTGCTTTCAAATGGATCCTTTTTGGAACTAAATATTTTCAGAAAAATGAGTTAGTATTCTGAACGCCGTTCAAACATATAAGAACACGTTTTTAGCGCTTTGCTCGGCGTCTAAATAGTAAAAGAAAAATCAAATTTAATGATGATGATGGCAAGTCGGAGCAATTCGGTTGCTGCGTGTGAACGCGGGTGGCCCGTGTTGCTGCTGTTGCGACGTCAAGTTGCTGGGTGAAATTGCTCCGTCTGAAGCGGGCCTTAGTATCAGTAGCACGTGAATTTAAGGTACAATTACAATTTTTCCCCAAAAAAGCGTAAACACAAAACACGTAAAAAAAAAAAACAAAAAAAACTGATGGCAAAAAACGAATAAAGAAGAAAAGCGTTTGTCAAGGGAGGTGCATCATTCTGATTTTGCGGACACTTCACTGTTCGTTTCAGGTATCCAATGCCACGGGAAACCCCTTGTGGGACCGAATGATGTTAAACTCCCCGGAAGAAGAGTGGAAAGCTACAAGAACTATGATGTCGCCTGCATTTACAACCAGCCGGCTGAAAGCAGTTAGTAACCAGTTTGAGCCCCCTTCTGTTCCTAACATATTCACTTCTTTTCATAAGAAAAAAAAAAAAAAAAAAGACAAAAGCGTAACAGGATGTACGCACTGTTTGCCATGTTAATTACGTTGAGGTATGTTTTTTTTTGTATCCACCAGTTTCGTTGAAATAGATAATTTATTCGTGGATCTCGAACTTATGACGCTTAGAGCAGCTACGACTTCGCGCTTGAATTGGTCGTTTTAAAGCCCGATTCACGTAATTCGATTTTACGTGCGATTTCGCAAGTGGGGTTGAGCACCGCAACTTCCACTGCACTTTTTTTTTTGTCGCACGGAGAGTTATCGCAACTGCGAAATCGCAAGTAAAATCGCATTATGGAACTCAGTTTTCAGACGCCTTTTGTATCAAGGAAACGAAAAGCTACAGGCTATAATGACCAACTTCTTAAGATGATATGGAATGAATCGATATACAGTGATGCCTCGTTAATTAGGACACCATCTGTCCACCCCCAAAATCTTCCTTAAATAATGCGAACCTGTCCATAATGAAAATACGAAAATGGATATATTTTCCCAGTTTGCCCCTTAAAATGGAGTTCATATACTAGGGACGTGGTTCTCAAATGAGGGTCCGCGATGGCATCCTAGGGGTCCGTGAACCCCTGTCTCATCAGTCAAGCCCGGCAATATAAGTTGTCTTTCTTCACGTTGAAAAGAAACGTTTCAATTTTCGTGTGAATTCTCTCATGTGTATGCCTTTGAGATAAGTCTACTTCACACTAGAAAATAGTTATATGCATTTATAAAATCCTTATCATCATTAATCTATACCTTTATATTCCCCTCACCCCAAACGGGGTCCTCCATCATCTCCGCCTTCCTACAAGGGGTCCGCGAAACATCAATGGTTGAGAACCACTGTACTAGGGTATCAATATGAACGGGGTCCATATTAACGAGACACTACTGTATACCCTGAATAAATTGACGAATAATTCACCGACAAAGAAAGACTCCAAGCATTTTAATAAATTGAGAGTTAAAAAAATACAGGCTATAATGACCAGCGTTTTAAGGTGATATAAAATGAAATAATATATTCTATATGAATAGATGAATAATGACCCAACCCTTTAAAAAAAGGAATCTTGATATTTTAAAGCATGACAAAATTGTTTCAACCTAAGAAAAGAAAAAACAAATAATTGCCGAGAAATTGTTTACTGATCGGACTCTGCCGGGTGAGTCAGAAGTCATACGGAGCAACAAAGTAAAACGATGCAACATATCCTTCTCAGCTGTTACGTTATCAAAGCCATTGATTGATGATCCGGTTTGCTTCCGCTTCCTAGATGTCGTGGTAAGGGAATCATTTTTGCACTCACAGTTGTGTTTTATGTAAAGAAAAATATACAGGCAACCTTGAATGGCTTCTTCAACACTGGTTGTACACAAATAGTTCGCCAAAAGAAGAAAAAAGAAAAAAAAATTAAAATGTCTATAATGTCACTGACACGTATACCTCAACTCACACAAGGCGCTGTGAGTCCTGGGCCAGCTTATTCTTGCTCCGAAAACAATGAGATTGTTTTCATGTCAATAAAAAGTGATTCGAAGGTCTTTGTTAATAGCCGAGACTATTTCGACGCCCGACGTCAAAATAACTTCGAAATTATTTTGACCTCTATGAGTTCACTTCCATAAAACATCAAAACAGTTTTAAAAATATCGTTTTGTCCATCGTGAAAACAACAACTTTGTTATTACGTCGTCTTAGCCGTCACAGTGCTATGTAGCTGTTTCCGTTTCGTTCTATTTCGCCCTGTAGACGATGTCCTCGGTGTTGTTGTGTTGGCTGAGTTACGTGTCGCTATGTGGCAGGCCTAAAGGAAGCTTCGGTTCTACTTGACACTGTAAATTCTTCATTCGGCGAGAGTGTGTGCCTGTCCGCTCGACGGTCGCACGATTTTTTTTTTTCGGCCGTGACAAGGATATTGTTGCGTGCGTGGCGCGGGTGAACGGGTTTCTAACCTCGCTTGAACCCCATTCGGCCCTGATCTTTAGTTCTCGAATCGTGTGCTCTTCTGGAACGCTCCGGCTCATCTTCGGGCTATTATCGTGTGTTCCGCTTCGGAATGTTCCTGAACTACCCGTGTGTATAAACGCATCGGTAACGAGCTGGTTCGCCCAGTCGCCCTTCCGTCGCCCTCGTAAGATGATGGTACCTTACTTTATTAGTTTTGCAGGCACGAGTTCGCCTTCCTATAGATTATTTTCCGTTTCAAATTTGTCTACTATTTTTATTCGTGGCAGTCGGGAGTCAATAAGAACGTGCTTTCGGTGCTTGCAGCTCACCAATAGTAGGCTTAATCTATGGCAACATGGCGGTGCACTGCGACAGCGTCGAGGTGCTTGATATTTGGGCCATCCCGCTGCAGGCTTCCATGACTTCTGACCAACTTGAACTGTAACAGCCGTGGACAGACTTGCTGTTTCGTGTCCTGAACGCTTGAAAAAACAAGCAAAAGAAAGGTCTCCGAAAGAGGAACCCGATGCGCGTCGCTGACGTTGATGGCCGAGGGCGAGTACGTGACACTCCTATCTTTTTCTCGGCATGTAATTGGTCTACCGCAACGCAACGCTTTGGAAAGTTGAGCCAGGTTCGATACTCCGTTGCGTCGCACTGCTGAGCGCTGCGCGAGCGCGCGCTTTGCAGCGCAAGCAGCCACTTTCTGCTTGAAGCACGCCGTCCGCGCTAACATGCGATCAAAGGCAAGGGTGTTGATGATCCTTCACGTGGAATGTTGTGCCCACAACAAAGCCGAGTTGGACATCTTTATCTTTTGTCTTCACGTATTAAATTTAAGTGCGTAAATTACGTATACCACTGAAGGTTTTGAATAATATTTGTAGATGCACACCTCCGATACCGTGTGAGCGCGTCTTCGTATGGTGGAGAACTTTGCAACTGGTTTGTGAATTTGTCGTTTAGATTGAATTGTTCTTTTCTTCTTTGTGTTGACGTGTCTGCGGCGGCAACGCAGCGATCGAGACGTTGAATGTATTGCTGAAAATATAAACATTGGCTCGTTGATGTTTTTTGATCGATACAAACGACAAAAAAAAGCTTTGGACGCACCGAGCAAAGCTGCGTCGTGGTTTTACTCCCCCTTTCGGGGACCAAAACCTGTGCAATCGACTACAAATTTTATGACTCGATTTTTTAAGATATTCAGCTCGACGTTTGTCTAGTATCAATGACGAGCAATAAATCACGGATTCGGTGACGTTTAGCACACCACGTAAATGTTACGCGAGTTTTATTTTGAAGTATTTTCGGTTATATGGTAATAAAAGCTGCAGTCGATAGTACGGCCTTTGTTGCCCGAAAAATGCGCGACGCCGACAGCAAGCAGGCCGATAATGGTTTGGTCGCCACTTTCGAATACCATTCCAGTCCGAAACTCCAAACTTTCCCGCCTTGTTTGTGTTGGTAAGTTTCACGGGAGATTTCAAAATAGTGCGGCAGATATTTTGACGGGAAAGGGGAATCAGAATTACTAAGATAAAAAAAAATATTTTCACATCTTCAAGAATGGCCGTTACAGTCGTCAAAATAATGGCCTCGTCGAAATAATAGTCACCTCGTTAATATCACGTGTGTTGAAAGGTATACCATTGCGATGCAATGTACCGAGCAATATCTATGACTGCTTATTGCATACAGTCTGATACAGGAAAATAAAACCCCATCGTCACGGTGCTTGGCCGTTTTCGTGCATTTACTCTCATATTACGCACAGCAAAAAGCGCAGGATAACAGCGCCTTCACTGCACGTGTTTGGTTTCACCCATGGAGGTAGGAAGCTTCCGGGTGGTGACATGGCGCCGCCAGAGGTGAAGCCAGAAGGGTAAAAGGTCACGCCCCCAACGATGAACAAAACCACAGCTGTTTTTGGTCATGCTCGGAAGCATTCGAGGGTGACCAAAACAGCTGTGGTCATCGTTGGGGGGCGTGTCCCTCACACTTGTGGCTTCATCGCTGATGACGTCATGTCACCTTCAGAATCTTCCTCCCTCCATGATTTAGCCGGTGACTGCAGACGCACAAAAATAGCGATTGCCGTGACGATGCCCTTTAGCCACCCTAACTAAAACACTCAGATGGGAAACTCACCGTTGAAAGCTGGCCGGGTCGCTGGCGTCTACCGAGACCGAGCTAAATACGACAACAGCGACACTCTTAATCTTTTGTCTTTACTGTGGTCCCCTCGAGCTTTAAGAAAGCATGTTTTTTTCGTAAAAAGAAAAAAAAAACTCTTTTTGTAGTAACTTTTACTGGAGTTTAGTACAAAAGGAAGGGCGCGTGATGTTTCCTAAAATCTTTAGCTTGGAAGGTTATGCGGCACAATTAATATTGATTTTATATAGCCATGTCTCAGTGGTGATTTCAGGTAGCGCGTCCCCACCTAGGCGCATCCTAAATTCGGTAGCGATTCGCGGTGCGGCCGCTTCGTAGACGGGGGTGGCACCCCTGAAACCCCTCCACCGTATCTGTTCCGGCGCCAAAATGGCCGACTGAAGCCAAAATAGAAGCCACGTGCAGTTCGTCGAGTGGCCGCGGCGGGAGAGACGGCGGTGTTGCAATCGCCATTAGCTCGGTTCTCGAGTACGGATCGGTGCCACTTTTTGAGAGCAGGCTCTATGGCAGTTTCCCATCTGAGTGGTTCTAGTAACGTTCCCTTTACCCCACATCGGTCCTCTCCCACCGTCGGCTACTGTAGTGATTAAAGTCAAACTGAGCATAGTATATGGTCGGTTCAATCGATATACATAGGTTTTATTGTATTTAAAGCATTTTTTTTTAAAGTCAAATGCTCCCCTATGTTTCCGTAGATGATTCCAAAAATTATCGCTACGTCCGACGAATTCTGCAAACGACTGCTGCTGGAAGGAGAAAAGAAAGGTGCTGTCGAACTTTCCGGGTAAGTCGCTGCCCCGGTGTGATATGGCACGATACATTATTGAAATATATAAATTAGATGTTTATCATTTTGACTGGACGAGACCCTTTATGGACTGGTACCTTCAAGTTTTGCTTTGTCTAGGAGAAGCTAGCCGCTGCTCGCCCAGTTCTTGTTGAACATTGTTTAATATAAAACTCTGCATCCAATAAAGTGTGAGCACAAAGCAATAACTATTTTCCGAGGGGATATAAGAAGTATCATTAAACATACACGAGTTCTCCATAACCAGATGGCGCCAAAAAACTTGTAATGAACGCGTTGCTATGTTTTATACTTTCTTTTTGGTGTGTCGATAACTGCAATGCGCGACACAACAACTCTTACACTGCGGTGAACATACCGTGAAACAACCATTTATAATGCCTGATAATCTACAGAACAAGTACGCATGTACTTCAACGTAATCATAATTGTGTGACAAGTTGAAAAAGGGAATATTTACGTGATCTGGATAAATGGTTCGCGATGTCTTCTTCTAAAATAACCTGATATATTTCCCTTGCAGGATGTTCGAGTCATTCGCCATGGATACAACGGCAGCCCTGGTCTACTCTCTAGACTTGAACACCCACGAAAATCTCGACCATCCTTTGGTAAAATGCTGCAAGGGATTTTTCGGAAACTTGGGTGGATGGAAGATGATCTTGTTGTGTGAGTTTTATTTGTCTTATACATGCCGGCCAACTATCATCAATAATAATATAAAATGACAGATGGACGAGCTGAGTACCCGATTATCATGTACTGCTTCAAGAGCCTCTTTTAATTTAAACATATTGTCCGCTCACGAAGAAAATAAAAGTAAACAACTGTGTTGAAAAAGTGGCTTCTAGACCCCTTTAAGTGCCGAAGGGACTGCATAAATATCTATTGTTATTATAACGTTTATAGTTACCTGCGTTTTTCTTTAAATGTTTCTGCACTAATGTGGAACCGATGCGCTGTTTAGAATAACCGGCTCCCCATTATCGCAGCTTGTCTCTATTACCTGAAGAGGCGGAGTTGGGTCCCACGCGTACGTTCTAGGTGTCTAAGGGATATCTTCATATTCTAAAAGCTAAAAATGTACGCGAGGAAAAATTTTATCGAGCATGCTGTAGGTGGATCTAGGAAAGTAGAAAATAATAAATTTAAAATTACGTAATTTTACGCGATGAGAGGGCATATAAAAAGAGATGGCTAGGAATTGAAGCATTTACACTCTAATTTCTTAGTAAACGTTCTGAAGGCAATAAATCGATGTTCAGAAGCCCAGCAAAGCGAGGCAAAAAATCAACGTGGGCACTCAACAACAACAACAAAACAAATCTTAGTATAAAATATGTTGTTAAGTGGGAGGTTTTTATTTGACAATGAAACGCTTCCAGGCACTTCTCTCTTTACCGGCCGGGAAATAAAAATATCTATAATCTGCACGCCGGAGTTGAAGGAATACTACCGACTTTCACATCGAGCGCTCCTATCAGGCGGTATTTCAACAGCAGACTCGTACGGTACTGATTACAAGAAATCGATTTGTTATAAAATGAATTGGTGGGCTAGTTGGTATAGAGCTTTATCCAATAGGTGACGTGGATGTGGCTGACGTACTTTGGTAGTGGGGATGCATCGCAGTGCAAAAGCAGAGAGCTTTTGAAAAGAGTCCGCTTTTCTTTTAAAGTTCTATGGAGAAAAAAATGGGTTGGCTCTCTATTTTTGTGTTTTGGTTTTCTTTTCACATGTTTTACGACGTGCAATGGATGACATTCGATTTCAAAATCGTCTTACGGTCCCTTTAACTCTCCAACAGGAGGATGGTTTACCAAAATTGGTGGATATGAACTTGTGTGGTTTGGAATTCGGTGATTCTAATCCAATAATAAACAGTACAAAAGACACGTCTCCGAACCGACGGAAAAATCTGTAGTTATGAAAACGCGAAGTAATTTGGAAAAGTAAAGGGTACTTTTCGAGCAATGGCCAATACTTCTGTTCTCGAGTAACCGAGGTAATCTAATTGAATACTTTTTAACCGAGAGTAGTTGCAATCCATAACGTTTTGTAAGTAACGTGGAGAAGACTGCGCCAAAGATTATTGAAATATTGCGAACGTGGAGGGGGGGGGGGGGGGGGAGCGTGGCGAGTCGTGAGCAGATTATTATCAGTCAGCAACCTATGAGATTTAAGAATTAGCCGGTAAGAACGTCAAAGGACAAGGTACAATACAAGCAAATTGTTGTGTGTATGTTTATACAGCCGCAAGTCAGTCTGTCTCAGTGGGCGTTTGGTGTCTCAGCTGTAGATGAGCAATTTAGCCAGTGCGGAACAACCGCTAGCCTGGGGTCTTTAACGTGAACCACGCAGTAGTGGTACACGACCGCACGCCGGTACGAGACTCATTTAGATCGAAACGGGCAGGTGTGGGTATTGAACTCTGGGGCTCTACCACACTTCATCCCAAGTCACTTCATCCAAGGACAGTTCACCACAGACACATCATACCAAAGTAATTTCATTCCAGGATGTTTCACCCCAAAACAGTTAATCCCATGTACAATTTATACCACGACATTTGATGCCAGAATAGTCCATACGGTTCAGCCGATTCAAGGGCCACTCACTTCATCCCAGGTCATTTCATCCCAGGACTTTTCATCCATGACACTTTATCCCACAAACGTTCTATCCCCAGATGTCTCCTCCCAAGATGTTTCATACAAAGGACATTTCATACCTGGATATTTTATACCACAATGTCTTCTGCCTAGAAGAATAAGTTATAAAGTCGGTAGCTCACGCGCACAGCCGGTATATGCACTTCGTCTTTCTTATATTGTCACCAGTGTTGGACAAAATACTCGATAAAAGTATTTAAGTTAAGTTACTAATACCTGCGTCATAAAGTATTTAAAATACTACTCAGGTTAGTTTCACTGCAAAGTATCTTGACTCCTTGAGTGTGGTACAGATACTTAGAAATGTATTTGTGTTACTTTTGAAGATACTTCCGCATTGCTTAATTTGTTTCGACGTCAATGACAATGACATTTATGCAGATACGCAAATCTGGGTTACCAGAATGGTTTATTAGCACGCAACAACACAAAACGGAAAAAAAAGTATCGTAGGGCTATTTTATGCAGTCCGACTACAAAGAGCGAAATATTGTCACGAATGATGAATGATGACGCGGCGAATAACTGAAGAAACTAAACCTTTAATGGGGCGAACTTGTTTCCAATATAAAAGAGTCAAAGGCTAGCGTCGCAGGCGTCGATGTCGGCGAAACAGCAGGATCGACCGCTGGGGCGAGACTGACTCCGGACCGCCACCCGGAGCACCTTTTGTACCCGCGTGTGTTTCTGGAACATTCGGCGTAGAAACTGCGGCGCGTAGAACATTCGAAACTCGATCAGACGACGAAATTCTCGAACTTACCAGAATGTCAAGTTGAATAAATAAATAAAAGACAAGTCTGCTTTCTGGTATCGAACCCGGAGACTCCGCGCGAGAGCCTCCGCGCGAGAGCCAAGCGCGGTAACCATTCGGCCACGCGCTCGCTGGGCAACGCACGTGGCAATATCACTGATAGATGTAACAAAACATTTCTGGGACAACAAGATAGAGGCCGCTTTAGCTATTGGGGAGGTCAGACCGTGGCGCCCCAAGCGGTTAACTTTAGAACTAGATGGATGGGGACAACAAACACAATGGCTCAGCGCTCGGCTGACTTAACCGAACGCGGCGTCAGCGTTCGGCTGGAGTTTGTGTTCTCCGGTGAGGGGGAGGAGGGGCTCTTTTGTTACCACTCCGGCCTGCATGAACAATGCAGCATGCACCCTGCCCAGCTCAGCACAAAAGCCCAGGTGGGTCAAGTTTGCATCCTCTGACGACTGCTCTCGGGGGAGATCCGGCACTTAACGTCACTTCACTAATTTTTGGTATTTTTTCATTACGCTATGCCCCGCGCTCTATTAAAAACGATGACACGAACATGCTCACAAGGCCTGTGGGCATGTGCAGAGGCCTTGCGTTGGGTAAACACCGAGGTGTGGGGGTGACAAACGGGTCAGAGCGCTTCGCCAATAGTGACATCGCTGAATATCACATCCTGCGGCGCACCTTAGACGCATCGTTATACTATACAATCTATATTTCCTATACGGGGAGTTCACTATAAACGAACTTGGGACACGGATATGAGTGAATGGATAACAAAGAGAGCCCATATAATAGCCACGGCAGTGGTCGCATGTTCTTCAAATAGGTTGCCTTCAGAAAAGCACTCAAGGTTGGGGGACACTTTGTTGGCATTTTGAGAAGTCACCCAACTCCTAGTTCGTTTTCTGTACTGTTCTCTGCTTATCAATGTTCGCTTACAGACAGTGTTCGCGAGAGCATTAGGTGTCGGACTGACAACACAAAAAAAAAAAAATAAAACCTCGACGTTTTGCCTTAGCGGGGTCAAATATACGAAAAGCAAAACAAAAATGTCTACTTTTTTGAGTGTGTGTCCACTCCTCATTTTCTTCTATTTGTTATTTCTTGACACTTAACTCTTCATTGCTGTCGCAGGTCGTTTTCCGGTCTGCTTGCGCCTCAGGGTCGCGCAACGAGCACGAAGCGACGTATAAAAGAGTAACGCGCATGCTTCTTGAGGCTATTGGCGATGTCACTTCAAGCCCACGGCAGGGGCACATAGTAGTGATGGACTTTGAAAAGGCCGAAGAAAATGCTTTTCGGGAATCCCGACGTCGAGGTGCATGGATGCGTATTCTATTTCGCGCAATGCATCTGGCGCCGAATTGAAGAGCTCGGAATGCACACGCGATTCATTGATGACTCCAGCTACCACCTCATCGTAAAGAAATTCATCGCACTGTGCTTCTGCGATATTTTCGACGTCTGCAACAAATATCGCATGCTCACAAGACAGCTGCTGGACTTGTTTGGATGCACGGAACAGTACTAAGACTTCCTAGACTACTTTGAGACTATCTGGGTCGGTCGACCCCGCAAGGACCCAAGGTTCCCAATATCCATGTGGAATTGCAAGCGCGTGACAGAGGTCAGCCTTCGAAGAACCAACAGTAGCGTTGAAAGCTGGCACCGGGTATTTCAAAATTCTATCGGTGCATCCCATCCTACAGTATTCAATTTGTTGGATGAGCTCCTCTCCGACCAAGTCCGTGTGAACGCGATGGCCGTCCAGCTGGATGTGAGTCATGAGACATCGCTATAAACGAAGAAGGAGTACGAGCAAAGCAATCCAACAAGCGTTTATACCGGATCCTGGATGACTATAACAACAGAGACACAGCCAGCTTTCTCTATGCGTGCTGCTGCTAGTACTCTGCGATTTTTGAGTGTATTAGCCCGAATCGTGTGCTCTGAAGACTGTATTAGCCAGAATTGAGTGTTCTGAAGATCGTATTATCCCGAATTTCGGCCTTTGAAGGTGCGTTAAGGTTTTGCTCTTATGGGTAGGTTGAAGTAAAATAAACGTTTTAAATTTTCATATTTCTGGTGAATATTGTGTTAGAACGAATACTGTTCGGCCGGTTTTCAAGGGACACCAAACCCCAATATTGCGGTTTGTTGCGGTATACAACTTTTACAAGAAGTAAATCTGACCATTACAGCATCACTGCAAATAGGGATCGAAATAAGTGAATGAATTAGTTGGGGAGAATACAAAAGAAAAGAAAGGATCTAAGTGGAATGGGCCGGCTTTTGCTGAAGTCCAGTACTGAGTTGTCTGTGGGCACTTTTATGCAAACCCCAAAATGACGTTAATAAGTGCTGCAGTCGGTGGAATGCGACCTATTTTACATGAAAACGACGACTTCGATAGTGCGCAAAAAAATAGTCTAAGATTTCTTCTTGCTCGAGCTCAGCAACTCGTGCGGTGCCCCAAATTATTCTGGTATGAAATGCCTGGGTATTTCATGCCACTGGCATAGAATGTCTTGGGATGAAACATCTTGGGATGAAATGACTTTGGTATGGAGTGCCCGGGATGCACATTCCTGGGATGACGTATCCGGGGATGAAGTGTGACAGAGCCACTCCAAAGTATGAAATATCCTGGCGTGTAATCTAAATGTGATCAAACATCTTTGGTATAAAGTGTCTGGGATGAAATGTCCTGGAATGAAGTATCTTGGGATGAACTGAGTGAACACCAGCCCAGGATCCTGGGATCTGCAGCGCGAGCTTTCGCTCTATGTGCTCCGAGCTGATGTGAGCTAGCTCACTCTGCCACCGAGTGGGCTAGCGCACAATACAAGAAGCGTAAAGATGATAAGCAACACTCTACGTTTATTATTCAGTTGACAAATAAAAACAATTTAGCGAGAAATTCAGTCGTGCAATACTTTTTCATCTTCACACGCAGTCACCATGTCGAGAGTCTTCAAATTACTTCCGTTGGAGTTTCCGAGCAAGAAGGGCACCGAATACGTCAAACAATTTACGAGACATATGGCGCATCAGCGGTGCGCTTCGAAAGAGGTAACTTTAATTCGCGTGTTGTGTGCATCAATTATCTATAGAGTCCATATAATAAGTCCGCGGTAAAACGTCCGCACTGTTACCGCTCATTCACACTGGAAGCGGATCCGCGTTTGTAAAGCGGTTGCGAACGCGGTTGTATAAAAATCCAGTACAATTGCACGCGCACTCGATGACATTAAGTGCCCGTGTAATTGTACTGGATCTTTATACAACCGCGTTCGCAACCGCTTTGCGAACGCGGATCTGCTTCCAGTGTGAATGAGCGGTTATTGTCACGCATTTCAGCCACCTCGGAACGGCGAGAAATAGAAACAGACGTTCGTAGCGCCGGGGAATCCAGCTATAGATTACTGGCGAGGCTTTAATAAACGCTAAAGGAAAGCAAAATATCACTCGCAATGTCGGTACCAGGCCTTGTTATTATGACTAACAGTTTAAGAAACGTGCGGTGTGGCTTGCTGTGTTCGCGTTTCAAGCTTTGTGATTTGTTCTTTGCCGTTTTCATCGGCGAATCGCGAAGCCTAGTTGGCCGAGGGACGATTATAAAATTCTCGGGACCTGCGTGCTCGGACCACACCCTGGGCTGTGAGTAATTAAGCTGGTAGCGACTATCCGAATGCAAAAATGAGGGAGAGGAGAAGACGAGAGGGGACGTCAGAATGCCGAGCTCTGATTGGAACGATTAGGGGGTAGACCTAAAGCTAGCGGCCTTTCTCTCCACTGCACTCGTCATACGCGATGAAACACGGAAAGACGGCGTCTGGCGTTTGCCTCTCGCATTTGAACGCGTTCGACGTCTGTTGTGGACACAAAGACAGCTAGCTTTAGGTCTACCCACTAATCGTTCCAATCAGAGGCCGGCATTCTCTCGTCACCGCGCGCACTCGTTTCCTCCTCCTCCTCTCTCTCTCAGTTTCTCGGCGCATACCTTTGTTTTACAAGTACAGACAGGCTGCGGGCTTTGTGTAAATTATAACTGAAGTTGACTAGCAACTGCTGGACTTCAACGTATCTATGGAAAATGTTTTAGAGCGCAGCTCTTAGGGGCCCGTTTCCAGCCTGAGCGGCGTCGCCGTCGCCGTCGCCGTCGCCGTCGGCGTCGCCGTCGGCGTCGGCGTAACCGCGCGTTGCATGCAACTCAGAGGAGATGCAACAGGTTGAATGCAACCTGAGATGCAGCAACTCAGAGGAGATGCAACAGGTTGCATGCAGCCTGAGATGCAGCAACTCAGAAAAGATGTAACAGGTTGCATGCAACCTGAGATGCAGCAACTCAAAGGAGATGCAACAGGTTGCATGCAGCCTGAGATGCAGCAACTCAGAGGAAATGCAACAGGTTGCATGCAACAGGTCACGTGACTCCCCAGGTCACGTGACTCCCCCGGTCACGTGACTCCCCCAAGTCACGTGACCCCCCAGGTCACGTGACCACCCCGAGGTCACGTGACCACTTTGAGGTCACGTGACCCCCCTCAGGGTTACGTGAACCCGTCCCCGAGGTTCACGTAACCCTGAGGGTTACGTGAACCTCGGGGACGGCCGAATTTCTAAGTTGGCCGGCCTTGAATTGAGGGACCCATTCCTGGTGCGGAACTCGGAAGCTGTCATAGAATTTTTGGCGAAGGGCGACCAGTCCTACGGTGGAGGTTTTTCTATTGACGTGGAGGACCTTTTCTATTCCATCCCGCATGATAAGCTGTTCCCAGCGGTAAAAAACTGCATTGAAGAAAACGATGAAATATGCTTTAGAAATTCGAGCGGAGTAAGTGTGGAATCTTTTTTAGAGTTACTAGAATGCTATCTTACCTCAACCTTTGTGTCCTTTGGGGATGGCGTTTATGTTCAAAAGCGAGGCATATGTATCGGTTCCCGTGTTGCGCCAGTGCTTTGCGATATATTTTTGGCTGGATGTGATAAGAGAATATGCAATGATATTGAAAAAATGGGGAAGTTCACAATCTGTCGGTATGTCGATGATTTCTTGGTGCTTGCCCCTAAGTCCGTTACTGTTACCATGGACTTAATCAGCGCTGTGTTGGATTGTTTTAACTTGAATTCACACGGATTGACGTTCACCCATGAAACTATGACGAGGGGAAGGCTTCAGTTTTTGGATTTGAGCCTCAACTTCGAAGGTGACCATGTTTGTTGGAAATATGAGCCGCGAACTAAGAAAGGGGTTCTGCCCTTCAATTCTGCGCAATCCAAACTCGTTAAAAGGGGAACAGCATCGTGCCTAATGAGAGCCTCCCTTGCAAAATCATGCCACCATGTCGCGGATGAAAGCTTCCTCACGCAGGTGAATCGTCTAAAACGAGGAGGGTACCCCGATCGCTTCTTGGTGGAAGTAGCGGATAACCTTGTTTCCAAGATGAAAAGAAAAGATGACGATCATATTCCTTCCAGACAACTAACAAGACCGGCGGTGATTCCTTATATTCATAACCTTTCGCATAATCTAAAAAAAGTGGCGGCTCATTTTGAAGTGCCAGTGGTGTTTTCAGCGCCGCATAAGCTGTCTCACTTGTGTTCAAAAATAAACAACAAAAAGGGAGAGGGTAAGGTGTGTCAAAGGAAACACGCTAATCAATATGTGGAGTGTGCAACGTCAGTGGTGTATAACATACCATTGAGTTGCGGGAAATCGTATGTCGGCCAAACGGGGCGTTGCATAAATGAAAGGGCCAGAGAACATGCCTGGTCAGTCAAACAGTCCCCGTCGGGCAATCTTGCGGTGCATTGTGATAGGTGCCCATGTAGCCCGGAATTGGAAAAAACAACAGTTCTGGGCAGATACGAAAACAAAACAGCGCGAGAAATACACGAGGCATTCCGCATAAGAGAGCAAGGGGTGAGTCTGTGTATTAGTGCGCCGTCACTGCACTTAACTGATAGAGAGTTTTTCTTTATGAGCCAACACCCTGATAGACGGTATTAATAGTCAATGTTGTTTTCAATAAACCTTCAGTTGTGAGTGCGCTTCGTCTCTGTCCCCTTCTTGGTCCTTGTTTATTCGGCGCTTTCCATTCAGTAAACTGGAACAACGAAGCAACAATCGACTGATACCAAAGGCCCCGCCCGGAGGCACGAAATAAATCACTGACGTGCTACGAAATTACATATTCCTGGCTGTATTAAACCCGTCCATGGGAGTGCGAGGGAAACGCGCAACCAACCGTGCTAATTTGGCAGAAGGTGTGTTCCCGGTGTCACCATTCACATTTGAATCAGAGTAGGGCAACACCGTATAATATCAAAATACGTTTAACGACTTTAGAAATTAATACTTTAAGCTCCCGCGCATTACGCGAGCTCATAGGGAGGGTTATTTCCACGTGCCTGTTCGTTTAATTTTACGGCATGCCCTCCATTTACAAACCCACATGAAGCAATCTTTGGCGGTCACTGTGTTTAAGCATCGACTCTTGCGCGAAGCGTGTCATTTATAGAGGAGACCACTTTCAAAGCTTACACGGTGGTCGTGTCCAATACCTTTCAGCACGTGTCCACGCCGAACCCCCACTTTGCACTCCTGTTCAATACTTCAGGCTTAGCGGGCGTGGCCATATTACGGCGGTCTCGGATAATTAGCACTGCAGCTACTGGATGGTGCCATTGCCTCTTTCCTCGTCCCCCAATGCGAGGGGGATTTTCTGCCTTGCAGAATCTCGAGTTTGGTCGTCGGCCTTTAAGAAAAGAAGCTGATATCACAGTTCGTCGTTACTTCTCAGTGAGCGACCGCGCTGCGTCTCCCTCGGTAGTCGACGCGTCCCATTTCAGTTTGAAAACTCTATTGGTGCATTTACAAGTTGATGTAGTCCCTAGGCGCCTTAAAGACAGTTAGAAGAAAAAAAAGTAAGTAGAAATGACAAGCTTATCAATTTCTTGGTGAAAGACTTCAAAGAAACAGTGTGCTCTGTGATGGGCGATTAAACGTCACCCCAAACGTCCCCAGCAGTAGCCCCTCACATTTGAAGTAGCTGGGTCGCACATTGTTTCAAGCCATATACGAAGAACATCATACAGGATGCGCCGCTCAATGTATAAAAATTGCTTACCTAGCTGTAAGAGTTCACGGTGTCAATGCGCCACAGATCCGAAAAGGGAGGAATCACCAACGGCTTGGAAATCTCTCCTTCGGGTCGCCAATTTTTAAGTCAGTGTCTCTTTTGATGTTTCATGTTCGTCCAAACCCCAGAACTAGTCTGGCCGAGGAAAGTGAGAAAAGCTGGAAAATTGTAATGGTTTATTATAATTGTTTTCCACGATCTAATATTCGACATACCCTCAACATTTCGCGCCGTCTATCTCCGGTTGTTTCAAATTTCACAAGTTGTAAAGCCTCGAGAGCACGGGAGTGCCAAAGAACACTCGTTCATTATGCAAATTCAGACGATTAACACACCGTTAGCAGATGCTTGTAATGCCTGTGAACTTATTCTCCCAATATTTTTCTTCTAGAATCAGAAATAGAAGACATCGCTGCGCAATGCATGCTCTTCTTCATTGCCGGCAGTGACACCGTCACGATAACGTTGACGTGGGCGGCCTACTCCCTCGCCTTACACCCGGAGTGTCAAGAAAAGGTTATCGAAGAGATCGACAATGCTGTAAAACAGGTAAATTCACAACTAGCATAAAGGATATACTAGTCCGAATGGCAGAAAGAGTATGGGAACGATGATTACATTCAAAATAAAAAGAAAGGAATACTGAATTCTTCCGTCTAGAAGCAACCAAAGCTATAGTAAAGCCCCCAGGTCCCCTGGGAAAGGGGCGTTTGTAATTACATTAGGACAACCATTAATTTAAGACATCAGGAAAAAAGTTTGTCCACCATGTAAACGGAGTGACACCGGATGTTCGAATAACAGATTGATGCTTTGTTTTTGTTCTTCTTTGTCAATTCTCAGGGCATCATCAAAACTAGTCGTCTGGTTGAAAGTGCTCTGTGGTGCTGAAACCTAAGGATTAATCCTTGGCGATTTCTTAACGCAATCTCGCTGTAAACCTCGAAAGTAAGAAAATTCGATCTCCTGTTCGCGTGAAGCTTGTCGTGCAGCGCACGTTGCGTTCTCTAAAAAAATTCGGAAACATCACTGAGAACAGCTATATCACTTACTTTTAATTTCTATATCTCGCATCCACTGAACTGGGGCGTGGCAAGTGTCGAGCTTTTGACTACACAACCTGCAAGTTCGTCTCCTTTTTATTGGGGCACCTCGTGCGCTTGTTTACCCCCGATACGAGCCCACGTGCTTTTGTTCCCTTTCGACCTCAACCAGTGGCGGTGCGCGCTTGGCTGCCTCGTCATCGCACGTTCCCTACGTCGCCTTTTCAATGGCGTGCTCCCCTTTTCGTTCCATTGCACAAAATACGCACTTTGGAACACTTGCTCGCCCTGCTGTTTGGAGGCCATAATTATTGCGGCGTTAGCCAATAAGAAAGCCCAATGACGATTCACGAAGCAGCAAGCGGAACCATAATAAACCACGGCCTCCGCTTCTTAAAGTGCCAGTGGCTATAGTTCAGAAATTGGCGCAGAAAATGTTCAATAAGAATCCGCCTGAATTTCGAACCTTCAAACGCAGCATAGGTGGACTCCATGTAAAAGCTCAACGTCTCTAAGAAACTTCCTCCATGGAAGTTTGAAGATGTGACACACCATAGGTGGACCTGGAGTCCACCTATGTTGTGTTTGAAGGTTCGAAATTCATACAGAAGGAAGGTATATGTATTGGGACGAACGTGGCCCCAGTGCTGAGTGATTTATTTTTGGCCAAATGCGACAGAGATATTGAAGCGAAACTATATAGTAATATCATCCGCATATTTAGGTATGTAGACAACTACCTGGTACTGTTCCACTCGGGGGAAGAAAGTAAAAGAGCAGAGTTTATTTCAAAAACGTTGGATGTTTCTAAGAGCTGCGCCGCCGGTATGAGTTTCACTACAGAAGATCCTGTACAGCGCATTTTACAATTTTTGGACCTGAAACTGATATTTATGCCTTCCCATGTATGTTGGATGTACTCCCCCAGAGCAAGGAAAGCGGTGTTACCCTACGACTAAAACCACTCTAAAATTATTAAGAGAGGTGTTGCCACTACGTGCTTAGGAGCCTCGCTGACTAAGTCGTGCTCACACAAAATGGTGGACGGCTTTGATAAACAAGTAAAGAAACTAGAAGATGGAGGGTACCCTCTTACGCTTATTAAACATGTGGGAGAAGGATTGCTACGAAAGCTTCGGGGAGGGGGAAGGGGTAGTGGAAAGGTCAGGCGGAATGTGAGACCGACCGTGATACCATATGTGCACAAATTTAGCCATAGTCTGAAGAAAGCGGGCGAAAAACATGGAGTACCGGTACTACCCTCAGCGCCTCAGAAATTGGGTAAACTGTGTGCAAGAATAGAAAGGGGAGATTTGAGGGTGGGTATATGTAAGGAGAAGCATGGAACTAAATATGCGGAGTGCAAGGAAGGGGTATAGAATACCTTTAACGTGTGGGAGGGTTTACATAGGACAAACCGGAAGGTGCATCAACGACAGACTAAGGCAACACGCACTGGCAGTATGATCCTCGCCCTCGGGTAATCTTGCGATGCATTGCAACCAATGCGATTGTGGACCAAAGCTTCAGGAAACTGTTATCCTGAGCAGGAATCGTAACAAAATGACAAGGGAAATTTCGGAGGCGTTTTTCATAAGGAAGTGCGACAGCGACACGTGCATCAGCGCCCCATCGATAGCATTGTACGATTCGGAGGTGGTGTATCTCCAGTCCTTTGTTAGCCCAAGCTAGAAAGATTATATGTAGATTATTGAACAATGCTTTTACATGACGTGGATGGTTGGTGACAAGGCATAGATGTTTCTTCTTTGGTTTCATTCACATTAAACCTCAGTTGCAAGTGCTCTCTACTGTGTGTGTGTCTTCTTTTACTGGTCCTCGTTTTTTAGCGCTTTTAATCCTGAAATGTACAACCAACTAGCCCAAGTGAATACCCTTTTAACAGTCTCAACAATCTTCGTCAAACAACGTGCGGATTGTAATGGAGAAGTCTGTACGGCCATTTCTGGAGAACGTGGGCATGACTATGACAGCCAGTGTGGCGCACCACTGCTTGAAGCCTATGCATCGTAAAATTCTTCGCGTCTAATCTAAAAATTCAAGGCTTGGAATATGTAAATAAAGCAGGTTGGAAGACGGAAAAGGATGGAATTTATAGATAGGTCAGAGTTATTTTTCTTGAGATCCCATTGTCTGTCTGCATATGAATTAACTTAGATAACAAGGTGCATAAGAGGATGCAGTGTTTTGTGCTAAATGCGCCAAAAACTAGACGTTTAGAAGATAACGCACTATTTTTTTTATTTAGTACCTACAATTATCACGAAGTTTATTGAAAAAAAAAATAGGCAAAGTCGCATCACGGTGGTTCTATCTTAGCGCCATAATGGTTTCCGTAAAACCGGGGTCATACTGCTTATACATCATACAAAAACAGTCTGCAAACAGATTCGAACGCGAATCACCACCAGATCTCTGCTTCGAATGCCGCGGGGCAACGAATTCAAGGGGACACCTGGCACGCGGCATTCGAACCACGAATATCGTGGTGACTGACATCAGCCGACTGTCTTTTGTTTGATGCATAATCAGTGTGACCCCGGCTTAAAGCTGCTTCTAGTAGAACTAAACACCGCAGTTTGACCCTCATAAATTGCGTAATAAATAATAAAAAAAATATTAAAAACATTCCCAGGGCACTTAAACACTTGTTATGAGTTGTGAATGCAAAAGTATGAACGTCGTTCGTCTTCTCCCTTAGTTCGTTTGCTGTGTACTGGCGTGGGCCGCCACATTTCGCTACTGCTGAGGTTGCGGCCGCCGACGGTACAGATGCCTCAGGCGCGGCATGCTCCTCGGCGCCAAGTAACCGAGACGTTTACAAGATAACTCCCCACCTTTAAAATGTATAAACATTGTGACCACGGCTTAAAGGTACATACTTCTAGTTGAAGCCAACACCACACTATGACCCGGAAAAATTGCGTGAGAAATATTAAAAATACTAAAAGAAAGGGCAGCACGAACTGTACCATATACTATCAAACCTCGTGCTCAGACTAAAAAGCACAGTAGTTGTTTTCGTCTAGGGATATCTAAATTGTTTATGTATGGAGCTAATTTTTTTCTGGAGTTTTGTACGCGCTACAACTTGCAGTCAAATATACCAAAAAGCGCGCTTGTAGCGCTAGCCGCCACATGTCCAGATGAATATCTCAAACTACATAAGCATCACAGCTTGTCTATCTACTTCCCTAAAGCATCCGTTCGCCGTCCTACCACAATACACACACATCTGTAAGTAGAAGTTGCAGTAACACGACGTAACAAGACTTTTTCTTGGAGTCTTCTCCCTCGCGCCATCCTGTCGATGACTGAGTTGAGAGCGCCTCCCAGCGGAGAGACGCTGCCTCCTCTTTTTTTTCGATTACACCCTTTCCGCACGAATGGGACGGCCTGAGAAGCGTTCGCGCGCTTTGGGATCTCGGAAGTCATGATGGTGCCATGGCTCCTAAACGGACAGGAGTGCCGCTTAAAACACTCGAGCGCGCTCTTCGTGCGCCAAGTATTTCTCGGAGCGCGAGGGACTTCTTCGCGCTACGTGACGTCAAGTAAACAAACAAAATGGCTGAGCTGGTGTGAAACCGTCGTGACGAATGGCGTAGCCGGACCGCTGCCACTTTTTAGCTGGTTAGTGCTTAATCGGGCAGGACAAAACAATTTGATTTGGTTTGTTCGTGCATCTCGCCTGAAAAAAGAAAAAAAAATCTATCAAACGGTAGCGTGCCGATAGCGTGCACAGCCACATAGAAGTTGTCGAGGCGGGGAGCCATTCGAACCGCTGCCCCTTTTATAATGCTTAGCCAAGCGAATAAGTATACTTCGATTCGAAAGCCAAATCACCAGTGAGCGTAGCGGGAAATGTTTGGTCATGCATCTCGCCTGAAAACGACTTGAAGTGCTGTCTATTGAACGTCGGTGTGACGGTATCGGCGTGGCACATCGACGACTTCCGCCTCGCGCGCCGCAAGACGTAACCACAAAATATCTGGCAAGTTTGAGGGCTTCCTGCGTCAACAAGCAAGTTCAGGAATGTTGTCTTTACTTTAAATATGAGCAGCATGCATAATGAATAAATATTTTGGCCCAGGTAACTTCCAACATATGTGCTCGAAACGAGTCTTCAAACCTTTCATGAATATTAAAACGCTCGCAGAAACTTCATAACGTCGCCGCCTCTTTTACTTTACACCCTGGCGCCCCACAGTGGCCTTAATTAATTTATCTCCGAAACGAGTTCGGCTTCTGCCACCCGTATCCAAGTGATGTCGGGTTCGTCATGACCTTGCGGTCGGAAGAAGCTCGAGCGGCTTGTCGACAATTTCGGTGTGTCGCGCTCCTGTACGCCATGCGCCGTTAAGTCGCTGCGTTCGGAGTATGAAACTCGGAGCGTCGGAGTCGGAGTAAAGGAGAGCGGACTGAACGCGCGCATTGGTACCTTTCGTTTTGGTATTTTTCGTGTCGCCGACGTGTTTTCGGTCAAGGACTTCGAAGGTCGACTGAGCGATGAGACATTTAAGACTTTCGCCTTAATAAATCCTTTCAGGAGATTGTTCGCTAAAACCAAAATCCGGCTCGGCGACCCTTACGGGGAAGCTGGGCGCGTAACTTCGGCGCCTGGTGGAGGTAGGCGACCTACCGCCGATGCCTTGCCGTTCACGAAATAGTTGAACGCCTTTCGGAATTTCTAGGTTTTAAGTTATTCTCAGGTATACGGACCAGGCTGGAGGAATCGGCAGTTCTTAAGATGCGCCCACGATACCTTCGGCAGATTTGCCATTTCCTTGGGGAACAAGCCCTCTTTCTTTTCACCCAAGAGAACAGGAAGTGATGTCCTTCAATAATAAGTAAATTTCAGGAGGTACCGCAGTTAGACAACGGCGGTGAGACTTTCAAAGTATGGCAACTCCGTGAGGGTGGTCGAAAACAATCAAAAACATTAGCCAACCCGAAGTAACATACTCCCTCCAGAAGTTCGGATTTGTTTTTGTTTACCTCCGCACACACAGTATACATGTCACGGGCAATAATTGTTTTTGATTTTTGAGTAAAATCCCCGCGAATAGTTGTCAGTTACTTCAGTATTCACAAGAGTCCCGTTTCTCAGAAAAAAAAGCAGGAGTAGTGCAATGCATATTATCTTGCTGAGTGTTAATACTATCTGTATTGCCTGTACATTTTTCATTACACTTGCTTCTTCGAAGCAAACTTTAACAAAGCTATATTTGTATTTCATTTCATTTCATTTCATTTATTGTTCTCTCAGGGCCCGAAGGCATTACAGAAAGGAGTGGGTTTTTTTTTTTTTAACGGAAACATATGAGTATAACGATAGATAAGGCAAGACAAAACAAAAGTTATTGAACATAAAAAAACTTAGTAATGGCAATTTTAAAATCAGTAGCATCAGTTATCGAGACTATGGGTGCAGGAAGGCGATTCCAATCTATTGAGGTCTGAGGGAGAAAGGAGGCATTGAAAGATGAGGTGTTACACTGGGGGACGCCCACTTTTAGATGGTGATTAGTTCGTAGCGAAATGTAAGATGGTTCTAAGAATAATGTTTGACGAAGTGTTGGATTAGAGTGAAAAATCTTCTGAAAAAGACAAAGCCGGGATATTTTCCTGCGAAGAGAGAGGTTAGGCAAGGAAAGGGATGCTTTCATAGATGTGACGCTGGATGTGCGATGATAGTTCGAGAGAATGAAACGAGCGGAACGATTTTGTATGGACTCAACAGCGGATGAAAGGGTGATACCGGGGTCCCAGATAGAGGCTGCATATTCCAGTTTAGTACGGACTAAAGTCTTATAGATTAGAAGCTTTAATGAAACAGGAGTAAGCGAAAGGTTTCTTTTGAGGTAACCTAGTAAGCGATTAGCGCTGTTAGTGACATATTCAACATGTAAATTCCAGGAAAGGTCATTGGTTAGATGCACACCAAGATATTTATAGGAAGTAACAGAAAGTAGGGGGAAGTTAATGATGTTGTAGGATGGGCAAGTGTTATTATGCCTGGACACTCTCATAGATCTACATTTAGATGTGTTGAGTTCCATATGCCATTCTGAGCACCATTGTGTGAAGTTGTTTATATCAGTTTGAAGAACAGAAATGTCAGAGTCGTTAATAATTTCCTTATAAATGACACAGTCGTCAGCGTACAAGCTGATGGAAGAGGAAACATGCATAGGAAGATCGTTAATATAAATAAGAAATAGTAGTGGACCGAGCACAGAACCTTGAGGAACACCAGAGTTAACACTTGATAATGATGAGTTAGTTCCGTTGGCGCAAACAAATTGAAAACGATTTGTTAAAAACGATTCTATCCAATTGAGTATGTTGTTATCTATGTTTAAGTTACGAAGTTTATGGAGAAGGAGTACATGGGGTACTTTATCGAAGGCTTTGGAGAAGTCAAGGAATATGCAATCTGTCCTGGAACCCCGGTCGAGAACGACGTGAAGGTCATGGGTAAAAGTTGGGAGTTGTGTTTCGCATGAATAGAATTTTCGAAAACCATGCTGTGCTGGGTGAAAAAAAGAGTTCGAGTCTAGAAAGTTAATAAGATTGGAATATATTACGTGCTCAAGTATTTTGCATGGGATGCTTGTTAAGGAGATAGGACGGAAATTCGAAGGATTTTGTTTATCGCCGCCTTTGTGGAGAGGAATCACCCTCCCCACTTTCCAGTCTCTAGGTAGTATCTGTTGTTCAAGTGATTGGGTAAACAGTTTTGATAAGATGATGCTTGAATACATTTTAGTATTTTTCAAAAACTTAGTATTAATATTATCGATGCCTGCTGAAGTTGATATTTTTAGGGTTTCAATAATATTCGCATAACCCTCGCAATCAACAATGACTGGATTCATTTGCAGATACTCACAAACTGGGAGAACCGGATGGTCAGAGGTAATAGGTAGTGAAAAGGATTTAGCAAACTCATCATTCAATACAAAAGGGCACAAATCACCTTGAACTTCAACTCCGTCATTATCCCTGAGCGTTACGTCCTGACTGTGACTGGGGCTAATAACTTTCCAAAATTGCCTGGGATTATTAATTAGCATGAATGGTAGTGTACTGTTGAAAAAAGTGGCTTTCGCCTCCTCCACTGCTTTTTTGTACTCCGCGGCAGCAAGATGATATACTGCCCAGCGTTGATCATCGTTCGACATTTTAGCAGAACGAAATAGCCTTTTCTTTTTATTTGACAACCTCTTTAAAGTCGTACTGTACCATGGTGACTGGGGTGATAGAGATATGCTTCGAAGGGGCACATGAACACTCATAAGTGACGCAACCTTTCTTTTGAATAGATTCCAGTTATTTTCAACAGAGCGCTTCTCAAAGCCATGTGTATATTTATCTAGAAAGAGGCATAATTCGTTATTTATAGATTCTTGGATATTTGGATAGCTAGATTATGAAATCATTTACAGAAGTAATATTGTTCTGCGTGGGGCCTCGTGATTGCGAAAATGGAGAGATCGTGTGAATAAAGAATAATTTTTGCGTGGTTACAATTATGTAGAACGTGCATTACATAAAGGATACGTAAATGTTCAAGAATGCACCGTCCTTTTTTTCCAGAATGGTGTCACCTACGAATCTCTCAAGGACATGACATATCTGGAAGCTGTCATCAACGAGTCTTTGCGCCTGCACACACCCGACTCACTGTAAGTCTGCCTCTTTTGAGATGCATAAACTGTAAAATTAAGAACAATAAAGGAATTTGCTTGAGGAACAGGCGGCTTGTGGAGTCTCAGGTGGCGGGTTCGAATCCCAGCCAAGATATCTGAAATATCTCGGAGTTTTAATACGACGAAAGGCACCTCTAACTTAAATACCGTTGGCGATTCCGGCGCAAATGAGAGGTTCTTCCCGCGCTTCCTTTGTTGGAATGAACAATGTCTTGCAAAGAATGCATTGTTGGTTTCTGAGGTGACCCCTCAAAATAATATTTATACGTGTTTATTTTTCATTGAGTCAACGCCCAAAGAATTGATAATTTTGAACACCTCACCAGGGCAAACCCGAACAATACGTTTTGTAGGAATTTTTTTTGTGCATCACGTTTCTATTTTAATTTATAATTTTTGCAGGTTATTTTGATTCAAAGAAGGCGGTAGCTGTTCTATGACCAGCGCTTGTATGGCAAGCAAAAAAGCGCCGAAAAAATACAGGGACACAGACGAAGGGAAACAGGACAAGGCGCCTTGTCCTGTTTCCCTTCGTCTGTGTCCCTGTATATTTTCGGCGCTTTTTTGCTTGCAATGAACCAACTGGCCCAAATCTCCGCTTGTATGGCTTGTGTATTTGGCTAGGCGAATATTAAATGAAGGAATATCCTGGAAAATATGATGGCTCATTAACAAAATTCTGCTAATTACCTTTTTAAATAAATCGGTAAGGGGTGACAATCTTACAATGATCAACCCTTCAACAAAAAAAAAAATGTGTCGATTATAATGGAACACATAATTCATCATGATGAATTTAATCCGAGACTGGGAAAAGGAGGAAAATATTTTGACAGTTGTAGAAAAAGAAATAAAACCAGACGTCTCGTTTGGCACACGTAATTTGTTTGTGCCAGAACTGCGTCACAGAGGAACACTCATTAACATTTCGCTGTTGATTATCTTTATCAGCTGAAAGTGCCTAACTGCAGGTGGTAATTTAGTGCTCCAATACTCTCATGAATTCATTTTACCGTATTTTCCGGGCTATAATTCACGGACTCTATACGTTTAAAAGTTAAAAATTTAAGCTTTGCGAACTATCTATGCGTTAGGATTATGCAGGAATTTTGTTTTTCAAGATCGTTCGTTATGACGAGCCGTGATGGATTTGGTGAATGAAAGAGTGTATTAATGATGATTTATGTATAATACAAGCTTCTTTGAGAGCTAAAAAAGCAGGAATTTGTGAAAGTGTGCAGTGTATTAGAATATTTTTGTGTCTACTAAGCACCAAGTGCGGACTATGCACGGCATGCGGACTATGCACCGGGTGCGTACTGTAGCCCGGAAAAAATGATAAACATGCTAATCCGACAGCAAGAAAAACATTGGGGGAGCAAACGTTATGTTTACAAAGGGATTAGATTCGAGAGTCAAATAACCGCAACAAAACCATTTCGCTAGCTCTATATCACGCCTTTTTTAAAGTGCAGCTCTTAGGCGCCCGTTTCCGCGTTCAGCGGTGTCAGCGTCGCCGTCGGCGTGACCGCGCGCGTTGCATTATGGGACGTCACACTTTCTCCGTAAAATTTTCCGGGGAACTGAATTGGCGCTGACGTCAAGTGACGTCAATCTTCCCGCTAAACAAGCGGAGACTGAATTTGTTCATAGCTGACATGATAGATGAAGTCAGGTGAGGTCATTTTCCCCTCTAAATTTGAAGGGGGAACTGAATTGGTGTTGGAGGTCACGTGGCCTCAGTTTTCCAGCTAAATTTAGCGGTTGAAGCTGTGGAATAGGGGGGGGGGGAGGAAAGGGTACGCAAGGGGGAGGGGGGAGGGTATAGAGGAGAAGGAGGAAGAGGACACGGAAGAGGAGGAGATTGCAGAACCATTATGTGAGGAGAGTGATCTATATTTGTACATATGCATATATTTCTCTCTCTGTTTAGCAGGGTATATCGCAAAGTCAAAATACCTCAAGAGTTGCGCTCTAATTTCGCAATACTGAGATTTGTGACCGTCTTTTATTTTTTTCCTCTTTCCCTGTGTGTGTGTACACTTTTTAAAAGAAACCCTTACTTATTGTTCTTAAATAAAAGCTGGAAACCGCATAGAAACCTGAATTGAGAACTGCCTTTCTTAGAGTTTCGCTTTATATATTCAAGTATTGCTGTTAAATTGAACAGAAGTAAAAATAAATAATATTTATAACGGGAAAAAAAGTGAAGCGATTGCCGCGGTTCATGCGGGAATCTTCCTGCCACCCTTCTCTGCCAAAAGTGTCGTGACGTCATCGTTAGGCGTTGTGACGCCATCCTAACGACGTCGTGACATCGTCAAAGGAGTCGAAACGCTATTGTCAAGGTCACTGTTAGTTTTTTTTCTTTTTCCTTCCTCGCCTGCGCTCAGCGGGCAGCAAGGGCCGCGTGGGGCTATTGCGAAAGTTTAATTTGCGATTACGTCCCTCATAGTTTAAACGTAACAAAATAATATCCAGTAGTTTTAAGTTCTGTTCAGGGTATTGAACTGAACCGAAATCGTAAACGGTAAACTGAAAAAAGAACCACGTTATTTTCGCGAGCAAGAAATCTAACTGGATTTCTTGCCGGAAATCTGAAATCCAGTTTGCAAACAATGGTCCGCAAACTCGACTTCACGTTTTCAGCAGGAAATCGAGTTAGATTTCCTGTTCCATGATCCAGTTAGCGAAACGTTATGCAGTTTTTTTTTCGACAGTGCAGCGGAAAGCTCTTTAACGTTCCATTTTCAGGTTTTCACATAACGGTCGTCTTCATACTATATAAAATTCGTCTCGAGAACGCCAAAAGAAATAAATAACACAGTAACTATAAATTCTCCGGGATTTCTGACCTTAAGTATTTAGCAAATGCCCACATTCTTCCATACCTTTCCTTGGGGACTGGAAATAATGCATCAAAGAACATTTATCACTAGAGTAAACCCAATTCGTAGGTCAGGGAAAGTGACCAAATAATGAGCCTGTTTGGGGGCAAAACGGTGAGTTGGGCTTTTGCTAGTTTTTCATCTAAAACTAAACAGCAAAAAAAAAAAAAAAGGCAAAGAGAGGTATAGAAAGCATGCCTAGTGTTGTCTATACCTCTCTTTGTCGATTTTTTTTCTTGTCTTCTTGTCTTCAATTTTGTAGAGTTGTGTGCAATTTACTTTAAACGCCTTAATATCATTGTACAATTGATAAGATAAGAAAGCTATACAAAGGCCGATGGATATTTTAGGACCTGCACTAGTCGCCACACAGTAGCGCATCTAATCTGCTTTAAAAATAACTCATCGGATATAGTAATCTCCCCGAAAGGAATGTCTAACACTAGGAAGGGGAGGAGGGATTCAATCAGCAGCTACAGCTGCAGAAATAGCCAGAACAGCTTCGATCTCTGGTATAGCAGAAACAGCAAGGAACGAAACGTTTCGCCAACAGAAACGCAAACATAAAGACGCACAACTCTTCTGAGAATTGCTTTCAAACGATACATTTTATTTCCTCTCCATCTCAGAGGGGAAGTCAGGAAAAAAAAGAGCAGCATGTTGCTACTTGAAGATGCACCCCGCCTCCTCTTTACATTCGCAGAAGAAACACAACATACGAGGGAATGAACAATTTAACATATATAAAGACAGAAACGCACCCTCCGCGTGCGTTCTCGTTCTTTGTTTTGTTTCTAAACGAACGGCGGATGGTAAACGCGCCTCGCGAGTTGCCGCCGCCCCATTTAGACACTCAGACCATAGCCTCCTATATACTGACAAAGCTAGGCAGATCACTACGAGAAGTGGCCGCCGAAATGCAAAAAGGATGGAGAGCAGACAACAGATGAGAGGAGAGCCAAGTGACAACGTGACGGGCGCCCCGCTGCGGCAGGACGCTGAGACGCAGCGTCTCGCCACTGCCGCGAGACGCTGCGGCGAGACGCGAGGACCCGAAAGTGTATTTCGAGTCCTCGCCGCTGCAAAAGCTGTGCACTGACATCCAGGTTCACCGAGAAATTCTCTTTGATGCTCTGTGCAACCAGATCCTCGCGCTTCAAATCTGCGACCGGGCACTTTATGGCTCCATCGTCGAACTGCCAGGCTTCGCGACGACGCTCGTTGCTTATGCTCAGCTTTAACCTAAGATGAACCGCGGCCAATCCTACGAGCCATCCTCAGAATTCAGCGCTCTAATCGTGCAAAGAGACTTCATGATCCGCGCGTCGCTGCTCAACCGGGAATATAGGCTTTTAGCCCTGGATATACTAGGCGAGCTGCTAGCGTCCGCTGCAGTCCACCTAAGCGTGAAATTCTGTGCCAGTGTTCTTTCTTACTTGCTTTTCTGCGAGGCCCTCGCAGGGGTTTCCCCAGGAATTGAAATCAGGGGGGGTGTCTAAATTTTTGGGGGGTTAAATGGGGGGGGGGGGGGGGGGGAGGGCATTGCGAATATAGGAGTCGTTGTGAATTAAGGGGGTGCCTTCGGAAAAACGAGGGGGGGTCCTAACCCCCCCTAGGGGGGGGTCTAGGGAAATCCCTGGGCCCTCGGCTCGGCGGTTCGGCTGTTTCGGCCCTTGGAAGGCTGCTTCAACTCCTTCTCAGTTCTTCATTTGCGCTGGTTGTGCTATGACCGCTGTGGCGAACTGTTGCCCCTGTTCAGTTGTCTGTCGAAGAGGCGGCCTTCACTTCGTCATGTGTGACGCCCTCTGGCTCTGGAACGAAATCATATGTGCAATGAGGCGCGACCGAGAAAATCCTGTTAGGAGATTCTTCATATATGACATCGTCTCCAACCTGTAAGTGTGCGAAATCGGAAACCGCCGGCAGGCTCTTTCTGTAGACCATGGTTCCAACTTGGGAACGCCGCGTGCAGCGGCCCCACAAAAGTGAACATGAGCAGCTACTATCGGAGAAAGCAGCTGAGAAATCTGTGTCCTCGAAGCCCTCGGCTTGAGATAGTCACGAAGAGTCCACGGCAGCAAATGTGAAGCAAGTGGACACACGGAATATGCTCCGACCTACAACATTACAGTCGCTGTTGCTGGACATGACCGAGGAAACTACGATAAGAGGCTGCGTCGAGCAGGTGACAAAGACCGGACGGCCATTTCGCCTCGTTGAGGACTCTGGCTTCGCCTGATCATAGACCCGGTTTATAAAAGCCTTGGGCAATAAGCGTGCCATAAGTGCTGCAGTAGTCAAGGATGGAGTCCGGGAAGATGCTAGGATGATGCGCGAAGGAATAGGTTTGTCCTTGAAAAACAGCATGTTTTCGTTGAAGCTAGACTGCACATCGCGACTGGACCACTCCCTGCTGAGAATCGACGTTGAGTAATCTGAAAAGTAAAGGTTGGTGCTCCAGCTATTGACAAAGAGAACTCATTGAAAGGTACATGGGGCAACATCCGAGGTCCGAGGTAATAGATGCACTCTCTCGCTTCAATCTCAACGTCAGCTATAGGTATACAGCGTCACGACAGACAACAATGCCAACATGGTGAAAGCTGTGCGTCTCTTCAGTAAAATGAACGAGAAATGTTCTGACTCCGAAGAAGAGGTCGGCTCCAGGGACCCTGAAGTAGAGTCCCACGCTCTGCAATCTCTACTGAACAATCTTGAATGCGCACTCTTTGATGATTCCGGCTTGCTAGAAGGGATGAGGTGCGCCACTCACGCACTGCAGCTGGCAGCTAGCGACGCCATGAAAGGTTTGGGCTGCGGGCACATTCTTGAAGAAAGCCGTGCTCTTGTTAAACGTGTTCAATTTGTTATGTCCTTGATCCGAAAACTAGGGTTGAAAAAAAACAGTGCTTGACTGTCCGACGCAGTGGATGTCCACGCTGCGTATGCTCACCAGGCTACGTGAACTAAGAGGCTTCGCTGGAGGTTTCCTCTCAAAAGAAAAAAGCTTCAGGTGAACTGAAGACGTATGGGCGGAAGTCCAAAATGCTCGCAGTATCGCTCCGTCTGGCAGAACTGGTGACGAAGACATGGCAGAAGGAACATCTCACGGTAGGAGATTTCTACGGGGCATGGCCGATATGTTCCAGGGACACTTCCAAGATATCGTCGCCATTAGCAAATGCTTTGGTAGAGTCAATGAAAAAGAGAGAGCAACAACTTCTTGACATGGATGTCTTCTGTGCAGCAGTGTACATGAATCCCCGCTGCCGCCTTCTTCTCACCCCTCAAAAAAGGTACCGGGCCACGCTGCATTTTACACGGACTAGAAGGCGGATCACACCTCTGCAATGTGAGCAAGATTCTGCCCTTTCTTTTAAAACTGCGGCGGCTCCAGAAGCTCCAGAATACGCCCTGGAAGTCCTCTTCAAGGAAAGAGAGGTTGAGGCTGGCGTGAATGTTCGAGGTACCAGTAGCCCCCTTGATATAGCATGCCTCCTGGGAATGCTGACAATGAGCCGTGGCTTTCAAGGGACCCTAACGTATTGCACTTTTGGAATGAGAGAAAGGAACTCCATCCAGAACTGTACGCATTGTCGCAAGTAGTCATGGGAGTGCTTGTGACCCAGGTCGGCGTGGAGCGTGCCTTTTTTCACTGAAGTTCGTTTTATCGTCTCGGAGGTGCCGTCTTTCCCCGGATATGCTTGACGACGTCCTGCGTCCTGCGGTTAGCTGCCTGAGCTTACACTGTGCTTTCACCCATGCCCCGAGGTGCTCCAGCACTAGCTCGTTCGTTCCACACAATAATGTGAGCCTTTGTTTTTTATATGTAACACTTTTATAAAATATGCATATCTTGTCTTTTGCTGTCGATAATTGTTTTTGTAGCATATGAGTACGAATCGGCTTCAAGCCGGTTTGAACCTTCATTTTTTTACTTCGGATTTGAACCGGAGCTGAACCGTTTTCACTGAACCTGAACAAAAACAGGAAAGAAATATATTTCGGTTCGACAGCCTGGTTCTATTACAGATCCAAACTCTCACTCGGTTTTTAATCCTAAATTTGCCCTAGCTTGCGTTTAGTCTAAGCATCTTTTCTAAATATCCCTGTCAACTGAAAGATTCCGAAGACAATTTCTGATCAAATTATAGTGTATTTAGGATGGTTAAGCAGTGATTTCGAAAAGACCTCTTACGTTCACTTGCTCGTCATGTGTAGACATCGGTTTGCCAGCGTGCACCACCTAAAATCACATTAAACAATGCATTGTATGAATTAGGTACGAGGAACTGAAATATAATTATGTTGGTAGTTCGACCAAGGAGGGTCATTTTTTGAGTTGTATTCATTGGCCCTATCAACGGGTATAAATTCTGACACCCATCCATGCGTGTGCACGACGTATATTAATTTATTATGCTGAAATGGTGGGAAGGGTTTCTATGAATGCTGCACAGGTGTTGATCCAGAATCTCAATTATTTAATGGATTGGCTTGGTTGCGTAGATAATACTGATTCGGAAGTGTAGAACATTACTTAACCCTCGTCAGCTGGCGCAAATATGAACGACACTGGTGTTCAATCCGAGCTCTACTTATTTCAGCTCAATAAGAAGATGCACCCAGGAGACTTCAGTGGCTGGTATAAAAATTCACCCCGGAATGTCCATTGAAATTCCGATTCACGGCATGCATCGCGACCCGGAATTTTTTCCCGAACCCGATTGCTTCAAGCCAGAAAGGTTGGTGCTTCCATTCAAAAATTTTCACACATTACGAGCACAAAAGCAACACACTTAACAGAAACGTATAACTGCACCCTAACCCCAGAAAAGACGAATTGAATTTCTGAAGTTCATCCCCTCTCAAGAATTCACAATATTGGTTGTACGAAAATTGCATAGTTACGGTGTTTTTTGCTACAACGAGGGTTGTCCTAATCAGTTGCGTGTATTCCTACTCAGTCATATAATTTCTTATTCACCTTAGTGCAGCGAGCGCTGCCGTGACTATAAAGATGAACAGGACTGAAAAGCAATATTAAACTGAGGTAACAGTTCTGGTTTCACACTCCGTCGTAGTATTTTACAAAAAAAACAAAACAAAACAGGCAGTCACTTTGATGTTGTTTAATAGGTTATAAGGTCTGGGCGATATGAATCTATCATACTCGGGGCAGTCAGATAAAGTAATATTTCGCGCATTTTACCCTCAATTTTTTAAATTATTTTATGCAAAGGAATATGCTTTTTAATACCTTTACAAATAGAAAGTTACATCGAGTGTTAAGCGAAACGATTGTTACACAAGATTTTCACAGGATGGTACTACGACATTAACGTTTTTTCACATTAATATTGTAGTACCTTTTATGAAACTCTTCTGAAACGATTTTTCGCCTAAAAATCGATATACATTTTTATTCATAAAACTATTTTAAGTCCACATTATTTTGCACATTATGATATAAAAGATTGAGGCGTAAAGCCCTAAAATCCTTATATAAATCTTAATACACCCAGCTGTAAAAAGTCATGACAAATATGAAACCTATCCTGTTTAAAAAATAAAAATTCGTTCATTTTTATAATTATTTAATTCTCCCTGTCCCCAGCCTGGCGATAAAGTAGGTACAAACAGTAAGAGAAACAAAATTAAATTTTATGAAAATAAAACGATTTTGGCCAAGAGTCAACAGCTCTTCAAGTCATGGGTGTTCTATGACCTAATCAGTTTCGGCGATGTGTTTATTAGGAAGCAAAGTTGGCGTCTGAACTAAACTTGTGTTCGATTCTATTTCTTAATAAAAATATACAAACCTGATGCTCGTTATCATAATCCAAATCAGCATGCGTGTCACTGTACTCATAAATAAGGTTCTCAAAGAGTCATTCAACAAAGAACGCACATCATCCATTTTTAGCGAAACGTTCTTGTGTCATCAAACACGCTGATCTACAATTTAGGTTCAGTATTAATATTTTTTTATTGCAAACCGTACGTTTGTAGCCTGCAGTGTTGCCTTAATCTACTACGACTGATTACGCCTTTTTTTAGATTTCTGCCAGAGAACAAGGAGGCTCTTGTCCCGTACACGTACCTGGCGTTCGGTGCCGGGCCCCGAAACTGCGTCGGTCAGAGGATGGGAATGTTACAAACCAAGGCGACGCTTGCTTGTCTTCTCCAAAAGATCAGATTTCAGAGGTGCAGTGAAACCCAGGTATGTGTACATAATTTCTGGAACATCGACATGTTATCAAAAAATAGAACTGAAACTGACTGCGACTCCTCGTGACAAAAATATGGAGGCAGCTTTGTAAGCAATTCATAAACTGGCTCAGCCGTTTCGAACTTTTTCTAAACAAAAATCGCACAGAAAAACGCACCGTGGGCGAAAAGTGCGCGAAACCTTATTGCTCCGTTTATAGTTGACAAAACAATTAAGAAAGGTTTGCATAAAATAGTTTATCTTTTAGAAAGTATATTCCTTACCCATGGCTGACCCCAATGCTGTAAATGTAAATAAAAATAAATATAGCAGGCAAAGTTATTCGGACCAAATCGAAGTTTACTCGGTTTCATCAGATCTTTATTTTCTTCACGGGTAAGTGTTTAAACTACCAGATATTTTGTAGCTGACTCATGAACCAGAAACAATCCACCTCACCGCCTTGCTTATACATTTTACAAATTAAATTAAGACTTCATGGTTCAATGAAAACCACCCCAACATTTGCTTCAAAGCAGCTAGCCATCACATAATGGTCGATTTATCGGATTAATAAAACTCAGCGAATTCTGACCGGCTCACACAGAGTATAAATAATGTATAACATACGTACCTCTGTCAGACGGCTAAGTTGAAGGCCTTCAGAACAAACTCATTTAAAATATGAGCGAATGTGCGCACGCCGATTGCCGTGAGATCGCGAGCTGTTTCGCTGATTCAGTAAATGCGTTCGTTAGGAAGGCCTTTAACGTACCCGTTCGACATTGGTTTAAGTCTGTGTTCGTTAAATAATACCTGATTGGGGAATATTTGCAATATACAGTAGGGTAATTTAACAAATGACGAACTTGTTAGTGACATGCCACACGACGGCAGAGTGCGTCGTCTGTTGCAGCAAACCGGCATTCAATTGTTATAGGTCATAGGCGTTTGCTCTCTCCGTCAGAAAGAGTGTTGTGAATATTTTACTCTTATTTTTGTTTTAGGTGCCCTTGAAGTTACAGGCAAGATCTTTGGCTCTGCAATCCGCTGAACCAGTGAAACTGAGATGTGTCCCTCGCGTATGATGACGGAAAAATGGCGAAGGTAAAAACAACAAAGCGGGAAGGAATGTTCCGGTTTTAATATGTCGTTGAAGAGGTCATCGATGACGCTGCGCGAACAGCTTAAATTTGTATCATCCATCATTGTTGTGTGAGCTCATTCCCGGAAATAAAAGTAAACATATGTTTGCTATAAAAATACAACTTAGGGGAAATGTTGCGCGAATTGATGAGTATTGGAGAGAAATAAACTTTCGGCAGCGTGATACCTTCGCATAGTGTTTGAACAACAAATAAGATGGCTGCCTTATGGCCAACAAAACATGCTTCTTGTGTAGGGTTCGTCAAGATAATAGGCACTGGAGAAAACCAGCCGCCCGAGTTAACTATTTATTTCGAGCACTTTTTGTTCAGGTTGGACCCATTTATTAGCACAACAAAAAAATAAGAAAATAAAAAAGAATTCGAGACGCGCACCTGATTTCGCCACTCCAGCACCTCCTCCCGAAAGATGAAGTCATCCTGCTATGATCACCAATGCTATGGCAACGAAGCGTTTGCTGAATTGACGCACACACGAATGCAGTCTGAAGCCAGCAATGGCTAACGCCATTTTTAAATACATCCCGCAAGTCAACTGATCACTGGTAGCCAAAGCAGAAGTTCTACTTATGAGCATTCAACCAAAGCACAAAGGAACGAAACGTGCGCAGACTCGAGGCAGAGCTTCTACTGCATTTTTAATCTTGCCACCGACTAATGAGATGCAATAAGTCTCATTCATGTTTTATTGCTTAGAACGGCCACAATAACGTGACAATGTGAGATATTGAAAGCAGTGTGACAATGCATATCTATAAAACCGTCATTTTTTCTTTTCTTTCAATTCTTGAGAAGGGCTGAAACAATGTAACATTGAACTAACTTCTAGCGCAACAGGGAAGGAAATCGACTACATTTTTACAGAAGTAATTAACGATAATGCATTCCGTGTGCGGCTGATTAATTTGTAATTGTAAGCCATCACATCTTGAAGGATTGGCCGTAAGTCTGCAGAACGCTACGAGTCATCATCCAAGCTTATCCAAAACCGCGGGAGTGTCACGTGACTTCTGGAAGGACACAGGGACGAGCGTGGTGCGTAGCACAGTCTATGGTCTTGGAAAGATTGGGATGGTTGATAGCATCCGCTACGGTCCATTATAAAGTTGAAGAAGGTATAGCACCCCGGGGCGAGCGTTCCCTTCCGATCAGCTTGCAACGGGAGTTTTGAAGTAGCATTCATTTGAGGCAAACAAAGGGCAACACATGAGACGACGCGGAGGAGACTCAAAAGGTAGCGTGTGTCCCCACACAGAGACAGAAAATAAAGCGAATACAAAGATATGACGCAATCTCTGAATTTTGAAGTGGCGCGCTGCAGTCGCGCTTACCTCAGTGACTGCGCGTAAACCACTAAAAAAATAAGCTGTTCGTACAAAATTTGCACTGTGGTATTCACAGTCAGCTGCGTCATGAGCCTCATGAAGAATGTTATTGCAATTCATAGAGAACCCACAATAGTGGTTCCTGCAGGCAATTTTTTTTTCCTGGAGTGCTGAGATGCACTAATTCGACAACGGGGTAGTTGCAATCGAAATCATTCCACTTCTCTCCAAAGCCAAAGATGCCCCATAATGCAACGCGAGAGACAGACGTAAAGTGGTTAATACCATCCGTGTTCGTTTTGATAGCTGTAAACTCGATCTCCAGCCCGGAGAGTCGAGGTTTGGATCCAAGGTTGCAGGCCAAAGGGCATTCTCAGCTTCATTCTCTGCAAGGTTGCAGGCCAAGGGACATAGGAACTCAGCTTCATTCTCTCCGGCCGGGGGCGCTGTTCATACATGCGTCGTCTTCTGTCTACCGTGTGGGTGAATGCGCTTGGGTTTCCTGTTTCTCCTCACACTCTTCTCATCTGCTCGCCGAGTGGTCCTGTTGAAAAGTGGTCAGGAACATGCCGATACAGAGGCAGTGCGTCTCACGCGCAAAGCAAGACGCGCCAGACCCAATATTTCTTTCGCGTAATACTTCGCTCCACCACCCTCTCAGCTTAGCTTAGGTAACGGTTTGGCGGACCGTGAGGAGCTTGATACGTGGGTGAGTCTACCGTCCCTTTGTGCATTTTCATATAGTGTCAAAATACGTGGATGAGGTTCCCGCGGACTGCTGGCTCTCGTAATGTGGCCAAACTGGACGTTAGTTAAACGACCTGATTCTAAAACAAAACCTACGCAGATAATTCTGAATTTGTAGAATACTTGCAGGGTAATAATTGCTTCTACAATGGTGCTTAGCACATTTTGGGCTCAGCGCTTTGGTGCTTAGCTGAAAAAGATATTACTTTAAGAGAACCACAAAGGAAACGACTCGCATCGCCAGCACCGGCAATTGCCTCAGCGTGGTCTCAGCACACTTTCACGCGGATATATGTATTTCTTATATGCTGAACTAGTTGAACTTCCAAGGTGTGGGCCCAGTACTGAAGCCTTGAAGTTTTTGAAAGGCCTAGAAACTTTTTAAAATTTCTTCGAAAGAAAAAACACAGTGGCACGCTGGTGCCATCTAGGCGTTTACCCTGGAACTGCATTTCGCTAGAGCGAAGGTTTTGCGGGATTTCCGAGGTCAAATGTGCGTAATGCCTATGAGAAGTGGTCGTTTATGACGTTGACAAAAACAAGAAAGGAACGGATGATGCTCGAGAGAAATAGAAAATATGCGCTACCGCCAAGTTTCCACCGCTACCCAAGAGATGGCGCCAGTGTGTCCTATCATCGTAAGAGATATTAAGTTCTAAGTCTCTCGGTCTTAAGAAGTCTCAAGTGTGTGAACGAGCCTTTATGTTTGTTTGCTAGTTTGTTTCACTCTGCTGGTTGTGGAGTTGACGGGTCGAGTCTCTGACGATGTGGGGTGTTTCGTTGTAGAGGCCCCTTTCGGAAATACTGCCCTCTGTTGGCAGTGTGAAATCCCTGCACAATGGCGGACTGAAACTTCAACGTCCACGGCACACTCAGAAAAACACACCCACAAAAAAAGGTGGTGAGCGCAGTGACATTGCACTTTCAACGCTGCTTGATTGGCTCCTCGGTTCCTTGCGTTGGCCGCGCTCCGACGTTCGCTATCTTATGGAATGACTTGCACGTTCCTCGATGGTGTTATTCCGCCATTGTGCAGTGGTTCCAAAAAACACTCTAATAATCGGCATGTGACTTTCGGAAGGGGTCTATAGAAGCTCTCGTAAAAATGGGCTTGTGTGTGTGTCTGTCTTTTCCTTTGTCTTGGTGTGTTTTTTTTTTCTGCATGACCGTGCACGATCTCGCCTGCACATAAACTCTTACATTAAGCACATCTGGAGGGGTTGAGATCAGACAAGTAAATGAGGCGGAATTGGTGTGTGGTGTTTTGCACGCGAGACGCGCTTCCTTAGTACCATCCTTTTCTTCACTATGTAGCACCCGACAGGACTACTCGGCCGGGGCCAGAGGAAAAACGTAAAAATCGCAGGCGGCTCTGCGCACACGTCAGAGACGACGACGACGATAAACCCTGGAGAAGGGGAACAGGAGGGACAAAGGACAAACATAAATCTCCAAAAACAGCTAGGTGACTAGTGACGTCCTTTGTCCTTTGTCCCTCCTGTTCCCCTTCTCCAGGGTTTATCGTCGTCCTTCTTGTCCAGCTCGCTTGCACCTTTGCATTTGATTGCATTATACTTATAACGTCAGAGACGCCGACGCATAGACGAAGTGTGCTGCCGGCCGGTGTAGATAACGATGTGTCTTGGTGTCTTTTGTCCTGCCGCCTTTCAACCTTAGATCCACTACCTCGCTATCTGGTCAGGGAACCCATTTTACAGCTATCAAGGCAAACATCTGTGGGATTAATCATTTTTCGTCTGTCTCTCGGTATCGTCAAGTGTTTCTCTTGTCAAGGACATTCGAGTTTTGTAAATACGTTTACTCGATTCCTCTTGGTTTACTGTTCGTTGTTCGCGTTTTCATCATGCCGTCAGAGTGCCAGCTCTGTTGCCACGCTCGGGACTGCCTACGTCCTTTGACAGTGGCTTATTGCGTGCGCCAAGGACACACAATAGCGCAGCGCAGATAGAGATAAAGTCATTTTTATCTTTGTTGTCGCACAACTCGACTTTTATTGGTTGAGCCGATGATAGCGACAAGCCCTGCCGTCTGAATCACTTTATCGTGGCGCGTCAGGGTTTAAGAATATATTAGTTCGGACATCGAATCGACCATGCTGCAAGCGACGTTGGCTTTGGCGTTTCTACTGATTTTTTTATTTTCATGGTGAGTCACTTTCTTATACTCTTCCTGCGCTGCTCGCTTCTATAAAAAGTGTATCACGCGGTAACTTGGAGAAACTGTTTCGATATGCAAGAAACTCCAAAGTAACGTTTAAAGCACAGATAACATCATGGTTATTTAAAACGTATTTTTGACAATTTTATTTGTCAAGAAACTTTATCAGGAATAAATTGAAAGTAAACCTATCGCACAACCAAGAGCTTGAATTATGTCAGCAGTGCTGCTGAAAGAAAAAGTCATATAAAGCAAAATACGTTTCTGGTAAACGTTATTATTTCTGAGTGCACAGTCGAGTGACCGGAGATTTCGTTCACTCCAAATTGTGTCAGGATAAATGCGCTTCGAGCACTACGAATATCGAAAGTAAACGTCATTTTTGCTTTACCGAGTAAACACACTGGCGACGTATCTGACCCTACTGATTTCAAGCGCGTCTCCAAGGGGGAAAAAAAATCAGCAATATTTTTTTTTTCTTTTTTTTGGGGGGGGGGGGGGGGCATGGTTTTATTTGACATAATTATTAGTTTCCTTTTTTAATGGGCATTTTGAACTTTCATATTTTTCGCCCACAAAACAATAAAGCTGCAGCTCCTAATTTTTTTTTTTTTTTTCTCTTATTCGCGTGTTTTTCTGAAGTCCGCTACAGTTACCTACAGCTTTAGAAACGTACGGGGCGGCGATTCGCGAGAATGTTATTGTCGCTTCGCAGTCGATGAGGTTGCGACAACAGCCCATAAGAACAGCGAAGAACGAATCGCGAAGCAAGGAACGCTACGATAATAAGTCGCGCCGCATGGGTTTCAGTGACTATGGGAGAAGGCGTGTGATATGCGTGGTAGTGTGTTCGGGTGACTTCCCCTGAAACCTCATTAGGTCTTCGTAGGTGTTGCTTCGAATCCTGCAGGGCTACTGGCACCGAAGCACCGATTCCTCCATGAAAAATAATGGTTATAGGTGCTGAAGTGCGAGCAATTCATTCTTGCAGCTTCGTGGAAAACAAGTCTTGTTGAAGCAGCGATGTCTCTCTCTGAATGCGACTGTAAATATTTTTTTTCTTCTACGGTGTGTGTTTTAATATTAAGATCATTCATCGCCGCTTTAGGTGCCTACGGTTGTAAGGCAGTTATGCTTGCCATCTCATCAGTGATGTTTATTTTTTTCAGGGTAATAAGAAGAACCTATAGTTTCTGGAATGGAAAAGGAGTTCCATATCTGTCTTTTATCGACTATGTGAAGTTGGTATACGATATTTTCACGAAGGTAAAGGTGTACTTTTGAGCTGATTGTAAATCGTAATAATGCGGATGCTTGGGCTAGTTGGTAATTCACGCTTGGATGGAACAGCGCGGATATACAGTCACACTCACAGGCACACAAAAAGAACAGACTCGCAACGCTGCTTTACAACTCAGTGATATATTTCTGCTTCCTCAAATCGTCGTCTACTTCTCCTTCGCCAATAAAGAGAACGTTTAAAAATTTTAAACACCAGAAACCAAATATCCAATAAGCATTAATAAATAAATAGGGAAATACATTCATGACAACCAAAAATAAAATCGAAAATAAATTTGAAAAAATTAATTAAAATTTTTTAACGTTTTAAAATTTTAGAACATAGATAAAAAAATGAACTTAAACATTTTAAAAATAAAATAAATATACAAATGAAATAAAAATAGAAAATAAAAAATAAAAATAATAAAAATAAAAGTTAACCGAAAAATTCCCATCGCTATTAGTGCTTTAATGTTATCTCTAGATCATCCAATTCTTCTTTTGATAAAGATAAGGATATGGGACACTGACGCATTGCTTGTGCAACCTTGCTATTTCTTCAGCTTCGACAATTTCTCGTGTCAGCTAAGTACCACTTCTGGGGATAACAGCGGAGTTACTCAAGTCCGCTGTGCACCCTCAGCCTCGGCAATGGAGGCCTAGGTTACTTGATTTTGATATTACTGTGTTTTTGCTTTAGTGGTTATCTCGTAACCGGTCATTCAGACACCTCCCGGTTTGCCCGACATATTGCTTATCGCATGAGAGGGGAATTATATAGAGCACCCCTTCAAAGCACAGAACAGAACGGGTGTGATGTTTTTTTATACAACCTCAGGCTCTATCGGAGGATGAATTGGCATATTTACATAAAGTAGAGAGCTTGTGTGGAGCAGAGAGTACTACGTTGACGTTTACGCGGTTGCCTATCTTTTTTAAGACCATGAGAAATATGGTGAATATGAGGCACAACCGCTGGCATTTGGTTTCGGTCCCGTTCGTAGCGTGAGCTACACTGGCCGAGGTGGAGCCGTTTCACGTGGCTCCCAAAGAGCTGTGCTGCGCATGCGCGAGGAGCAGTGACGTCACACGGCGCACAGCTGGCGCGCCGGAGCCGCCGCCGCCGCGCGCTCCGCCACCACCGCGCGCGCCTCGCCGGTCTGCGCATTCCAGAGGAGTGACGTCATAGCCGCGGCAGACGCACTGGCGCCGCCGCGTACCCAGCTGTGCGCCTCCGTTGCGCAGTAGCCAAGTCTGACGCTGCACCGAAGCCGCTTGATAGTGCCTCTCATTTTGCGCGCATAAGCTCACGTGACGTATACCCTGGCATAGCCGAGTTAAGCCACCGCAATTTTTTGAATCCTGATATGTAAAGCCTGAGAAGCGTGGCCGCGAAGCTCGACGTCGATTGGTTAATGGACGACGTCACGTGACCAGAAAGGTAGGCGAGGAGGAGCTCGACCACTTGTGCACACTGAGGGAGTAAAGTTCGAGGGTATGGAATGCTCTGGAAAATCGCCATGTTTATCAGCCCGATTAGCGATAGTATCGCTTCATCCTAGGAACAACTGCCAAGTGAGCACATGGTACGCTTCACACTAACTGGTGAAAGGCGCCATGAACGTAAGCGTCTGCTTGAACAGGCTAGACGAGCCGGTAAACGATCTGCTGAGAAAATGTAAGGCTAATGGCTACGCAACTGTGCTGCATACAGGAAACTCAGATTATCGATAAACGTTTTGGATGCTCTAACATTTCACGTATGCAACACAATTGCCCAGCAGTTTGCCATACATTTTTCGGTTGTACATCGTCATCTCTTTTGTATGATGATGCTGTAACAAAACTCGCTGATAAGCGTCTGCCTTACCACAGTTGCTTTCTAGTAATGCACGTCTCTGCGTCGTAACATATTAGCATAGATATACAGCAAAATACTAATTGAACTTCAAAATAAGCCGCCTAGAGTGGCTTATAAGCTCTGCATCCAAAATTCTAATCATTTAAGCGAATAGGCAGTATTGGGAATGTTTCTACAGCCCTAGCTCGAAAGTCTTAGAGGACACCATGATTAAGCGGGATAGCTTGTCGTATCACCTCCTTTATGATTTTTAATTTAGATTTTGACATGTACTTTGAATTCAAATTTCAAAGAACATAATGTGCATATATGTTGACTTGAATGTACTTTAAGGGACCAAGATATAGCTTTAAGTTGGTCAAGCTGTGCAAGAATGAAACCTTAATATAGAGGTATGTTCGTGACACTTAAAAATTAGTTAAATCATTATGCGTATTTATTTTATGAGACTCGGCCCTCTCAACTTTAAGATGACTGTTAAATCTAAGGAACGTGCTACAATTCTCAATTTGAGTGGTCAAACCTACATGAACGTTGGTTTACTATAACTGTTTCTTCCCCACCATAAACCATTCTGCACTTACAAATGTGTGCCTGTCGAAAAAAAGAAGGTCGGGTTATCTGGGTAAAATATGATGTATTTTCTTTCTAGTAATATTTTTTTTTTTGTTACAGCCCTTGCCTGAGGTGATCTTGACAAACTATCGCCGGCGTGGCCGTTTTTATGGGTTTGTTTCCACAATCTTATTTTCTGAACAAACTAAGGAAGTCAAAATTCATGATAAAGACCAGCAGGACCTGAACTCGATAATCAAAAATACCTAGTTTATATAGATGTACGGGCAGCAAAATGTGTAAGACATGAGACAATCCTAATTGAAAGTCGTGACACAAATGCATTAGGCTTGCATAAGGTGATCGGCCGAGCAGTCACGCCAATCCAGCACTAATGGGTGGGGCCTGGAGCGGGGCGTGACGAGTATAGCTCCACCTAAATTGTGTGTTCCGGCGTAAATACTTTCCAAATTTTTAAAGGTTAATTTCTGGCATAAAAGATGACAAGCACATAAAATGTTTGTGTGTGTCTGTTTGTGTGTGTTCGGTATTCTTTTAAATTTGAACCGAATCCAGATGTATAGAATTCATGCTATATTATCTAACCGACGAAGGACGCAAATTAAAAAAAAAAAATAGCTTTGTGAATCACGCTATTTTGGAAAACCATTTAAAGCCCTCTTTTGTTTTCGGGAAGAAGACGCTTCTTTGTTTTACATATAAATACCCGTTATTCGCACTAGAAGAGATCGAACAAGGCCATTTTGATAGGCAATTTGTAAACAATTTGAAATCTTATGATACATTCTATGTGAAAGAGTAATATGTTCTTTCTTCTATTTCTACGCTGATCTTTCTACGGCCACGTCTTTAAATGGGTGTGCCTTAAAAGTTTACTTCTTTAAAACGCTTTACTTAATCGAAAAATAATTTATGTAGTTTTCGCATCACGCTGGATGGCGAGACACATTTAACATTGGATAATTATGGTTAAATCACTATGTCTCGATTTGAACCGCTCTCATTTGAACATGAATGTTTAGATGTTAACAGGACATAAACATGATTAAAGATGAAATGGAGAAAACCGTACATTAAAAAATCAGTTTTTAAAAGAATTTGTTACGCTCGGAAGGTCAGTTATCATAAGTAAAATAGGTCCTTTTTATTTGCAGCTCCTACGAAGGGTTTGTGCCCACACTCGTAGTTGGGGATCCACTGCTCCTGCGAGACATCTACGTAAAGGATTTCAAATCCTTCTCGGACAAAAGAGTAAGAATTGCCAGCTCCATTTTCTTTAGACTATTCTTAGTATCAGCTGCCCGTCAAGTTGAGACACAATTACATTTTTTCCACAAAAGACGTCTACATGAAATACGTAAAACAAAAAATACGTGAAGATAAAAAAAAGAAAAAGGGAGAAAAGCGTTTGTCAAGGGAGATGCATCTTTCTGATATTGCGGACCCTTCACTGTTCGTTTCAGGTCTCCAATGCCACGGGAAACCCCTTGTGGGACCGGATGATGTTAAACTCCCCGGAAGAAGAGTGGAAAGCTACAAGAACTATGATGTCGCCTGCATTTACAACCAGCCGACTGAAAGCAGTTAGTAACCAGTTTCGTCGAAATAGATCATTTTTTCGGGGATTTCGAGTTTATGACGGTTAAAACAGCTACGACCTAGCGCTTGACATTTTCGTTTTAAAGCCTGATTCACGTGGTTTGATTTTAGTTGGGATTTTGCAAGTGCGGTTAAGCACCGCAACTTCCACTGCATTTTTTTTTTTGTCTTACGGAGGGATGTCGCAACTGCGAAATCGCAAGTAAAATGGCATTATGTAACTCAGGTTTCAGACGTTTTTTATATAAAAGAAAAGAAAAGCTAGAGGCTATAGTTACCAACTTTTTAAGACGATACGGAATGAATCGATATGCAGTGATGCCTCGTTAATATGGACATCATATGTGTCCTCCAAAATCTTCCATATAATGTGAATTTGTTCATAATGACGAGACAAAAATGCATATATTTTCCCAATTTGTCCCCGAAAACAATGTCCATATAGCGGGGTATCCGTATTGACGGGTTCCATATTAACGGGACATTACTGTATACCCTGAATAAATTGACGAATAATTCACGAAGAAAAAGCATCCAAGCATTTTAATAAATGGAGATTTAAAATATAGAGACTATAACGACCAGCTTTTTAAGACGAGATAAAAAGAAAACAATACATTCTAAATTAATAAATAAAAATTTACCCCCAGCCCCTCAAAAAAAAAAAAAAATCTTGATAGCTTAGTGCACAGCAAAATTGTTTCAATCTAAAAAAATAGTAAAAAAAATATGAAAAATTAGTTATTGAGCGGACTTTACCAGGTGACTTAGAAGTGATCCGGAGCAACAAAAGTGAAACGATTGAACATCCTTCTCAATTGTTACGTGTGTAAAGCCTTGGATTGATGATCCTGTTTGCTTCCGTGAATGTTGTGATAAGGGTATGCACTTGCCCGGGGAATCGTTTCTGGACTCAATGCCGTGTTTTATAAAAATGAAAAAAAAAAAATAAAAAAACGGGGAAACCATAGTTTCTTAGAAATTAAAAATACACAGTTTGCTCGCAAAAAAAGAAAAAAAGCTCCTAAAAGTTTATATAGTTACTGACACGGATACCCCGGGAACACACGGCGCTGTTAGTTCCGGCTAACTAATTTTTGTTCCGAAAACAATACGATTGCGATAGTAGCCGGTAAGAACAACGAGGAAAGCATCAAGACGCAGAGTAATACCTTAAAAATATTTAGGTCAATAAAGAGTGATTTGAGGGACTTTGTTAAGAGCGGAGACTATATCGCTGCCCGACGTAAAAATAACTTCGAAATTATTTTGACGTCAATGAGGTGACTTCCATGAAACATGAAAATAGTTATAAAAATATTGTGACGTCTACCGTGGAAAAAAAAACAACTTTGTTATTATGACTTCTTAGCCGTCACAGTTGTTTGTAGCTGTTTCCGTTTCGTTCTATTTCGCCCTGTGGACGATGTCGTCAATGTTCTGTTTGCGGAGTCACGTCTCGCTGTGTGGCAGGTCTAAAGGAAGCCTAGGTCCTACTTTATACTGTAAATGTTTCATCCAACGAGAGTGTGTGCCTGTCTGCTCGACAGTCGAACGATTTTTTTCTCGGCCGTGACAAGGAATTGTTGCGTGCGTGGCGCGGGTGAACGGGTTTCTAACCTCGCTTGGACCCCACTCGGCCCTGATCTTTAGTTCTCGAATCTTGTACTCTTCTGGAACGCTCTGGCTCATCTTCGGGCTATTATCGTGTGTTCTGCTTCGGAACATTCCCGAACTACCCGCGTGTATACACGAACTCATCTCTGTTCAGTCACGGCGCGGTGGTGGCACGTCGGGCGGACTTTCGGTCTGGGGCTGTGGGCCACGTGAGACGTGTATTCCTGCGTTGTTTTGATTGGAACCTGAAACAAACCTGCCGTCTCGTCAAAATGCCGTGACTGAGGCTGTACCAAAAGAGTCGAGAAAGGTTTGAGGATCAGTTTTCATGTGCTCGGTTCTTTCGAGAACGTGGAAATGTGCCGTAAAAATGGAAACCAGACCCCGCCGGACCACGATTGCTTGGGCGGGAAGCAGTTTGGGTTCAATTCACGGATACTTGTGGTATTCAGATTTATTTGTTTTGTTCCAACATGAACGCCGGAAGACCGTCAAGTCGTACAAACCACGTGCGGGCTACGTTGAGTGCGTCTTCAAGTTCGAACGGCCGCCTGATCGCTCGGTCTGTCGTCTGCTCTTTTAGATGACACCGACCCGCAGACCAAATGTTGGCCCGGTAACTGCGATAAGAAGTAAGTGCAGGCCTCAAAAGACTTAAGTTTGAAGGTTGAAAAGCAGGCTCAATGTAAACATTAGGCACAAGGAGACGTTGATCATTGTTACCAGTGGCCATCACCGACTTGTTATGCCTGATTTACTTGGTCCGATTCTGCTTACGATTTTCAGTATCGACGTAGAACACCTCAGCTATAGTTCATGGTCTTGCGGCGCGAGCGACGTCGCGACTGAAAATTGCGAGGGAAATCTCCTCATGCGATTCAGGCTTTAGCGTACATTCTGCGGCGTCCACGCGGAATGAATCGCCGCATGTCACATTATTCACGCGAAGTATTGCGGTGTAACGAGCGTCGGTAATTTCGTTGAAGCCGCTCAAGTAGTCAGGCATTTCCAGGAAGACGTAGAATCAATTCAAACGCGAAAAAGGGCAGGGGGACTCTCACCGACGCCGGCGACATCGCATTCCAATGGTTTGTTAATGGGCGATGGCGAGCTTCTTGCCCACACTCCATCGCTCATGCGCGGCGCCGGTGGCGTTCGCTGGGGGTGCTCCGGTTTGTTTGTAAACATCAGTTGGTGTATAAAAGTACCTGTAACGGGCTGGTTCGCACTGGGGGGAGAAAGTGGCCGAGTGGGCTAACACGTCTCAGCTCAGAGCGTGGAGCGAAATCTTGTGTTAGGTATCTCCTAGGCTCGATCCCCACCACCCCCGCCCGTTTCGATCTGGATGAGTTTCGTACCGGCACGCGTTCGTTTAGTCACAACTGCGTGATGCACGTTAAAAAGCCCAGGTTAGCGGTTGTACTGCACTGGCTAAAGTCGCTTTTCCGTCGCCGACGTAAGATGATGGTACCTTACTCTTTTAGTTTGCAGGCACTAGTTCGCCTTAAAGATTATTTTCCGCTTCAAATTCATCTTTTATTTTTATTCGTGACAATATCACCCGGCTGCGATGCTGCTCTCTCGCAAGTGTTTTCAGCCGGCACTCTCACCACACACACACACACACAAACACACACGTCTGCGTTTGAGTGAGATGCGTTCACTTGCGGCACGTGGACGCAGAACCTTGCGAAGAGCGCTTGAGCCACGCTTGTACACACAGTTGCGTTGACACCTACCTCGTTGGTTGACACGCAGTCGACTGCAGTCAGGAGCCAGTAAGAACGCCCTTTCGCCGCTCGCAGCTCACCAATAGTAGGCTAGATCCAAGGCATCATCGCGCCACACGGCGACAGCGTCGAGGTGTCCGATATTGGGGTAATCTTCCTGCAGCCTTCAGTGACTTCGAAGTAGCTTGAAGTGTCGCAGCCTTTGAAAAACTTGCTGCTTGGTGTCCCCACCACTACCAAACAAGAAAAGCAAGGCCTCCTGTTACGACGTGGCAGAGCTCGTCGCGAGTAAGACTAGCGTCCGGTGGTGGCTGAACGACTCCGAGGTTTATTGGTGCTCTCAAGACAAAAACGAGGATCGAACGGCACGTGCCAAAGCGTAAAACCACACGATCAAAAGAAAAAGAAAATATACACACGTGCTTTGGCACGTGATGAACATGATTACAAAATACACAAGGAAAACTTTCGTAGAAAACAATAACTTGGGGCTGCGTTTTCTACAATTCTCTCCTCTTTAGAAGTGAAACCTGTCGACGGGCTTTCGGGTCCTGCTGGAACGCCGTAACGTCGCTTCTTCCTGGAGTTCCACTGGGATTGCCGTCGGCGCGTCTGGATGGTGGCTTTCATCGTTTGTGATCGCCGAAGATGATGATGTTGTCGGAGGCCGGGTACCGGCCTGCTGGTCCAGCAGGTGGTCCTCTTCCGGTATTCTTCTCCGTACTTGGTCAGCGTGGCGATGTACCACCTTTGATGGCGTTGAGACAGTCAGCATTCGCGACCTGGAGGTGGACTTGACTTGACCAGGCGTCCAGTTGTCTCCATCCCCGTAGTTACGAAAATACACAGGATCCCCTGGAGCAAAATTCCATCCAGGGTCATCATTCCTAGCGTCCCGTGCAACCGATGGAAAGCAGGTGTCGATCCTCGATCGAATTTGATAGCCCAGCAGGACTTCCGACGGGGATCTTCCGGAGGCTTGTGGCGTTCTTCCGTAATTGAACAGCATCCGAACAAGGTTAGTTTCCAAGTTCTCGCCTCGCATCTTCTTAATCCCGTCTTTGACGGTGCGCAGGGCCCTTTCTGCCAGGCCGTTGGATTGCGGGTGGAAGAGAGCGGTTCGAAGATGCGAAATGTTGTTCATCGTGACAAACGTCTTAAACTCCTGACTTGTGAACTGAGTTCCGTTATCTTACACCAACGTGCGCGGAATTCCAAAGCGACTGAACAACATACGTAACGTTGCTATCGTTGATTGAGTGGTCGCGTGGGACAATGGTACGGCTTCGATCCATTTGCTGTGTGAATCGACAACAATTAGTATCATTTTTCCCTTTATTGGCCCAGCATAATCAATGTGTATTCTTGACCAATTTTCCTTGGTCTCGGGCCAATTAACTGGCTCTTTCGCACTTGGCATAGGCATAGCTTGAACACATTCCCTGCAAACTGCCGCCTGGCTTTCAATTGCCCTGTCAAGACCAGGCCACCAGAACTTTGACCGCGCGACCGCTTTCATTGAGGATGCTCCCTGGTGGGTTTCATGAAGCAGACTTAACAATCGTTCCCTCGCCTTTGCTGGAATCACGACCCGGTGACCCCAGTACACGAGGTCCTGTGCTACTGAGAGCTCGAGC